GTCTGAAATTTTGTTACTTCCACATAAAATAGAAACGACAATACAGAGGAAGGGGGTATCACAAAACTAATTTCCTTAGATTGCTCCAGCAATGGGGGAAAGAGCACTTCATTTTTAATTGAGGCATAACTATGGATTCCTTGCCAATTTTATACATCCTGCCCAATGCCAAGCTCATTTTCAATAAAAACTGCTTAAAATAGACTCTTGATTTGTTTTTAAGGCCACACTACATCTCACTAAGATTGTTTAAGGGGTATTTATGCATCTATAAGTTCTTCTGTAACTGTTTTACTCAAGTTGGATGTTCCTTCTGCCAGTTCTTGTCTACAAAGTGAATGGATGTATCTAGGTGTTATGATGCATGTTCTCTATGAATACTGACCGGATGCCCTCATACCTGGATCTGTCCTCCCAGCTGCTTCCTCTTCAGAGGATGTGTGTTTTGGAAACCAGTCATTATTTATTCTGTCTAGCCTCAAACTTTGATGGTGACCTATGAATTTAGTACTATATACTTGCAAGGGAGCAAGGAGAGGCACTGTTGGCTACAGGGCACTTTATTCTGAGTGGTTAAATGATAACTGAAAGAAGTTTACAAATCTGTTCATATCCTTCTGGACCTAGGCACAACAGTAGGGTATGAACAAGATTATTCAATAATTTCCTCCGAATTTGAAGAGTTTCATAAATTACCTCTGAGGGTCTGCTTTAAGTATAACGTTAAGATTGTTTCCTCTATTATTTGCAAACATCCAAAATATTACATAATCTTTCATCTTTCTATGGCTAAACATTATCTTTTTCTGGATTTAAAGTCCTATTAAAAAAAGTTCCCAATATTATAGACCTGGGATATCCATCAAACACTGTCAATTTATTTAACAGTTTCGTTTCTTGAAATACTAAAATATTTTCTCCATGAACTCGGGCAGGGTACAGAAAGAATAGGCATCTTAATTCAGGAATTCCTCTTTCAACACTACCTTTGTCACTTCCTGACTCTCTTGGGCTGGTTCTTCACCTTTCTGTGTTCTCATTAGAGAAAGAGGATACTACCTGTTTCAAAGGTTACCGTTAGGAAAATAAGGGAGGCAACATCCACTGTGGCACTCAACATATGTCACCTCCTCGTAGTTGTTTGCAACCTCTTGCTTTGATGCACCCAAAGAGTTTCATTCTGTTTAGTTTGATGGTTCTGACTGGAACAGATTTTCCTTCCTGAGAAAGCTTTCCTATATCCAAGGTATTGTGATACATTGGGTAAATCATAACTGCATGCCAACTTCATCAAGTTCAGGTAATTTGATTTTCTCCACTCTCTTAAAATTTTCTTTAAAAAAAAAAGCCTAGTGATATTATGATATTGTATCAAGACATTTCACTTTAAAAGTACTTTTTAATTCTGTTAACATTCTGTTATGTAGACTTAGGTGAGGAGTGACAAACTCTCATGGAAAGGAACAGAGGTCTGTCCTCAGTGGTACTTCAAATATTCTTTATTCTGAATTCCCCTCTCCTATTATTTCCCTTCGGAAATGTAAAAGTCTGCATTTCTTCTTCTTTTTTCTTGTGTATGCCATACCTGGTGATGCTCAGGGGTTATTCCTGACTCTGCATTCAGGAGTAACTCCTGGCAGTACTCAGGGGACCATATGGGATGCCAGGGTTTGGATCCGGGTCTGCTGGATGCAAAGCAAGCGCCCTATCTGCTCTATTATGGTTCCAGCCCCACGCCTGCATTTCTTTGATACCAGAACATTCTGTCATCTACACTTGTCAACTGGTGTGGAGACTAGATAGTCTGCTACCTGAAAGGGTATTTAGAGAAAAATATATTTCTTTGTGAGCTGCTACTGATGTGAGCACCTTTCTTGGTCAATCATTCAAAAGCCTAACAACAATAAGAGGCGCTCGATCTTTAGTTTCTTATCAATACAGAAGGCTGGAAAATAAGGAGAGAGAACAAGATGGTGTGACAGCAACCTGAGCATCTTTAGCAACTGAACAGCAGTTGCAAGAGTTCTGAGAACCTATGAATAATATGCCATCCCTCCATCCAACCTATATCCCTCTGGGCAGGGAGGAAGCTGATGAAGAGTGGTATGTTTGACTTGGTTGTTGAGCTGGGTATTTTATGACGCTTTAACTTATCCAGGTATGTCTTTCCTGGTGCACACTTTTACCAAGGTATAAGAAAACAGGAGTACAGCTAAATCTTAGGGTAGCATACTTTTGGCAGTAAATACAAGCAACTAAAACTAATGTGCAAAATTGCATTCCGCTTACACCTGTAAACATGCGGTAATAACTAACTACAAAGGCTGTCTTAACCTTGGTCTGACTGTTGCCACAGAGTGGACAGTGAGGAGAAAAATCCCTGACACCTCCAGATTGTGGGATGAAGAGAAAGAGAGGGAAAGGTCAAAACCGAGGCACCAGCAAGAGGGAGGGACCAACTTGGGCAGTGACCACTGGTTTGCCAAGTCTTCTACTGGTCTCCCTCTCTTCTCTACTCCTGGAGAGATTAATTTTTTAGAGATTATTGACATTAAGCAATTTCTTTGTGACCACTGCAGGTACCTTTGGGATGTATTATTGTGACCAAGTTGAGTTTCTTACTGAAATTTGATAGGGATGTGGGGGACAGAGTATGTTGGGAATGACAGTGGGTTAAAACCACTATTGATCTAACTGTGGTCTAGAGTAGTTTTTCTTGACTTTTACCCCACCATAAACATCCTCCAATGTTTTTGCTTCCTGTGGCACCCTGTCATGCTGACTGGCCCCCTAGTCTTGTGCTGAGGCTCATCATTTACACGATTTTCACCATGGTCCCCTTGAAATAGCTATAAGAGCCACAAGGGGCCATATAGCTCCTGGTTGATATAAACAACAGAGGGTGGGAAGGGAAACCTTGTATAGAATTGTAGATAAAGAGCTGTGTTCATTCTCTATTTTTAATACTGGGACTCAGGCTAGCAATAGAGACAGAGTTTATTTTCATAAACTACTCTGGGATCCTATCATAAAACATCCATGGGAGAATTCCAAGGAATTAACTCCCAGGATATGACATTCATAACTTATGACTATCCCATTTTATACTTTATAAAAACATTGTTACATGTATGTATAATGCATATGTAATGTTTTGTAATGACTCTGATTCCATACTTTGCCTTCTGTTCCCCACTCCAGTATATATGGTGACATAGTCACAGACAAGGAATCCACTTTCAGAAAAAGAAACGAAGCAGAGTGAGCCTGCTTCTGTCAAAATATATACCTGACATTCAGTTTCATTTTGCAAGGTAGAAAACGTAGCTCATTGCTTTCCCAAAGGTTTGTCAAATAAGTAAGCTGTTTCTAAACTTGAATTATTGTCTAATGAGTAAAAAAAAATGATCAAGGTAAACAGCATTTTAAGTTACTATAAAAGAGTCTTCTGGATTCTGTGGTAATCTCTAGTTCACTAGATACTGAATGACAACATTCTAGCTTTCAAATTGCCTGTCAGAGAACTCTGCTTCCTGGTTAGGACCAATTTCATCTTAGTCTCACAAGATATAATTATACATGTATCAAGAGTTTTATGTTAGGTATTTCTGAAGAGAAAATGGACATATACCAACACTGAACAGAGCTGTTAGTTTTTATTCCTCGATTCAATACTGAAGGGGTGATAATTCTTTTTAAAGGATAATGGATTTTAATCTAAGGCCTGGAAAAATTTTATGTAAATCATAGCAAATAAGTCTGTTCTCTAGAATGTATGCGGTGGGCCAGATTGAGGAATCTCAAGCATCATCATTTAAGAAATACTATAAATAATAAAAGGTTTCACACTAATTTTCTAACAATAGTTAGGAAAATAAATACCCACTTAAAATAGTGGTATGAATAAAAACACTGTAGACCCAGGGTAAATATCTTTGCCAGAGAGAAGAAATATTTCAAATCGATAAAAAAGTCCCTATATTATTCTATGTTCTCTTCCCTTTTAGTATTTCTTTGGAGACCAAAGCTCATCAAACTGACACCATTGTTTAATGACTGCTGTATAATATTTGAAAAATGATTAGAAATGACTCTGTTATACTATTTTCCCACCCTTTCCAGGTGTCTCCCTCCCCACTTCCCTGAGAAATCTGCTCACTAAGTGATCTCTGAGTTCCTTTCTTCCAAAAGTGTCTATATAATAGGAGTTGCATCTTAATATTTCATTTTTTAAAAAAAATCAAATGTTATACCTTATGTTTGGATAACTGTGGAGCATAGAACTGTCTGTGTAACAAGGGACTAAGGCACCATTTTTTCTTTCCCTTTCCTTTTTGGCCTTGGGAACAAAAGCAAAAACTGATGGAGCAGCCAGAGCAGCCCACCAGCCACCTCTTGGCAATATCCATATCAGCCAATATCAGCAGGTACTGTTTGTCAAAAGCTGCCATGCCAAAGACTTAAAACCTTGCCACAAAAGCATTTTCTTCCTTTGGAAATAGGGAAATAAAGGCACAACAGTACCTTAAACAAGAAAGTTGGTGAATACCAACCAGAAAATCTTGACAACTTAGGAACAATTTTCTAATGTTCCACCATACTTTACAGAGGAACTCATTCCTTTTCGAATTGATGCCTAAGAACTGATTTTCCCAGTTAGATTTCTTTCCTGTCAAACCCATAATCATAACATAAATTTGCCCTCAATGAATACTATCTGGGACTAGATGTCAGAGTATTTGTATATCAGCTTGACTTACTAGAAGACATTTCTTTACTGACTGCATTCTTTGTGGGAAAATTTAAAAAAAAAAACAATCATGGATCAATGTTGTGTCTTTAAAGGAATATTCCTGAAGTGACCCATTTGGGGACAATAACTTCAGGCAAAAGTCCAGGCAAATGAAGTTAAAGGGCTGGAAATGTGTCAAGGAATGTAGGCTCTTCTGAAGTAATGTGCAAGATCAGAATGTCGTGTATATCATCTAGATACCAGCCCAGTATCCAGCATGGCCCCCACGCTGAATGGGTAGGGAGGGGCGGATGGAGCATCACTGGTTTGAGTGGAACGGATGGTGGAGAGAATGTGATCAGATGGGCTGCAGGTATACTTGAACCCTCACAGTCATAATTTCCAGCAACGGGAGTCTTCTTACACAATGATGTCATAGACCCGACCCACGCGGCCCAGCCATTCTCTCACAGCCTGGCGAACCCGGATATCAGTCACGTGACAGGTCAGCTGGCTGATGCACGGGAACACAGCTGGCTGCAGGGCCATGAAGGTCGGATCTGGGAGGATCTGAATCTGATTGAGAACTGTTAGCACCATGTTGGTCCATGCCTAGGAGAAAAATTTAAGAACTATTAGTGGCTTTCTCCTGTGGATTTATTGGAATTCTCAGATGTTAATTCTTTTTTTTAATCCTTTTTTTAATTTAATCATTTTTTTTATTAGTGAAACACCATGAGGTACATTTATAGACTTATAAATTTTTGTGCTTGGGTTTCAGTTATACAATGATCAAGTACCCATCCCTCCACCAGTGCCCATCCTCCCCCACCACGGGTCCTAGCATCCCTCCCCCTCCCATCCCCCCCCATTCCCCCCATCCCCCCCTTCCCACCCTGCCGCTGTGGGAGGGCATTCCCCCTTGTTCTCTCTCTCTTCTTTTGGGTACTGTGTTTTGCCAGAGAGGCATTGAGTGGCAATCATGTTTGGTCTATAGACTACTTTTAGCATGTCTCTCCCACCCTGGGAGGGTCTTCACAACACCCTTTATTTGGTGCTCTCTTCTCTAGCAGATGTTAATTCTAAGCTCTGTCAATCTACTGAATATTTTTTTTAAGGCAAGGGGTGGAAACAGATTAATCTTTACTAGCTTTTTGTCCCTATAAATGAATTGTTATTTGACATTCATATACATAAGGACTTAATCATATAGTATTAGGAGCACCTTAATCTCAACCTTTACAAACTAAAAAAATAATCTTATTTATTCCTCAGATTCTTTTACATTATTTTTTTCCCTGGGGACTGGGTGATGCTTCTGATGGTCTCGGTGCTGGGTATTGAATGTGGGGCTCCTGCAGGCAAAGTACATCCTTAGCTTCCAGATTCCTGAAAATTTATGTGCCTCCTCATCAGGAGATTTCTATAGGCCTTATGATACTTTTTATTAGCAGTCTTCATAATGTGCATAAGAGATCTACCTTAATTTAGGATAGCTTTAACAAGCAAATCTCCAAAACATGAAAGAGTAATTTATATATGTTGTCAAGATCTGTTAAAAATAAGCATTCAGGGCCAGAGTGATAGTACAGCGGGTAGGGTGTTTGCCTTGCATGCAGCTGACCCGGGTTCAATTGTCAGCATTCTACATGGTCCCCTGAGCACCGCCAGGACTAATTCCTGAGTGAAGTGCCAGGAGTAACCACTGAGCATTGCTGGTGTAACCCAAAAAAGCAAAAAAAAAAAAAAAAAAAAAAAAAGGAAAAATATTTATCTCAGTTTGCATGCTTCTACAAATCCAATATAAGATGATTTTTGTGGCTTCTGAATGCAGGTTAGCTCTATGTTCATGAGATTTTAGTGGACGCTTGCAAGTTTCTAAGAATATATTCCTTCACAAGGCTACAGTATTCTAGAAACCAGAACCTTCTAACATGCCAACAAGAGCCTACAAGTTTTTGTTTTGAGGCCACACCTAGTGCCTGGGGGACCATGTGTCCCAGTTCTCTTGAGCTATTTTTCCAGTCCATGAACACACAATTTAAGATTATTTAAAAAAAAAAGATGATTTTTTGGGTTGGGGAGATGGCCAGAGGGTTGGGCCACATACTTTGCAAGTACAAGCCCATCCCCACCATCATCCAGAAGCCAGTGTCCCCCTGAGCACCATTAGGAGCCACTAAAAACACTGCTGGGTGTGGTTCCAAACTCACAAAGTCCACATTATTTTGAAGAGGTCCTTGACTTTCATTCTGCTTTTTCCATCTTTTCTCAAATTGAGCAAAATTATGCTTTTTCTTCTCAGGCTCATTTTTTCTTTTTGATGAGCCATAGCTAATTATTAACAATATGAAGGAATAAAAAAAAAGCTCTCTAAAGTACAAGAATTTTTTTATGCTCATGATGGGTTAAAAAAAAACATGAGCGAAAGAAAGACAATTCATAGTAATACACACTTTTCCTATTTTCATTATATAGTTATCTGTTAAAGAAAACAACTCTAGGATTCCCCAGTGCTTTCTTCAGATCATGGACTCCATGCTAGTTAACAGTTTATCCATTTGGGGTCCAAACAATAGATGAGGCACTTTCCTTGAAAGAGGCTGACCTGGGTTCAACCCTCAGAACCACCAGGAGTCATCCCTAAGCACAGAACCAGGAGTAAGTCCTGAGCACCACCAGATGTTGTCCCAAAACAAAACAAGAAACTTATTTTTTTAAAAAAATCTTTGTGTGTCTGGGTCACACCTGCAGTGCCCATAAGTGATCTGCGCTCAGGAGTGCCCCGCTGTGGTGCTTTGGAGACCACATATGATGTTGGTGATTCCAGACGTGGTCTCAGGGCTACAAAGCAAACACGTTGCCCCCTATATTATCTCTCCAGCCCCACAGGTCTATACATCTGTAATGGGCTTCCTATTAGTCAAGTGGGCTCTGAACTCTTTTTTTTTTTTTTTTTGCTTTTCGGGTCACACCTAGCGATGCACAGGGGTTACTCCTGGCTCTGCACTCTGGAATTACTCCTGGCGGTGCTGGGGGGGGGCAGGCTGGCGGGGGCAGGGAGTGGGAACCATATGGGATGCTGGTTATCAAACCTGGGTCAGCCGCATGCAAGGCAAATGCCCTATCCGCTGTGCTATCGCTCCAGCCCCTGGGCTCTGAATTCTTAACAACATGTCATGACCCATGAAAACAATTCCTGAAATTAATTGAGAAGAAAGAAAAATCAACTTTACCCAGAGCCACTGCTATGGACAGAGCCCGTTCTCTTAGGCTGGGGGATGTCCTGTGACCGTGGGACAAAGCCGGCTACTGTCTTCCACTGGGGTCTACCCAACCTGTGCATGACTGCTCTGAGAGAGGCCCTGGCAGAGTCCCCTGACCCCTGCCAGGCTCCCCCTGCCAGCCTGCCGGCACCCACCTGGATCTGCGCCTCGGCATCTCTCACCGACACGCTCAGGGAGCTGCCGGTGGAGCCCGAGCGCGGCCTCTTGTCCTGGCGCAGCAGCTCGGGGCCGGCGCTGAACGAGTGTCGCATCTGGCCCTGGTCCATCAAGTGCTGGGGCCGCTGCAACAGCGGCGAATCGGGTCCCCGCGGGCCACCGAGCGCGGGCTCCCCCTTCTTCTCCGCCTTGGCCTCCTTGGGGAAGGCGGGCAGGTTGTGCTGCTGCTGCTGCTGCTGCTTCCTCTTCTTGTACTCGGTCATGAGCTTGGAGATGGTCTTGTCGGCTGCCATGGTGCAGATCTTGTTGCCCGCGTTCTCCCACCACTCCTTCTTGCGCCCGGGCTCCTTCCTGTCGCCACCCTTGGGGCTGGGCGGCAGCAGCAGCAGGTCCCCGCGCAGGCTCAGCGCGTCGCCCAGGTGTTCCCGCAGCTGGCTGCGCTCGTCCTCGGACGGGGTGTCCTTGCCCGAGAAGCCCCCGGTGGAGGGCGTGGGCGACTCGGACTGGAAGGAGGGCAGGATGAAGAAGGGGTCGCTCTTGAAGAGCGGCGCGTCGTCCAGGCTGCTCTCCAGGTCCAGGTGCATCTGGATGTAGTGGTTGCACAGCTCCATGCACAGCTTGTGCAGCCGCTTGACCAGCCAGGCCCAGTCGGCGTTGCTCACGGGCTGCACGCTGAGCGAGGGCAGCCGCGCCCGCCACTGCCGCTGCTCCTTGCCCCGCGGGGGGCTCACCTGCGCCGTCTCCTCGAAGATGTCCTCGTCCTCCGACGAGCACGGCTGCGACGAGTCGCTGCTGCGCTCCTCGTCCTCGAAGAGCACCTTCTTCACCTGCTCGGCCGTGATGGTCTCCTGGTTGGTGAGCACGGCGCACACGAGCGCGTGGAAGTAGATGTTGAAGCTCATAGCCGACTGGCGGTACAGGTTGGCGGCGCCCCCGATGCCCGACACCTTCTTCAGCAGGCACTTGAGGCCCGGGCTGGTGTCGAACTCGCGCGCCGTGCGGTAGGAGTCCAGCAGCAGGTCGAAGATGACGGCCAGGTTCTGCATGGAGATGTAGCGGAGGAAGCCGGCCAGCTTGGCGTCGGGGCCCGGCAGGCTCTTGTCCTCGCCCGGGGACGGGCCTTTCACGAACTCCTCCAGCAGGATGTCGTAGAGGTTCTGCAGGAGCACTTGGTGGGAGAGGAGGCTCACCACGATTTCCCGGAAGGACACACTGCCAATGCAAAGAGAGGGGCCGGTGAGGGGGCTGCTCCTACCTTAGGCTTTAGGTGTGATAGTTTCTAACTGTAAATCCTCTGGACAGAGAGCCCCCCCCCCCCCCTTGCTTTAGGCTTAAGTGAAAAATAATGTGACAATAGCAAAGAGCCATATTCTAGAAAGCAATAACAAGGTAAAATTTCTGTTTATAGATATGTAACTTTAAAAAAAAGTGAAAGAAGTCCTGTATTATTATTGTTGTTGCTATTATTATTATTATTTGCTTTTTGAGTCACACCCAGCGATGCTCAGAAGTTGCTCCTGGCTCTGCACTCAGGAATTACTCCTGGCAGTGCTTGGGGGACCATATGGGATGTCCCGGATCAAACCTGGGTTCACCATGTGCAACACAAACGCCCTTCCCACTGTACTATCGCTCCAGCCCTAGATATCTAACTCTTAGACTGATAGAAGGCAAGATTTGGAGCAAGCAAAATTAATGAATCTGTTTTCAGTAAATTACACTCAACTCTTTCATGCTTTCTCTCAGCATGCCCTTTACCATGAGAACATGCTTTGTGTATTTGAGGTCCTGAGTTCATTCCCAGGCACGACCAAAGAAAATCAATCTTGACTGTATAAAGAATCATAACAAGTGGGTGTGTGTGACTGACACTGAGTTGATGAATTTATAGTTTAAAGTCTAATCCTTAAGCCCTAATAAGCTTAAGATTACTTGGATTGAGCCAGGGAGATAGCTCATGGGGGTACATGCCTGTTATGCAGATGCCCCAAGTTTAACCCCGGGTACTACACTAGTTCCATCAGTACTGCTTAGGAATCGTCCCCAAATGATTATGTGGATTGTGTAATGGTAGGGGTTTTCTGTTTCTTTCCTTCCTTCTCTCCATCACTTCCTTTCCTCCCTTCCTTCCTTCCTCTTTTTCTGTCTTCTTGGTTTTTAGGCCACACCCCGCTGTGCTCAGGACTCCTAGCTCTGCATTCAGGGATCACTCCTGGCAATCTCAGGTGTGGAGTTTTTAAGGTTTTCAAGATTTTAAAAACAAAGCCCAAATTTCTTTGTATTTAAGTGCGGCAGTTTTTTTCAGTCAAGTGTAGGGTGTACACACGAGAGCATGTTGGAACCTGGAGCAATAGTACAGTGTGTAGGGTGTTTGCCTGGCATTTGACTGACCAGGATTTGATCCCCAGCATCTCATGTGGTGTCCTAAGACCACCAGAATTATTCCTAAATGCAGAACCAGGAGTAATCCCTGGTTGTGGCCCCAAAGCCAAAACAAAACAAAACAAAACAAAAACAAAAACCCAATGAAAAACAACAAACCCAAGAAACCACTAAGTAAGCTTACAGAAGATGATACCTTGTCCAATCTTGACATCTTAGAAAGCAAGTAGCATAGTAATACGAGGTGATCCTAATTTTCTTTGCTTATAAGTTCAGCTTATTTTCCCTGTTTCAACCTTTTCCCTGTTACTTCAAAAATCATGAAAACAGTGTTGTAAATTACAGGGCCTACATTTTAAAAATTCCAGTAAGAATAGTTGAAAGTTAGACATTTGAAAATAGGATGGAGCTGGAGCAATGTTTTCCTTGCATGCGTCTGACCCAGATTCAAAACCCAGCATCCCTGATTCATTCTCAGGCCCCCCCAAAGCCCTCTAGTAATAAACCCTGAGCACTACCTAAGAGTACCACCAGGTGTGGCCCTAAAACCAATAAATAAATGAAATGAAATTGAAACTAGGAAAAGAATTGAGTGGCCAACACTGAAAAAGGAGAAAAGGGTAAACTAGCAAGGTTCTGTTCATGTAGTACTGGATATGAAATCTGGGCCTGCCACAGGCAAAGCCTACACTCAGTTGTTGGGCTCCCTCCCTAGCCCAAAGTTCCATTTCTGAAGTTGGATGCAATTTCATTAGTTACTTTAGTTTCTATTCATGCTTTTTAGTTTTTCAACCCTTCACATGCTTTTTAAACATTTTTTTTTTATTTTTGGGCCTCACCTGGCAATGCTCAGGGATTACTCCTGGTTCTGCATTTAGGAATAATCCTGGTGGTCTTAGGAGACCACATAAGATGCTGGAGATCGAATCCTGGTCAGTCAAATGCCAGGCAAACACCCTACACACTGTACTATTGCTCCAGGCTCCAACATGCTCTCGTGTGTACACCCTACACTTGACTGAAAAAAAAATCAGTACCTGGAAATTCACCCCAATGCTCATATGAATTAAACTATTTTACTAACCAGCTGAATTTTTGGAAGAAGACATTCCACTTTTTCCTTTAATATGGAAAAGATTTGGGAATGTGGATGTAGCTCATGGATGCAGTGCAGGCTTTGTATTGCAGAGATTCTAAGTTTGGTCCTCAATACCAAACCCCAGGAAAAAAGAATTCTGGCTTTCCCCTTCACAGTTGTGTCTGCTAAGTGATCCAGCCTCTTCCAGGGAATGGAATATAAGTCCATGCAATTTACAATCTCAAGTGCTTCAGTTGTGTTTGAAAACGGGGATTTCAACTCTAGAAACAATAGCCGGTGACAGGATGAAAGTTTTAGAAGAGGGCAAGGGTCTGGTGAGGTAGTACATGAGTTAAAGTAACCTGCCTTTATATCCCACAGAGGCAGGGGGGGATGGGGGGATGGGGGTGGGGGGGATATTATCCATAGTGGTGGAAAATGGGCACTGGTGGAGGGATGGGTATCTGATCATTGTATAATCAAACCCAAGCACAAAAAATTGTAAATCTACAACTGTACCTCATGGTGTTTCACTAATAAAAAATAAATTAATTAATTAAAAAATCAAAGAGAAAAAAAAAAAAGTAACCTGCCTTGCAGTGGCTAACCCTGATTCAACTCCTGATACCCCATGGTTGCCTGAGATAATCTCTGGGCCTCCTGATAACAGTTTGGGGGATCCCCATTTCCCCAAAAGAAAATAAAAAAGAGCAAGTTTCTTGTGGCAGGATACAAATATTTTTGTCTTTAAGAAATAGATTTTTGGGTCACACCAGTGGTACTCAGGGATCACTCCTGGTGGGCTCAGAGATCAAACCCAGGTTGGTCACATTCAAGGCAATGCCCTACCTGCTGTACTAGGGTGCCAATCTCTGTTTTTGTCTTTTGAAAGCTGTATTTTTTACTAATATGAGTCATGCCTCAAATTAGGTGTGTGTGTGTGTGTGAGAGAGAGAGAGAGAGAGAGATATGCCAAGTATAAAACCCAACTCTAGCTATTTCTGAAAGATTCTATGAATCTCTCTATCATCATACCCAAGTTGTCTAGCCCACAGTACCACACGATGTGACCATATTTGAGGGAAAACTCCAAAGCACTGATGGCTAAGATGAAGTCATTACAGTGCTCCCTATTCCAATATGGCTATTATCCTTATAACAAGAGACTAGGACACAAAGTAAAGGCCATGTGAAGACATCCACATAGAAGCCAAGGAGAGAGTCCTTAGAAGCAACCAAATGGACTGACTTTCAGCCACCACAAGTGTGAGAAACTTTAATGCTCTTTTTTTTCTGTCTCTTTGTACTTTGGATGGGCAGCTCCTGGCAACTCAAAACATGTGAAATGTGTGGGAAGCTAGTTACAAGACTAAGGGATTTCTATGAAAAACCATTGCTAAGTGGCCCCATAAATGTTTGTGGGATTCTCAGTCAAAGCTTGAACGGTTTTGAATCGAAGTAAGAACCAGGACCCCTTAAGCTTTCCTAGGTACAAGTTCCCTGAGCACCACTTGGCTTCATAGCAGACCTTTTCTTGGTGTGTCCATTTGGCTTCTCGTCAGGAGGAAGCTCAATAATGAGCTGACAGGACTGAGCATGATCAAAGTTGTTTGGAGTCTTGGGTGAACACTGGGTGTCCAACATAAATACCTGCACAGGGAAACAGAAGCACAGTTGAGAGCTTGTCCATTCGTCACCTGATTCCACCAGGAATTAGCTGGATGGCCCTGGGCAAGTTGCTTATTCTTTCCAGTCATATACTCCCTTAGAGAATGAAGACACTTAAGGGTTCTTACCTGGTATGTTTGTTGAAGGAATTAAATAAATTGGAATTTTTGTAAATTAGAAAGCTTTAGAACTGAAGAAATAGTACAGCGGGTAAGACGCTTGCCTTGCATATGGCTTACCGGAGTTTGATTGCTGGCACCAGATATGATCTCCTGAACCTGCCAGGAGTGATCTCTGAGCACAGAGCCAGGAGTAAGCCCTGAGCACTGCTGGGTGTGGCCCCCCAAACAAACAAAAAAGTAGAACTGAGGAATAAAAATATTCTACAAATGTGAGCTGCACCATAATACAAACAACACTACGATGTCTACCCCATGACAATTCATTCCACTGCAAATAGCAAATACTGATGTTTAATATTACTTACATTTAATATTGATTAAGAGTAAGAAAAGTAGGGCTATGTGTAAAGTGATATGCTCTGGTTTTGACAGAATGTCTGTTGGGTATCATATTCTAGCTAACTCAAGTCTGAGAAATTATTTGGCTTCTGAGGTAGCCATGCTACTCTAGTCAACAGTGGGAGAAATGACTAAGCAAACAGCAGCCTCTTCCTAGGTCTCTGATTCAGATGATTTCATTTTACATGAATTAATTTTTCTTCACTGTTCCCCTTTGGGGGGAGGGGGGGTGAGAGACAGAGAGAGAGACAGACAAAAAGACAGACAGACAGATATACAGACAGAGAGCACTCAAAGAGCAGGGGCCCATGCCTGGCACACACAGGGCCCTGGCTTTGATCCTCGGTACCCCATGGCCTCTGGCTACTACTGGGTAGCCCTAGAGGCACCTATGAAAAAGAATCTACTAACTTACCTTTGGAAGTATTAAAAAGTTTTTTGTTTGTTTGGGGGCCACACTGATGTTATATTCAAGGCTAACTCCTGGCTCTATACTCAGGGATCACTCCTGATGGGACTCAGGGGACTGTGTGGGATGCCAGGAATCGAACCTGGGTTGGTTGCATGCAAAGACAAGATCCCTGACAGTGTACTATCTCTCCAGACCATTCCTAAGTATTTTGAAGAAATCTCTTTCTTCCCTAGTCATGTAAGCATGATTCAGATTGACTAACACCGGAAGGACAATAGAGACAAGGGCCAGGATGATCACTGTGTGGTTTGGAAGCCTGACTCATGTGTTAAGGGAAAAGACATTTGGATGGAGAAGAGACCACTAAATCAATGATGGTTGGAGGAATTACTCGGGGTGGGAGATGTATAGAAAGTAGACTAAGGACCAAACATGATGGCCTCTCAGTATCTGTATTGCAAACCATAATGCCCAAAAGTAGAGAGAAAGAAGGAAAGTGCCTGTCATAGAGGCAAGAACATTGGTGGTAGAAATGTGAACTGGTGGAGGGATTGGTGTTCGATCATTGTATGACTGAAACTCAATCATGAAAGTTTTGTAACTGTATCTCATGATGATTCAATAAAAAAAATTAAGAAAAGAATGACTCAGATTGTTATTATCATCTTAAGGGTGACGACAGGCGGGAGAGACGGGATTGAGGAAGAATGAGGTAAAAAGTAAGGAGTGAAAGGTTTTCGAAATCATCTCTGCACTGCTCCCTGAATGATCGATTTCTGAGGAGGAGTCCAGTGATTTTTCTTAACCTTGCTATGACTTAAGAGACCACTGCAGGTAGGTGTGGGACTCCTTATCAGGGGATGATTATGCTCTTGGCTTCTATGTGACGGTTCCAGACCAGAATTATTGCTGTGAGGACCCACCATGTCAAGCTCTTCACTTCAGCTTCATATCATTTCTTTTTGTGGTAATGTGAGGGTTAGACAGCAGGGTTTGCTTGACTCTCCCTGTCCCCTTGAAATTAAGCAATGCCTTCTCTTGATGTATCATTATAATGATGAGAAAGTTAAAAACCTGAGTAGGTAAGCACAGGTAACCAGGAAGGCACCCAGAGGCGGGAGTCTGAGTGGCCCATTCTGGGAACCAGGCAGAGATGAATAGGTGATAAAACTGACCAGAACAGAATGGCCCAAACCCACCTGTTGCCAAGTGGAAAGAGAAGTGGGGGTCATTGAATCAACTGGTAAATTAATAAATGTCTACAGGACCTAAAACAATGTATCCACCACAGAGTTTCCCAGCAACAAGATTCTTCCACCAAGTCCCACCCGTGGGACTGTCACCCCCCATCGCTCAAAGTCCCTCAGTGGATTGTTTCTACCCAAACAATCAAAAACACCATTCTTGTGCCTTTCTTCTCTTTGTTTCACCATTGTCAGAAAACTCCCATAAAAAGTGCTCTGTGCCCCTTCATGGGGTTGCAACTTCAGGCGATTGCCTCGTTGGATGGAAGTTAAATAATTAAAACTCCTTGCTTTCGCACCTAAAGATGTTTTTGGTGTGATTGATTAAGTGAATTTATTTATAAAATTCTGCCCCTGCCTCTAAGTACTGCAGTGGTACATGCCAGTGGGATAAGCCGTATCCCCAAGAACAGATCTACTATGTTCTGGAATGTTACAGATCTGGGGGTGGAAGAGTCTGGGCTTCAGCAAGCCCTTGAGAAACCAACTGGCCAGGAAACTCCACTGATGCATACCAGTGACTGAGCCCTCTGTGTTGGCCGTCACTAGATTGGGGACAGCAGGTGTCATTACAAAGCTAAGCAGATTCTTATCGCAAATGATCCTTTTGCATCTAATCCTCAACTCACCTTGTTTTTCTAAATTTGATGTAGTTTGATAGTATGTAGACATTTATAAAAGCTTAACATTTTAAACACGTACCACAAACAGATGCTTTTACAAAACAGTAAACCCATCAATGCTTCCTGAATTTTAGTCCTTTCTTGTATTTTCAAATGATCCTTTTCCATATAATCCCCAACTCACCTTGTTTTTCTAAATTTGATGTAGTCTGATAGTACGTAGACATTTATAAAAGCCTCTTAATATTTTAAACACGTACCACAAACAGATGCTTTTATAAAATAGTGGTTAAACCCATCTATGCTTCCAGAATTTTAGTCCTTTTTGTATTTTCACAACTATGAATAACGTTGCTATCTTTGTGGGGGTCATACCCAATAGTTTTCAGGTATAACCCTCAAGTAGTGCCAGGAATTTGAATTAGGATCAGCCAAAGCAGCCCCATGCAAGGCAGATGCCTTATCTCCAGCTACCACATTTTTCTTCATACAACTATATGAGGATTTTGAGACTCTGCTTAACGATACTGCTGATGAAAACTCCAGGCAGGCTTTATTTTTTTAAATTTGTTTTTAATTAATTCTTTTTCCAAGCAGGATGCTTAAAAGGCATGCTGGTATGTCAACAACGTGTTTGGATGCATATCAAAGCCTGTGTTGGTGCTCTAAGGTCTTCTGTGATTCAGTAATTGATTGAGTCCAAAGGAACACTAGGTGGCTTCTGTATGCTTTGTTTTAGGAATAGCAAGACAAATATATGGAATATACTCTCTGCTGCTTGCAAGGAACTCATATGGTTTCTGGCCTGAATCTCAAAGAGAAAAAGCCAGTGATGGTTGCTCCATTAGTAAGTACATTTTAATGCTAATGGTGACATTCAACACCAGTATATTAAATAAGTTGTAAATGTGAAGCTCTGGGCTTCACATTTGTAATGTGAATGTGTAAGAATGTGTAAGCACACACTTCGAATAAAGTTGTGTGAAGACAGAAAAAGGGCAGTGATCCAAGTTGATCTGAGCACCAGAGGATGCAACAAACAGCATCCTTGTCCCTATCCTGTCTTGTGTTTTCACGATTATGAGTAACACGGCTATTTTTGTGGGGGTCATCCCCAACAGGACTCAGGTGTGTAACCCCCAAATTATGCCAGGAATTTGAACTCGGGTCAGCCAAAGCTGCTCCATGCATCCATACCCTGAGGTGACATATCAACATGCCTTTTAAGACATCCTGCTTAGAAAAAAGAATTAAATTAATTAAAAAGAAAGATATAAAAACCAGTTCCCGGAACCGACATCTTATTATGACATCTTATTATCTCATTCCTACTTTGGACAAACTGGCAGGCTACCGAATGTAGCCTGCCCACACGGCAGAGTCTGGCAAACTCCCTGTGGAGTACCCAATATGCCAAATACCAGTAACAATGATGGGTCTCATTCTCCTAAAGAGCCTTGAATATAATCTCAGGGCTAGGATGAAGGAGATGTTACTGGGGCCTGCTCGAGGCAATCGACGATTAACAGGATGATTTGTGATTTGTGATTTGTGAAAAAGAAAGGTGGAAAAGGGAAAACTGTTGACTGTGATACACATTTATTCCTGGTAAGGCACAGTATGGCAAAAGACATCAGAACCAGTAGATATCTGTCCTCCCAAAGGGAATGAAGGCAGTTTGGTGATGCCAAACCTACAGGTAGCACTGTAGCACTGTCCTCCCGTTGTTCATCGATTTGCTCGAGCAGGTCCAGTAACGTCTCCATTTTGAGACTTGTTGTTACTGGGTTTGCATATTGAATACATCACGAGTAACTTGCCAGGCTTTGCCCTGTGGGCGGGATACTCTCAGTAGCTTGCAGGGCTCTCCGAGAGGGGCGGAGGAATCGAACCCGGCTCAGCCAGGCTGGCTGCATGCAAGGCAAATGCCCTACCGCTGTGCTATCGCTCCAGCCCAATCTATAGGTACACCCAGTGATATCTTGAGATACGGCTCCAGTGTATCGTGGGCTGCTAGAATCCCCTGGGACCAAAGTGCCAGCCCTTACCTGTTGAGCCATGGCTCGGATGCGCCAGTACTCGGCCTCGGCACTGGGGGAGGAGGAGGGCGCAGCCACCCTCACCTGGCAGCCTTCGCCACTGAAGCTCTCAGTGCCACTGTGGAAGCAACCCAGCAGATCCTGGGGAAGAAACACAGAAGGGGTCAGTGAGGGCATCCAGGGTCTGGGTTGCAGGTCCTGCCTTGGACTTGAGTATCTGACCAATGCATCGCTTTAGCCACTATTTCATTCTCTTTGAGGTTACCTGCCTGCACTGAGCAGGAAGTCAGAGTCCACTCTCTGGCTTCACTGAGGAGGGTGAGCTCCTTCTGCCCTGACCCTCCTCTTGGACACGCACCTTCACTGGCTTGAGTGTGGCGGTAAAGGCGTCCTGCAGGGCACAGCACGCGAGTCTCCACATCTCCTCCGTGAACACTGGGCCCGCTGTCACGAGGACATACCTGTCCCAAAGAAACAAGGACAGAAGTCTCCATTCGGCCCCCAACTAAAGCTAGGCCTGCAGATACCCAGGCATCGAGAGATTTCAAAGGTTCCTTAGAACGCCTCCATATTACTCTTGCCTTTAATCCCTAGGTCAAGATATGGTCTTCTTGACAATTTTAATATAGAAGTATCAGAGGATTTGTATTATAACTAGGCCAGATACCTACACTTTAAGGCTGACATGCAAGGTTTTACATGCTCTGTACTAATATTCCACTACTCTACAAATGAAACCATGCAAACCTCTTTGGTCATTCATATTTTTATCTCCAGGCCTTTGTTTGTTTCTATCAAAAGCTAACCCCCTCAGGGGTCAGGGAGATAGCTCAAAGGGCTGCAAGGCTTGATCCAGGTCCCTGAGCATTGCTGGGGAGGGCCCCCCTTTCCACTTTGGGGAAATCTGACCATTTGCTACTACTACAAAAAGTCTTTGCTTATTACCCTACTCTGCTAGCTGTCTTGGCATCTCTCATTTTTCATATTACTGTTACATCCTTTAGAATAGGCTATACATTTTTTGAGGGGCATAGGACTTGGGTATCTTCTGGTATAGCGGAGTGTCTTGCAGAATGCCTTACACAAGGTATATTTGTTGTGTGAACCATGAAATGAAGAATTATTAGTACGGTCAATTTTTTTTGCTTATTAAAAAAATTTCAAGAAGATTGCTACCATGTAGGATAATTTAATCCACCCTGGATTTCATCATAAAAACACCAGTTTTGTGGCATTGTCTCTCACCTGATGCAGGAGCAGCCCACTCTGGAGATGGTTTCCGTGGGCTTGGCCACACAAGCCACCAATAACTCAAAGAGGTCCTTCAGCATGGTGTTGATCATGCTCTCATACCTGATGTCTATAGAGAGAGTAACATGAACATTTCTTCAAGTACTGCCAGAGAGTGGGTGGAAATGGTATTACAGGAACTCCCTTCCCACAAAAAAGGAAGTCTGATTAATAAAATAAACTCTCGGGAAAAAAATCAAGCAATAAATATAGCCATATTAGAAAAAAAACATTCTAGGGACTAGAGAAATTGCTGAAGAGGATTTAGATGCTTGACTTGAATTCCACCCTGGTTTGATTCCCAGCACTACATATTGTCCACCCAAGCATTGCCTGGGGTGGCCCCTAAGTACTGTTAGGTGCGCTTCCCACCCCCCCCAAAAATGCCCTATTAAAAAATGTTCTTAGAAAGGAGGTAAAGTGGTATACTTTTAGTAACAGTATTGTAAACTATAGTGCCTAAAAGGAAACTAAGAGAGAGAGAGAGAGAGAGAGAGAGAGAGAGAGAGAGAGAGAGAGAGAAGAAAAGTGTCTGCATAGGGGGAAGGCACGTGGGAGGGAAAAACTGGAGACATTGGTGGTAGAAAATGTCATTGGTGGAAGGGATGGGTGTTGGAATATTGTATGACTGAAACCCAACCATGAACAACTTTGTAACTGTATATTTCACAGTGATTCAATAAAAAAAATCTTAAAATGATCTTGAATACTGTTTTTGTTTGATTTTAGGCCGCATCCATTAGTTCTGAGGATCGCTCCTAGCAGAGCAGGAGGGCCATATGTGGTACTAGGGACCAAACCCAGGGTGGCTGTGTGGAAGGCAAGTGTGCAACCTACTACATTATCACTTTGGCCCTGGATTTCTTTTCTTTTTTTTTTTTTTTTTACAATTTTAGTTTACTCATTTCAAGATACATCAAAATTAAATGTGTGACTCACTTTTGAGTATTGTACATTTTTACACGTTTAAAGTACATGTTTACATCTACTTAAGCAGAACAGAACATTATATAAGAGCCTGAATACAAGTCAGTAAAAACATTTAAATTCTATTAAAAGGGGAAAATAGCTGACTGTTTTCGTTTGACTGAGTCAAATGAAATAGAACTGAATGCCTTTCATAAGAAAAACTATTTTTTTTCGTAAACTGAATCACAGTGAGATACACATTACAAAATTGTTCATGATTGGGTTTCAGTCATAAGATGTTCCAACACCCATCTCTTCACCAGTGTACATCATTAATGTCCCCAATTTCACTCCCCCTTGCCACCCCTGCCTCTATAGCAGCCACTTTTCTACTGTCTCTTTCTCTCTGTCTCTATCTGTCTCTGTCTCTCTCACTCTCTTTCCTTTTGGGCATTATGGCACAAAACTTTCTTGTCTTGCTCCCACAGGGACCTTTATAGTCTGCCTTTTGTCTAGATACTGAAAAAAGCCTGGACTGAAAAAAGTGTGACCTCCCCAAACTATATTATCTGGTCCCAATTTGAGAAATGCATCTGCATTCTTCCCCCAAATTCCTGGTGATGCCAGAGTCTGTTTTCAGTAGAACCCTTCAGGGTCCCATTCTGTGTAAGCAATGACCTGTTACTAGGCCTTCGGGTATAGTTTTCACCTACATGGAGAAAACCCCACTAGCTTTCAAATTTGCAAAATGTTCTTACTAAACTTAGCAGAGATCATTTCTTATTTCTGCCTTTTGGGGCTTCCCCTTGGGTTCAACATTCTCATTAGTTTCACTAACCTCTCCACCCAGAGGGGCCTCTTATTCCTCTTCTCTCTTTATATCTCTTGACTCCTTTCTCTTTCCTTTATAACCCTTACAAGAAGCAGTGATATTTCTTCTGCTCTCCAATTTGCAGCTCTGCCCGTGGCAAGACCCAGGAAAAACAATCTATATTCATAAGTGCTGCACGGGTTGTAAAGCTGACACAGTTGCCCTGTTCTGGCTGACTCTGTTGGAGGACGTCAGCTTACTATCCTGCCCTTCAGGCTTTCGAATCTTTTTAAAAGTGCCACACTTCGACTGTTCCCTTTATCTCTAACCTGTTAAACAACTCCTTGCCCACAACTTAGACAATTTCTAAAACCTTGCTTCTCTATTTAGCTTCCCATGGGAAGCAGGTTACAGGCCACACTTCTCCCAACAGACCTGCAGGCTGTGCATCATTTCTTCTTTTTATTTCCTACACACCTGAGTTTCAAGTATTGAAGGGATAGTCAAGACACTGCCAATGGGGGCCAGAGCAACAGTACAGCATATAGGGTGTTTGCCTTGCATATAGCCAACCAGGGTTCAAAACCCAGCATCCTATATGGTCCCCTGAGCATCAACAGGAGTGATTCCTGAGTGCAGAGCCAGGAATAACCCGAGTATCACCTGGTATGATCCAAAAAGGAAAAAAAGAGATGGTGCCATTGCTTCCTCCTGTGCACACCTATCATACATCTTAGATGTTTTAAATCATGCATTTAAAGTTGTTGTCTTGGGGTCATACCTGGCAGTGCTTGGGGGACGATGCTGAGGATTGAACTCGGCTCTCCTGATAGCTCTTCAGCCCACTGTCCTTTTTCTCACGCCCTCATACATTTATTTAAAAGTAGTGTATCAGATAGTTTGTGGGTATCAATTTTCTTTTTGGTGATCTACTATGTTATTCTATTTTAATCTTTCCTAGGACCAGTTCCTACTCTGACAATTTGCATTCGCTATTTACTAAGCCATTTGTTTCATTTTTAAATACTTGGAACTCATTTTTGATACCAATGTAAAAATATAAAAATAGCAAGTGAAAAAATTGGAGCGACAATACCAGGAGAGGAAATTATGACCTGTTGCCATGTTAGACAACGGTGCCTTGGGGTGAGAGCTACCTGAGTGGATGAAGCTCTGAATGTGCTCTACCACCAGCTCACAGGACAGGCCGATGGCATGCTTGAAGTTAGCAGAGGCCACGTCCCAGTAGGAATGGTCTTTGTGACTCCGACGGAGCCAAAGGGACATCACAGGCAGGAGAAGATGAACCACTGCATAGATACCAAACCCTGGGCCTGAAAAAGAAAAGTCAGCATTAGATTTCTGCTTTCTCCTGGGACAAAAGGGACTCACCCTGTGCATTTGTCAAGGTCTCGTTCTGAGAAGATGAAAGGAAGGTCTTACCACAAGGGCAACGACATGGACTTCAGTGAAATTTTTCTTTTGTTTGTGCACTGGTTATGCAATATACAGCATATGTTTTATTCATGCACAGATATTCAAATACAAATAAAACTGAAGTATCACTCTATCAATTCTTTAGTTCTTAAAAATAGGTAGATTCACACATACACCTAACACCCTTACTTTCTTGCTATCACACATACTGTTTACGTCAGTGGTAGACCAGACAAGCCCTTCTGACATGGGGCTAATGGCATGTGAAATCTGGTCAAAGAAGGGGACTGGAATTATGGAATAAGGCTAAGCAAAGCCAACTGGCTCATGGAGATTCTGATACCACACCCATGGCTTGACTACTGTGGGGCTCCAACACACTAAACCAACTGGCTAAAACAAATGATTTGCAAATAGATGAGTGTGGAGACATTCTAACAGGGCATGCCTTACCCGTCACTGCATCACAACCATGTAACACAAATTTATTCAGCATCTATTTTATGCATGAAGTTCCATGCTAAATTTAGGGTTATAGCAGTGAAACAGGTAGACATACATATACATGCTTTTCTGTAAATAGTAATCTGTACAACAACTTCCTTAAATATACACAGAGAAATATTTACCAGGTGTTTTAGTAACATCTCTCAACAGCTCAAAGAGTAAATCCAAGGTTGGCGGTTGGTGTTGACGGGGACAGTTGGAAACAGCTGCTGTGAGCTGTTCCAGCAGGATGATCCAGACTTCTATTAAGCCTGAAAACCATAAAACAGATCCCATGCAATCAAACAAAACAAAACACAGAATGATCATAAGGTCAAACCAAATATCACATGGAAAGAGTTCTATAAATTGCTTTGAATGTGAGATATTTCCCAGTTTGTAGCCCAAGAGGCCTAGAAACATGAACAGATTGAGATTTACATGTTTGGTGAGGTCTAGAAAAATAATGCTCAAAACTGTGCTTGGAGACTAATTGCAGCACTGGGGATTCAGCCCAGGTTAGCCACATGCTAGGCAAGCATCCTACCTGCTGTACTATCTCTCTGGACCCCTCAAATTCTTCCCAATTCTCCATCAGGAAGAGAGGGAGGTGGTATGAAAATTCTCCTATGTGGACTGGCTGTCAGATTTCTTGGTAGCTGTTGATAGCAAAAGTGTCTAACCACATTTTAGATGATCTTTTAGAAACATTGTTTTCTCCAATCTACACATCACAAAATTGTCATTTTAAGAATTTTCTTTTTGCTTTTTTTTGGGTCACACCTGGTGATGCTCAGGGGTTACTCCTGGCTCATGCACTCAGGAATCACTCCTGGTGGTGCTTGGGGGACCATATGGGATGCTGGGACTCTAACCTGTATTGGCCATGTTGGCTGCGTGCAAGGCAAACACCCTACCTGCTGTGCTATCGCTCTAGTCTCAATTTTAAGAATTTTTATGTGCACAACTCAATAACATTAATTACATGTATAATCCATTAAAAGTTCTCCCTTCTCCCTTTATTACTTTGACACTTGATAACTGCTAATCTATGAATTTGCCTGTTCTAGATCTCTCTTATCAATGGCATTTGCTTCTTTGTGTCTTATATATCTCCCTTAGCACATTACTTACAGTGCAGTGTCTATTAAAATTTCACTCCTTTTTATGGATAAATACTATTCCATTGCATGTATTTACACCACATTTTGTCCATTTACCCGTGGATGTGGTGCTGGAGACTGAACACAGAGCTCCTATGTGCAAAGTATATGCTCCAGCCCACTGAACTGTTTCCCAGCCCTGTTGGGGTTTTTTGAAGTTGGAACAGTTCAAAACAACAATCAGTTTTCCACAGAGACGGTGCCATTTTACATTCCTTTGAGGGTGCTCTCCACATCCAGGACAACACTTGTTCTTTTCCATTTTTCTTTCTAAATTATATTTATCCAAGTAGGTATAAACTGGAATTTCATTATCGGCTGGACTGGTGATAAAAGATACTGGGCAGCTTTGCATGTTGTTTGTGGCCAACTGTGGATCATCTTTTGAGGATTGTCTACTCAGGTCTGTTGACCATTTAAAACTTGGGCTGTTTATCTTTTTGCTGTTGAATGTCAGGAATTATTTACATTCTGATTCTTAAAACCTAACTGGATACATGATTTACAGATAGGTTTTCTCATTCATTAGTCTGTCTTTTCACTTGATGTCTTTCAGTACACAAAAGTTTCTCATTTTGATGAAATTTGTTAACTTGTTTTTTCTTTTGTTTCTAAAGCAAGAAAGTCTTTGTACTTCTTAGTGCATCAGTTTTTCAAGGGTACAGTGTCCATCTCCAGTTTCTTTTTATGCAATTCACCATTATTTTTTATTTATGTGTTTATGCCGTGGCTTGCAGTTCTGGTACCATTTTAATCCTATACTTATACAATTCACTCCTCATACCATGAGAAGTGGTGAGATACACAGTAGACACAGATTTATTTGCTCAGAGAATACCCGTCTTTCTTATTGCTCTTTTTCTGAGTCTTGTTTTAAAAACAAAACCCTAAGTTTTAGTGTAAGCTAAGTGGAAAGCAAGGGACCTTGTTTGTGCTCCAAACAATCCCAATTGCTGTTATTTACACCAGCAATATATGAGCCAACTTTCCTGCTCATCACTGTCCTCTGAAAAGTGTGTACAGAAGCAGAAAAGGATCCTCATATTTCATATAAAGGAGTCTAGAGGAGACTACGAGTTCGATTCCTCCGCCCCTCTCGGAGAGCCCGGCAAGCTACCGAGAGTATTCGATATGCCAGACACAGTAACAACAAAGTCTCCAATGGAGACGTTACTGGGCCCGCTCGAGCAAATCGACGATCAACGGGAGGGCCTTTACCTTACCTTTACCTAGAGGAGACTATACACAAGTTAGCATGTCTTCGTTTTTAACACTTCTAATTTACCTTGAATCAACAGTGATAGGAGGCAGAATTTTTATAAAGTAGTTCACAATATTTGATTATGCTTAATATTCGAACACCAATCCCACCATCATTACACCTTCCCACCACCATATTTTGGATGTTTCCATCCCGAACCCGAGCCCCTGCCCCAAAGCAGAACCGAGATAATTTATTTTGTATTGTTTGTTATGAATAATCCCCTGAAAATGCTCAAAAAAAAAAAACCTCTCCTTAGGGGAGAGTGTGTGAAGATTACTGTATTTCAAAAAATGGGCTGGAGCAATAGCACAGTGGGTAGGGTGTTTGCCTTGCATGCGCCAACCTGGGTTCGATTCCTCTGTCCTTCTCGGAGAACCTGGCAAGCTACCAAGAGTATCCTGCCCGCACGGCAGAGCCTGGCAAGCTCCCCATGGCATATTCAATATGCCAAAAACAGTAACAACAAGTCTCACAATGAAGATGTTACTGGTGCCCGCTTGAGCAAATTGATGAACAATGGGAAGACAGTGCTACAGTGCTACTTTATAAAAATAAAATTAAAAAAAAAAAAAACCACTGGTTTAAATTATGTAGCGCACTTCATTCTTACCTAACTAATAAACTGGAACCTCTGGCAGTATTCAACCATTTCTAGGATTTTAATTGTCTTTAGTTGTGTTATGGTGTTTTTTTTTTTTTTCTGTTTGGCCATACTTGGCAGGGCTTATCCCTGGTTCTGTGCTCAAAGATCAGTCTTGGTGGGACTTGGACATATGTTGTCATGCATCAAAACCAAGTCAGCTGCATGCATGGCAAAGTACCTTACCCTTTTTACTATTTTTACTTTTTTCTTACAGGGCCTCTGGGTTTTTTTTCTTACAGTTCTTCCTTACTAGTCTGAATTAAGCAAGCTTTTACTAATTATGATCCTTAAGGAAAAACTAAATCTTCCAAACACTCTCACAAATCGCCTTGTAACAGAAAAATCAAAGAAATAAACAAAAAAAAATTAAATTTTTAAAAAAGTTTTTTAAAAAAAGTCCTCTACAACAGTGCAAAGCCCCTTTATGCCGAGGTATTAGATTTCTTCAAGGATATAATTTTTATCCATTTCTTAGATCTAGAAGCATGTCAGAGAAGAGCCAGTAAGTACTGGTCCACAGTACCCCTCCTGAAAACTATCCCAGTTAGGAGACAGGAAATTGCACGGGAACTAATTTGAAAGTCTTTAAAGTTATTCCTTTAATGAGTCTACAGCCATCCTAGTCACAAATAGATTCTCTCTTTAGCAATGGTATAATTTCCCCAGCCTCTAACCAAATAGTCTTGTAGGAAGTAATTATGAACGGATTCTATTTCCTAGGAGAGATGGAGACAATCACTAACCACGCTGAGTGCCCAGGAACCCGCATTCCAACATGCTAAATCAAGAGAATTCAAAGTTTGTAGCCGCATGGAGTAGAATCTACAGATGGAAGATCTCGTGATGGAAGCAATCCTTTAAAAAGGATGGGTCTGAAGGCATCAGTTGTAAAATGGGCTTTGCAGGGAGCCCCTGGAAACTTCAATGACTTTAGTTAGAATCACAAACAATAACAACATAAATGGTTGAGTGTTAATATCATTACTATTACTATTTTGCTTTTTGGGCCATACCTGGTGGTGCACTGGGGTAACTCCTGGCTCTGCACTCAGGGATAGCTCTTGGTGGTGCATGGGGGAACCATATGGGATGGTAGGATCGAATCCAGGTTGGCCGTGTGCAAGGCAAGCACCCTACCTATTGTACTATGGCCTGGCCAGGGTTGAGCATTCTTGTGCTCTATGAGAAGCTACAGAACTCACAGCCAAAGCTTCTGAGAATAGGATGCAGGAAAACCTTGGGTTAGTTCAACAAACTCACCAGTGTCGTCGTCAAAGTCAGACAGGACCGACTCAATGCCATCCTCGCTGCTCACAGACTGTTCCTGAAGCCTTCGCGGCAAGCTCGCCAGCCGCCCGCTGAGGAAGATCGGCTTCAAGGGCATCTTGTAGATCTTCGCCAGTAACTAAGAAGAAAGGAGACCAAACTGCAATTTCAGATTGCAAAAGAAGCGGGGTGTGAGTATTAAAGAAAATTATAAAACCAGTAACAGAAGGATGAGGAGAGAAAACCAGAAACACTCCCAACATATGAAGGTCTGTCATTCGGATTTGTGAGATACTTACTCCACGACTTGGATGAAATGACACTCACTGGCAACAAAATAGGTAAGCAAAAATCTTCCTGATTCCATTCCTAGTATCTTAGTCCCATGTGAGTTTTATAGACTTTTATAAACCTACCATGAGAATCCCTGGGCAAATCAAGATGTTTTGCTTAAGAGACTGTAGGCAAATGAGATTTCAGAATCTATTTTTTTGGGGGGGTGGGGGGTTAGGGAATGCCTTCAAAGTTGTGCTCAGGCCGAGTGCTGCTGGGGACCACTGGGGCCACTCTGGCAATCTAGGAGAACACGTGATGCTAAGGATCCAATTGGGATCTGCCATAGGAAAGGCATGTGACTTGTCGGCATCAGGGATGGCAGAGACCCAAGAGCAAGAGGGGACATGGAGGAATTTGGCAAAGCACGTACGACAAGTTTCCAGAAGTTGCCCTAATTGATTGCCCTGGGTGCGTTACTCCTCTTACAAGGAGTCCAGGGCCTGTTACAGGGACAAACTCCCAAGGAACCTTCTTTCTCTGACCCTTTCTCTTTCTTCTCTCTCTCTCTCTCTCTCTCTCTCTCTCTCTCTCTCTCTCTCTCTCTCTCTCATTCTCTTCTTCTTCCCCCCTCCAAATTCTGACTGTACCTGTGACAGAAGATTCCTGCCATGTCTTCCAGACAAGAATCTTTTCACAAGAGAATTTCTCACATACTTGCTACAGGAAAAAAAATCTATCAGGTGCAACTGGAAAGTGTGAGGAGAGGTGGCAGGGTGATACATAAGCACCATTCTGTCTGAGGAGGTGATTTTTGTCTCAGATCAGACCATTTTGTCTGAGGAGAGGTTCTGGAAGCCTTTGGGACATGAAGGGGGTGTGAGTGGTCATGCGTGGGTGTAGTGAGAGGGGTCTGAGTTGGAGACGGAGGGAGTCATGGGGCCTGGTGGGGTCAGCGAGAGGACGAGACCTAGACAGTGCCCTGGAGATTTCATCTCTCCTTAGGGAGAGGCCACAGATGGAGGCGCAATGAGGCTGGGACGCAAGCGCAGAGGAGAGAGGAAAACATGACAGAGATGGGGTGTCGCTGAGGCCTCGAGCAAGGGCGTCATAGAGGGCAGTCATCCTGGGCCCACCAACACCGGGCACAGCTGTGGACAGACTGACCCCTGTAGGCCTGGCACAACTAAGGATACTGCTTGCTTTCTTTTTTCTTCTTTTCGGGTCATACCCAGTGATGCACAGGGGTTACTCCTGGCTCTGCACTCAGGAATTACTCCTGGTAGTGTTCAGGGGACCCTATGGGAAGCTGGGAATCGAACCCGGGTCAGCCGCATGCAAGGCAAATGCCCTACCCACTGTGCTATCGCTCCAGCCCCGATACTGCTTGCTTTGTTAAGTGCTGTTTTATTAGAACTCCTTTCTTGTCTTATTTATTTCGTCTGCCTGGCAGGAATCCTTGTTTTCTTTTTCAATTTTAATTAAAGAACCATGATTTTCAAAGTTAGTGATAGTTGAGTTTTAGGCATGTAATATTTCCACAACAATCCTGCCACCAGTGTCAACGTCCCTCTTTATTTTGTAATACCCCGTGTTATTTTTGTCAACCTTCCCCTTCCCCCACCACGTTCTAGTGTTATCAGGAAGGTTTCAGGACAGGACCCCTCCCCTATTCCCTGACATGAATTTAGGTTATGGCACTTCACGCCTGTGAATCTTGGTGAGGCGACTCAGACGTCAGGATACAATGGTGTCTTCTTGTTGACATTCATGAATGTTCCCTCCTTTGGGGGAAGGGGTGGGTGTTGAGAGTCACACTCCAAACCCAACCCCCAGTGTCCTTAGTCTACAGCGTTTCTTAGGCTTTGGCACACACCACCCAAGCCTTTGTGTAAGCTTCTGAGGTGGCTCTGAGGGCCTGGTGCTCCAGAGCCTCCCAACCCCCACCCCCACACCTGTACCTGGGAACAGCGCCTGAGATAATCCAGGGCAGGGAGGCACAGGTCTGGAGACGTGGTTCCGGGTCCGGCGACACAGTCTCCAATCTCTTTACAGTCCACCTCCCCTAAGGGATAGCATGGGGAGAGAGACAAACAAAATCACCCTGATTATCCCCTGACCACAGAAAGCTTAAGTCATCACATGGTGCTACTTTGCTAAAGAGCTACTAAAATAGAAGGGACAAAAAGTATCCCCCAGCGTTTGGAGGATCCTCCCAGGATGGGAGATGCATGCTGAAAGTAGACTATAGACCGAACATGATTGCCACTCAATGCCTCTTTTGCAGACCACAACACCCAAAAGGAGGGAGAGAACAAAAGGGAATGCCCTGCCACAGAAGCAGGGTGGGATGGGGGGTGGGAGGGATACTGGGCTCAGTGGTGGTGGGAAATGGGCACTGGCGGAGGGATGGGTATTTGATCATTGTATAATCAAAACCCAAGCACAAAAATTTGTAAGTCTACAACTGTACCTTGTGGTGTTTGACTAATAAAAATTAAAAAAAAATATCCCCAGGCATACTCTAGGGAAATACTCCAGTGTGCATGTGTGTGTGTCTGTTAAATACACTTGGGATCACACTGCACTTGTTACCAGGACTATTGTGGCATTTAACTCCCTCTTTTACTAGACAATGAACGTGTTTTCCATATTCAACCACAAAATTGTCAGCGTGTGGGCAGGGGTTCTCCTGTTCTGGGCAAACTGTCCTTCCTGTCCCCGGGTACCTGTGAAGGGTGTTGTGGGTTTTGAGATGACAAATGATCCTGGAGACAAGCCATATGCTGGGCTGGAATGATGCACTGGGTTCTGTTGGGTGAGGAACTTCATTTGCTGCCATGCTCAGTGTTAAAGAGGATTGATAAACTAAGACCCTGAGTTTGGGAAGAACATTAAGAGGAATGAAATCTATATTTTAGTGATTAGTGATTTGGTGCATCTCTACAGGGTAGTGCAGATTTTCTAATAGGTAAATAGTTAGTTGGGAATGATATTGTTTCTTTTCACGTAACGCAACTATTTTGATAGGTTTAGAAAAATTATTTCACAGCACCATTGTGAAATAATTGTCTACAATTACTGTCTACAGTTGCAGACAATTAGAATCCTTCCCTGTGAGTAAATAGATATAATTACTAGGCATTAATTAAAATTTAGAAAACAACTAAGAAGCATCTTTCTCTTTAAAAAAATAAAAAAGAAAACACATATTTCTTATGCTTTAGATCAGGGACTCACAAGTACTTGGGGAGAAGGGCAGTTAACAGAGTCATACAGTTAACCATTTGGGCTTTATATATATATATATATATATACACACACACACACACACACACACACATATATTTGTCCTTTTCTTAGCTCTGCAGCCATACACAAAAACAACCACAGACAAATTAACATGGCTGTATTTCAGTGAACTTTGTTTTTAAAATTAAACAGAATTTGACTCCAGGGTCATAATTTTCCAATCCTAGATTAGATTTGCTCGAGCACTATCCTCCTGTTGTTCATCGATTTGCTCGAGCAGGCCCAGTAACGTCTCCATTGTGAGACTTGTTGTTACTGTGTTTGGCATATCGAATATGTCACGAGTAGCTTGCCAAGTTTTGCCATGCAGGCGAGATACTCTGGGTAGCTTGCTGGGCTCTCCCAGAGGGGCAGAGGAATCGAACTCAGGCTGGCTGCATAGGCCGCATGCAAGGCAAATGCACTAACCGCTGTACTATCACTCCAGCCCACAAACAGTAAAAAAATAAAATAAAATAACAAATATACCACCCACTAAACATTTTATTTTATGTAGTATTTTCAGACAACGTTAACTGCAGATACCTGAAACCAGGAATAAGGGAGGAATACTGCATAGAACATTGATAAGAGCATGCCTAGGGGCCAGAGAGACAGTACAAGAGTTAAGGAGATTGTCTTGCATGTAGTAGCATTGCAAATGGTTCTCCAAGGACCACAGAAAAAAGGATAAAAATGTATTTTGGGCCAAATGCATCTGAAAGAGCCAACAACAGAAAAACAATTCATTTCCTATCTTGTTTATTACAGTGAGGCAGTCTGAACTTTTCTACGGAGTTTCTGTTACGTGTCAAAACTCCATGCTTGCTGGAGAAAATGGCAGCTGGGATAGCGAAGGGACCACTAAGTAAAAGATGCTTGGAGGGCTCGCTCGGGATGGGACATGCGTGCTAAAAGTAGACTAGACCAAACATGATGGCCGCTTAGTACCTGTGTTGCAAACCATAACACCCAAAAGAAGAGAGACAGTAAGCAGGAATGTGCCTGCCACAGAGGTGGTGGTGCTGGGGGAGGGGGAGGGGATGGGATGGGGATGGTGGGATACTAGGATACTGGGAACATTGGTGGTGAAGAATGCGTACTGGTGGAGGGATGATCATTGTATGGCTAAAACGTAATCACAAAAGTTTCTAAGTCTGCAATTATATCTCACAGTGATTCACTAAAAAATAAAATAAAATAAAACAAAACAAAAAAATAAAGGCAGCCATGCCTGGAGTCCAAGGTAGAAGGTAAAACAAAACAAAATGAAAAACAAAAACAACTCTATGCAAACAGTGCCCCCTGCTGTCAGGGGTGGACCAGTACACAATAACATATCTAGAAGCTGTCACCATTCACCCCAAGCCAAGAAAAAGTATCTCCACTTTATACCTCTCAAATATCTTTATATCTTTCTAGCACGCTGCAAAGAATCTTGACCTAAATGTTTCAAAGAAACTCCCAGTACCCAAATGTCCAAAGACAAAGCCCACTGCTTTTCCTGTTCCTGTTCTTGCATATAGCTAATTCTATATGACATGGGACCTTGGGAAATGAGGAACCAATCTTAACTTCTCTCAGGTCCTCACTGGAGCATCATAAATCCTCTATAGATCCCACAGATGCCAGGTCCCACCCCGCCCTCACCTGACCTCCTGCAGCATGGGCCCGTCTCCATTGTCTTTTCCACACTCACCAGAATTCAGTTCTGGTGAGTGTGGAATAATGTTGCACGTGATTGCATCCTTTTTTTTTTTTTTTTTAGCTGGAGACGTTCCTCACTGTTCCTCACATCACTGCGCTGCACCAGACCAGAAAACCTGGCCTCCTCTTCCTTTATTTTCACTCCTCATCCACTAATCTCTTGTGTCTGAGTATCTTTAAGGTGCCCTATTTTTAGAAAAGTGACTCCAGAGCTCATTTTATAAAGCTAACATGTCACCTCTTTGAGGCCGGCACATGTATCGCCTGCCAAACCCCTCCCACCCAGGCAGTTCATTTCAGATTAAGGAAAAAAGAACAACTAGCTTCTATTGAAGAGTTCATCATACTTGTCTGTAAGGACTTGTGTGCATTTTCCAGAGAGGCCAGCAGCCTTTCCCAGACGGGAAGCCCATTCTGTTCAGCTTTGTATCCCCATGGGAAGGATAGGCCCATGTGGCAGGCACTTAAGAACTATTCACTGAATAAGAGAATAGCCCTCATGCGGGTTCTTATGAAACAGAGAACTATGAAATACTAGGAAAAAGATATATGTATAACCCCAGCTCCTGGTAAAACACTCTTAAAGCCTTTGTTATTTCGAAGTGCTGAGAGCAATAGCTTTTCTTGTAATAGCTGGTCTTTGTCTCCAGTTCCTGATATGTAACCGCTCAATCTCTTGGAATTTCCTGGGTGACAGGAGTTTTTGTTTGATTTAATGACAGGACCAATGGGGTGGGGGTGGGACCCTGCTGCTTGAAAGCCCAAGTCAGCAGCGATCAGATCAGGGTCTTGGAATTTGCCACTGACTCTCCATTCTCCAGAGGCTAGAGGGACTAGAAGCAGAGGAATAGAGTGACTGATCAATCATTCCTATGGGATGAAGCATCCATACAAATCCTGAAGTATGGCGTTCTGAGAGTTTGAGGTTTAGTGAACACAGCTGTGTGTCAATCCCCCTTTCAGCATATCCTTTAATGACCAGAATTCCCTGGGTTCGATGGGTTTTCTTTTATATTTTTATTTTTGCTTTTGGGGTCACACCAGCGATGCACAAGGGTTACTCCTAGTTCTGCAATTTGGAATTATTTCTGTTGGTGCTTGGGGGACCATATGGGATGCTGGGAATCAAACCTGGGTTGGCCACATGCAAGGCAAACACCCTATCCACTGTGTGATGGCTCCAGCCCTTTGATCAGTTTTCTAACAAATTCTCAAGACCAAAGTATAGAGCGTATGGGGAACTCTTGGCAGAAGTGGTGGGGAACATGGGGCCCTACTATTTGGGATGAACATCTGAGGGGGAAGTACAGTATCATGGGATCAGGGAGAACTTTAATTTTGTTACATCTCAGAACTGAACTGAAGCAACCCAGCTGGTATCACAGGGAATGACTCAGTGTGGGGACAACCCATCCTTCTGGTATCAGAAGTGCAAATGCGCAAGAATTTGGGAGAAACACACCACAGCAAGGGTGAGAGTTCTCTCAGTAAGGCCTGCATTTTTTCTCATGCCTGCAAAGGTTCACACTTAAGGCAGGCATTGGGGGAGGGGGAAGCACTGGACAGTCCCGAGGTGGGCTGACAGCAGTGGGTGAAATTAGAGGGCACTCTCTGTTTGATTAAAGGAGGTAGATTTTGGAGGTGGAATGAGTGATTCTTCTTCTGAAAAAGGGATGGCATGCAAATCAGTTTGAGAACCTCTGCTTTAAAGTCTTCCTATGATTGGTATCCTAGATTGGCTTCTGATTCATGCAGAGCATAAAATCTGCTAGGTTTCCCTTGAAAGTAATACACTGTCAAAGAAGGTAGATGCTGCATTTCCAAAATATATTTATGATTAATAAGGTTGAGTGGGGCAATGTTAATTTGTTTAGGAACTGGGAACTCAGACTCAGTTTACTAGCTCTGTGAAATCCAGGAGAGTAGTTTCCTGCATAAGGCATTTGCCAAACGGAATACTAAATATTCCAATTCAAAGAGTCGTTGGAGCAAAATAATATATAGACTGGACGTGTTCTAAATTACAAAGTTACTCCTGGAATACAATAAAAAATATCAACCCTGGACCAAATACAAGTTGCTTTTACAGTAAACAGCACATGGTAATCCATTCATACCTAGGAAGTTTGAATGCTTGTACTGGGCTGTCAGTGGTTCCTACTTCTAGAATTTTCCATGTAAGCCATCCTGGCGGCTAGGGCCTACAAGAGCTACAAGGCACAGAAGGAGGATTCCACTTACCCAGTCCTTTGACAAACTTCATAAGGCACATGATGTAACTAGTGGCTGCATTTGCAAACACCTGGATGTTGTCGGTATTGAGAAAAGCTTCAAATACATCAAACACGGGAGCTTGGCTTTTTCCTGAAGAAGGAAGAGAGAAGAATTCTAGGAAAGTCTTCTGTCTGGTCTTAAACTATTTTTTGAAGGTCTTTTGAGGGATGTTAAGGAGACCTGGCGGCTCTCCTGATGGTTCTTGACCAACAGGCTGGTGGTGATTCAACACAAGGGCCTTCGATGTGGTTCTGTGCAGGCCCCGTGGTGCTCATCAGGCCATGTCAGTGGTGCTCAGGGCTTGTGGGCCACACCTGGTAGTGCTTGGAGGTCCCCGGGACTGTACCCTAGGATGCTAGTGAGACCATGTGGTGCTGGTAATTGATCTAGAGTTGGCCCACCATATGCCTTAACACCTATATTAAGTATACACCGTACCTTCCCAGTCTTTGCTCTTTGGTTCTTAATTTTAATTTCCTATTTATTTATCATTGGTTGTCACTATTTTAGAGTTTCATGGTTTTAGCTCCATATGTGTATAATTACCTATAGTCTCACCACTTAAGTTCTGGTGCCATCCCACCACCCAAAGAGATTCCTCTGCACAGGGCCAGATGGATTGGGCATTTGCCTTGCATGCAAGCAACCTGGTTTGATCCCTGGCACCCTATATGGTCTCCTGAACCCACCAGGAGTAATCTCTGAGCACAAATACAGAAGTAAGCACTTGAGCATCACTAGGTATGGCCCCCAAACAAAAACAAAATGAACAAAAAGAGAAAACCTTCATCTCATCATTTTCACTGACACTAGAGTGTTTGGTTATTTATTTATTCAGAGTCACTCCTGACAGTGCTCAGGGCTTGCTCATGACTCTACACTTAGGAATAACACATGGTTGGGCACAGGGGACCATATGTGGGGCCAAGGTTTGAACCTGGGTCTGCCACCTGCAAGGCAAGTGCCCTACCTGCTGTACTATTGGTCTTCCCCTACTATGAGTTACTTTGGTCCAGTTCATTTGCATTAGTAATTCATAGTCCACCAAGAAGTGAGCCTGTCTGGAAAGAAAATCTTCCAGAAGTTAAGACTCGACTCCCAGCAGATTGCCTGGAGCTTGGGATAACTCAGTGGGGAATCGCCTGGGCTACTGAGTAGACAACAAGCCTGGCAGCTCTCAGCTCTGTCTGCAGTTCTCAGCCTTGCTTGCAGGGAGGCTCCGAAGAAAGCTCAGCAGAGATGAGGGCCAAGTTGGCGGAAGGCCAGGCTCAGGCACTAGGTAGGACCCAAGAGAAATGAGGATCTTTGACAATCTCTGGACACTTAAGAAAAGTAAAGTTCAGACCAATCCCTAATGGTGTATCTTAATGCAGTCAAACTGTTGCCGAGAGGAGTAATCACAGAGTCTGAGAATGCCGTCCACAGAAAGCCCTGCCCAGGGCTCTGTCATGGTACTGTAGCAAAGCATCTGCCTTGCAAATGTGGGGCTTGAGCTTAATCTAGCATCTTCTCCCTGCCATGTGCACTGAGCATGCTCTGAACAGCTCAGCCATTTTTTGCTTGTTTGGTTTTTTTTTGCTTTTTGGGTTGTGCCCGGCAATGCATAGGGGTTACTCCTGGCTCATGCACTTAGGAATTACTCCTGGCAGTGCTCAGGGGATCATATGGGATGCTGGGAATCAAACCCAGGTTGGCCGTGTGCAAGGCAAATGCCCAGCCCCAGCTCAGTCATTTGGAATCCCCCTTGTCACAGTGTACTGTCTCCAGGGAACCGCAAGGTAGTGTGAGTGACCTCTAGCCACGGTAACAACAACTGAAAGAGATGTGAATTACTTGAAATACTTTTTTTTTCTTTTTGGGTCACATCTAGGGATGGTCAGGGGCTACTCCTGGCTCTGCACTCAGGAATTACTCCTGATGGTGCTTGGGGGATCATATGGGATGCCGGGGATTGAACCCAGGTCGACCATGTGGAAGGCAAACGCCCTACCCACTGTACTATCACTCCAGCCCCTACATGGTTATTTTTGATTTGGGGGTCACACCTGGCAGTATTCAGGAGTTGGTCCCAGTCATGCTGGACCTGAGCCTCTAACCTGCAAAGTTTGCACTTTAATCCTCTGATCTGTCTTCCGGACTCTATTTCAAACTATTTTTTAATTAAAAAATTAAATGAAATAAAATTTGACAAGCCTTCACACTTAGCAGGGTTGGCTTTTGGTGGGCATCTGGGAACTGGACTCTCTGAACTCTCCCAGGTAACCATACTGATGAAGGTGCTTCATGATGCCGGGACTGTTAAAACAACTTGGATTGTTTGCAACACCTGCTGGGAGCTGGAAGTTCTGAACAAGGTAGGCAGACAGCACCTGCTTGACCAACCCTCTGCTGGGTCACTGAACAGAAACACACACGCACATGCAAGCATGTACACACATGTGCGCGCACACACACACAATATATTTGTCCTACAGAGGCACAAGAGTTCTGGGTGGGAAGCCATGTGAGAGGGTGAGAGCCTCTCAAACCCTGCTTGTGTTTTTTCTTTTTCTTTATGATCTGACTTGTTTGTATTATGTCAACATAGTATGCATTTGCTGTAAGTCAGATAATAGATTTGCCCCATATAATAACTCTTGGCATAACTGTGCTGAGTGCCACAAATTCTGATGGGTCTCTGAAGGCAGGCTTGTCCTGGGATCCCCTGGTCCTTGAGTGAGCTTTGTGGGTGCCTACCCATCTCCAGCCAGACCCAGTCTCCCTAATTTAGTTCCCTGTGTTGTAATTCTTATCTGCTTCTCAGCAGTGAGCCTAGAGCGCTCATCTTCTTGGTTTTATGAACGAAGCCTAGACAGCTATACAAGGATAATAAGGAAAAGCTCTCAGCCCTTTTTCTAATCTCTCAATAAGAGCAGGGCATGATAATGATCAGAGCTCTTATGCTGCTGGCAGAACTCAGAACTTGTGTCTCTGCTCCTAGCCCAGATCATTTTCCTCTGATAAGAGGCTGAATATCAGTCTGCCTGAGTGTCAATTTCTCCTGATGTATAAAAATTGGCCTAAAGAATAAATGCTCTCGGCACAATCCTGCCACACATTCACGCATCCTCTCCCCCTTCCCATGCAGGTTGTAGCCAGAACAATTAGGCAAGAAAAATAAATATATACAGCACATTCAGACTGGAAAAGAAGATGGAGCAGTATCTGTGGATGACAAGGTCATGTCTTGAGAAAAACATAAGCAACCGGCTAGAAAACTGTTCAAACTATTAAGCGAATCCAGTCAAGTTTCACCATACAAAATCAGCACATGTCCTTACCCATGGAGTAATCGCCAACCAGGTACTCCTTCACCTCAGACTTGTTCCCACTGTGCACTGTCTCCAGGGCACTAAACAAGGGCCTCCATCCCGACTGGATTTGGGTGGAACACACTTCAACCAGCTCACCAATTGAGGTGACGACCTGCCAGAGACAATGGAGGTGGCACTCAAAACGCTTTCCTGAGAAGCAAGGGAGAGGACAGGGAGGAGAGTTCAAGGGGTAGAGAGCTATAAATGGATGGACACGAACAGTATCATGCAAAGTGAAATAAGTCGAAGGCAGGGGACAGAGAGAATGGTTGCACTCATTTGTGGGATATAAAAAAACACAGTATGAGACTAACACCTAAGAACAGTAGAACTGAGGGCCAGGAGGACAGGTTCGTGGTTGGAAGCTTGCCAAAAACGGAGGTTGGAGGAGAGAATAGTTAGGACAGAGAAGGGACCACTATGACAATGATAGCTGGAAATGATCACTCTAGACAAGAACTGAGTGCTGGAAGTAGTAAAGGGATATACATGATCACCTTCTAGAACCTGTATTGCAGATCATAATGACAGAGAGACAGAGAGAGAGAGACAGACAGACAGAGACAGACAGACAGACAGACACAGAGACAGACAGAGAGAGAAGAGTGTCTGACATACTGTCAGGCTGGTGGTGGGGTGGGCAGTAAATGGTGGGAGGGAAACTTGGGAATAGTCCTGGTGGGAAATGTACCCTGGTAAACCCATTCATGAACAACTCTGTGACTGTTTATCTGTTTATCTTTTTTTTTTTTTGCTTTTAAGTCACATCCAGCAATGCACAGGGGTTACTCCTGGCTTTGCACTCAGGAATTACTCCTGGTGGTGCTCAGGGGACCATATGGGATGCTGGGAATCAAACCCAGGTTGGCAGTATGCAAGGCAAACATCCTGCCCGCTTATGCTATCGCTCCAGCCCCTGTTTTTTTTTTTTTTAAGGGAAAAAAGAGGTAGTGCTTATGCCTTGCATGTGCAAGGCCCCGAGTTTGATCTCTGGCATTGCATGTTCTCCTCCTGACTCCATGACTCCCTACACCTGTAGGGTATAGCCTGGTGACCCCTGAGCATCAAATGTTCAGGCCTGTAGTCCTGGGCCTAGCCTTGATGAACATTCCTCCTATTTGAAAAGAGAGAAAATTTCTGTAAAGGTTGGTATAATATTTGGCTTTCCAAGTCTGGGTTAATTGTCCTGAAAAAGAAAAGCCAGAAGTAAATCAAAATCTCCGAACAGTCATATTGCATGAATTTGCACTTTGTTGATGATAATGCTGTTGACTAACTCTTCACATGCTCATTAGCCATTTGTACTTTTCTTGAAGAATCGTTTTTTTTTCTTTTTTGGTCACATCTGGTGGTGCTCAGTGTCTACTCCTGTTCTGCCTTCAGGAATCATTCATGGTGGGGTTTGGGGACCATATGTGGTACCAGGGATCAGATCCAGGTTGGGGCACGCAAAGCAAGTGCCTTACCTGCTGTGCTATCTTTCTTCTTTCTCCATTTTTTTCTTTCTGACTTTTTTGGGTCACACCTGGAAATGCTCAGGGGTTACTCTTGGCTCTGCACTCAGGAATTACTCTTGGTGCTGCTTGGGGGAACATATGGGATGCCGGGGGTCTAACCCAGGTCGGCTCTGTGCAAGACAAACGCCCTGGCTGTACTATCGCTGTGGTTCATCCTGGGTCCCTATTTGTATATGTTTTTCATTTTCAGAAATCGGGGCTTTGCCCTCTCATTTTTTTGAAAATGTAACAAAGAAAAAACTGAAAGCCTCTTATATTAGTGATGTAAACATTGATTTTATATGTTTATAATTATTTTGAAATTGTATTATTTATTTTTAAAAAAATTTTTGTTGTTACTGTGTCTGGCATATCGAATACTCTCGGTAGCTTGCCGGGCTCTCCGAGAGGGGCGGAGGAATCGAACTCGGGTCGGCCATGTTGGCTGTGTGTAAGGCGAACGCCCTACCCGCTGTGCTATCGCTCCAGCCCTAAAATGTCAAACTAAAAATGAACATTTTTTCCCTCTAGAAAAAAAATTCACAAGCATTTTTATAAAATACTTTTAAATTTAATTTATATTATACAACTGTCTCTACAAAATATTTGCTAAAATGTTCAATACTCAAGCTACCGAGAGTATTCGATATGCCAGACACAGTAACAACAAAGTCTCCAATGGAGACGTTACTGGGCCCGCTCGAGCAAATCGACGATCAACGGGAGGGCCTTTACTTTACTTTTACTTAAAAAATGTTTATTAGTGAAACACCATGAGGTACAGTTGTAGACTTATAAATTTTGTGCTTGGGTTTCAGTTATACAATGATCAAATACCCATCCCTCCACCAGTGCCCATTTTCCACCACCATGGGTCCCAGTATCCCTCCCACGCCCCCATTCCCCCCATCCCACCCTGCCTCTGTGGCAGGGCATTCCCTTTTGTTCTCTCTCTCCTTTTGGGTGCTGTGGTTTGCAAAAGAGGCATTGAGTGGCAGTCATGTTCGGTCTACAGTCTACTTTCAGCAGGCTGCTCCCTTCCTGGGAGGATCCTCCCAACACCCTTTATTTGGTGCTCCCTTCTCTATCTGAGTGCCTTCTCATTTTTAAAGTTACTGACTTTCTAGAATTCTTTATGTTCTGATTCGAGTCCCTCTGAAATGAAATGATTTGCAAGTAACTTTTTACTGTGTTGGACTGGTCTTTATTATTTTTTTATTAGAGTCTTTTGCAAAGCAGAAATCACATTGAAACCCAATTCATCCAATTTGCTGGGTGCAGCGGTGTGTATGTAGTCCCAGTTACCTAGGAGCTGAGGCCAGAGGGTGCCCCGAGTCCAGGAGTTCTGGGCTGTTATGTACCATGTGGACTGGGTGCCCGCTAAGCTCAGCAGCAATCTCGTGGAAGAGAGTGATGTTGAGCTTATCCCCTGGATTCAGCAATCCCCCTGAAGCAGGAGACCACCAGGTTGCATAAGGATGGTGAACTGGCCCAGGCTTATAAAAGAGCAGGTGGATTAATCCAATTTTCCTTTTTAGGTCACATTGCTGCCATTTCTATGAAATCTTTACCAAACCCAGGGTCTTAAAGACTTCCACCTATACCTAACCCAGGCTCTTAAAGACTTCCACCTACACTTTCTTCTAGAAGCAGTGTTTTCTGTCTCAGGATTTGCTATTACGAACTCCTCACAGAAAAGCAATCACATAGAGGGGATTTTTGGTAAGCAGCTTTGTTCTTTCAATGGGCTGTTTCCAAGGCTTATAACGTTTCTGTTTTAATTGATGAATAATATTTCATTCAGGAGGTACCACCTTTACATGATCCATTTATCAACTTCAATGGGGTGGGGGAAAGGGACCATGGGACAATGCTGGAGAGATTGTGACACACCGATGTGAAGGTTAGTTAATGCATGTTTTGGTCATTGTCTCTGAGGTAGAAACCATTCTGGGCATGATGAAATGCAAATGAGAAGAGGAGATTAAAAATGCATCATGTTTTGGCCCTGGTCTGTACTGCTGTTTCCCAGTACAGAAGCAAAAATGGGCTGGAATACAGGAAGGTTGGGTTTTTTACATCCCCAAAGAGGTTTCACGGGGTTGATTTACTGCTTCCTGCCTGAGGAAGCATTTAAGGGGGGGCACGAAGCATTGACCTTTAACCCTGTCTCATTAATCTCATCTGTATACCCTTTTCCCCAGAGGTTCCCCTTAGGTAATCATGGGAAGAATCCAAAAGTTTGATTGTACATGCACAAGTCAGGTGCAGGTGGTGGAACCCAGAGTGTTCAAAGATGGGAAGAAGCAAAGGAGGGAGAAATAAAAAGCCACTCAGAAGAAGTTCTTAGTCTCAGGTCAACTTACCCCAATTCCTCTGCAATGCACCTTTTTATTCCTTTCGCACTTTCTTTTTAAATTTTTATTTATTTACTTTTTGTTTTGACCCATCCTAGGTGGTGCTCAGGGATCATTCCTGGCTCTTCGCTCAGGGATAACTCTTGGCAGACTCAGTGGACTATCTGGGGAGCCGAGGCTCGAACCCAGATCTGCTTGTGCACAAGGCAATATCCACTGTACTATTGCTCCGACCCTTCCTGTCTCATTTTCAACACAATTTCTGTCCCTGAGTCTTCTGAATGAATCCCTCTCCCTTGGGAGAGAAGCAGTGAGACACATGCCACCATCCCCTCATTCCACTAGCCACTGGGTTCCCCTCAAGTGGCCTATCCATGAAGCACTGAGATTTTCGTTTAGTTCAAATGCCTACCACACACACACACACACACACACACACACACACACACACACACCTGGTCTTGGACGTCCTCATCACACAACTCCAGTTGCATGATCCGCTCGAAGGGTCGGAAGAGGGCCTCGTTGAAGTGGAAGTGAGGTGGCTCGTTCCAGTCGGTGAGGACCTCTGTCAGTATATCGTGGATGAAGGATACGGCCTTCTGGGATACATGTCTTTCCTTATGGCAGGCGGCCTGCAGTACAGAGGGAAGGACATCAGGACTTCAGGAGAGAAGAGCTTGCATGCTCAAAGTGCTCCTCCCCCACCTCATTCTAGGGGGACAGTGGCAGTAATTCTGTGAGGAAGCATTTCTCAGGGTTCAGTACAGATGCAGGGCTGGAGAGATAGCACAGTGGATAGGGCATTGCCTTGCACACGGCCAGCTGACCGGGCCGACCTGAGTTCAATTCCTCTGCCCCTCTCAGAAAGCCCGTAAAGCTATCAAGAGTAACTCGCCTGAACAGCAAAGCCTGGCAAGCTTCCCATGATGTATTCAATATGCCAAACACAGTAACAACAAGTCTCTCAATGTTACTGGGCCCACTCGAGCAAATCGATGGATAACAGGAGGACAGTGACAGTGACAGTACAGATGAACAGAGCAAATGACGTTGCATTTTTAATAATCCAACCCACTAATCAGATGTCACTACAATTTCATACCACATGTTTGGAAAAAGGCCCGTTTCCACTAATTTCTTTTTCCACCTGTAGCAGAACTTTTTTTTTCTTTTTTGGTCACACCTGGTGATGCTCAGGGGTTACTCCTGGCTCTGCACTCAGGAATTACTCCTGGCAGTGCTCGGGGGACCATATGGAATGCTGGGAATCGAACCCGGATTGGTTGCATGCAAGACAAATGCCCTACCTGTTGTACTATCACTCCAGACCCTATAGCATAACAGTTTTCTTGGGGTGTAGGATAGAGATTTGAACCTATCCCTAGAACTGCCCATGGTCTCAGTCTTAGCCCAGATCTAAAGGTAGAAAGGTTAGATGGATTATCTGTCCTTGCTCAGTGACTGGGCTGATCGTTCCACCAGCGTTCTAAGGGGGCCAGAGTTTATGCTGCCTATGTCCCCATCAGAGTCTCTTCCTACACTGACCATGGGCTTGGATGTGTGATTGGCACTGGCAGCGAATGATGGTAAATATTATCTAAGAAGAGAACCGAAGAGTAGAAGTGTTCAGGGGGTTGTTGCTCTTTCTTTCCTCTGGAACCCTAGACTAGCCATCGAACAAGCAGGGTTAATCAGACAAAGGATGAGAGATGATGGAGGGAGGATCGTTTGGCCACAGCTCCCACTCAAGGCCACTGTGAAACACTGGGATTCGGTCTTTGCACCAGCTGGCCACAACTGCCCGAGGAAGGCAGCCGAGATTAGCCCAGCTGAGTCCTGCTCAGGTTTATGACCCAAAGAATCAGGAGCTAAATAAACAGCTGTCACTAGGCTTTGGGTAAGCTTGATGAATGGCTTTCCCATAAGTCATTGTTCTTTTCTACTTCTTTCCTTCCTAAAATGTTCTCAGGTTAGTGACTTAAATCACCCACAATGGGCTGCAGAGATAATAGAGCAGGAAAGGTACCTGTGTTACATATTGCTGATGTGGTTTTGATCCTTGGCACTACATACTGTCCCTCAAGCACAGCCAGGAGTGATCCCTGAGCAGAGAGTCAGGAGTAAGGCCTGAGCACTGCCAGATGTGCCCCCCCACCAAAAAATAACAACAACAAATTACACCTAAGTACTTTATTTCATGATATATCCCTGATAAGCAGTACAGAGCTTATAAGAAAACTTACCATTGCCAAACGGGGTATTGCTTTACCCTTCCTATTTAGAAGGATTTCATTTTGTATTTATTTCAAAATTTATGAACATACCTATGGAATATATACAAAATGGAATATTACTCATCCATGAGAAAAGATGAAAAATTTGCAGTATGCTGCAGATTGGATGGGATTGTATGTCATGCTGAATGAGTGGGAAAGGACAAGATAAATATTGGAGTATCTTGCTCCTAAGCAGAATACAAGAAAACAAAGTGAGGGTTTAGAAAATCCCTGAAGGAGACAAATCCTGGCATTATATTACCAGAACTTGGAACTGAGGAGGATCAGGAACTGGAACTGGAGCAGTTGGAAAGTGGGGTGTGGGGTTGAGGGTAGAAGGGACCATGGAACAAATGGTGGAGGGTCCTGAAACAAATGGTGAATTGATGTACTAGCACCACAACTATAAACCAATGACTTCAAAACAGTTGTGAATGACAATACCCCAATAAAATGAATTAATTAAAATTTAAAAAATTTCAAAACAACAACAATAAAAACCTTCAGAAGCAGCTGACCATTGCAAACAGAGATGCTCTGATGCAGTGACCCTGTAACTAGGCACATAAGCTGCTCTGCTTTTCAGAGTGGGAAGGGTCCTGGTGTTAATTCTTTTGGGAAACAAGCACAAATACTTCCTCACCTTAGAGGGCACTGCCCTGGGTCTAATGAGCTCTAGAGAGAGTCTGGGAGGAACCAAAGGCATTGTTCTCATGTAACTATAAAAACCAAAATCCAGAGATTATAAAACCCAGCTCCTGGAAGAGAACAGCGCAGAGTCTCCTGCCCCCGTGCCTGGCTGTCCTCGCTGGGGCCCCTTGGAGGGGGGGCGGGTTGAGTTTCTCTCCCCGCCCCAAACACCCGAAGTCTTGCGGCAGCCAAAATCCTCCAGAACCAGCCACCACCATGCTGAGACCACTCTCCACAGGCAGGAAGGTACCGGCAGAGGAACAAAGCCATGCGGGTCCCGGGGCTGAGATCTCCAAGCCTGCTCGGATCAGGGCTGAGCATCCTTCACCCAGATCTTCCATTTTCCAGAAGGCAGGGGTCACACCCACCATCTGATCCCCGGCGCCATGTAATCCCATCGATGGCCAAGACCTAGAGACTATAAAACTCAGCTCCCGGAAGACATCTTATTATCTCATTCTTACTTTGGACAACCTGGCAGGTTACCAAATGTTACCTGCCCACATGGCAGAGTCTGGCAAACTCCCTGTGGCGTACCCAATAAGCCAAATACCAGTAACAATGATGGGTCTCATTCTCCTAATCCTGAAAGAGCCTTGAATCTGGCATTTTTTTTTTTTAAATCTCAGGGCTAGGATGAACAGACGTTACTGGGGCCTGCTCGAGGCAATCGATGAACAACAGGATGATCGTGATCGTGATGTAGAACAAGGCCCAGATTCAAGTGCTACTAGCAATAGTTAATTATAAAGAGGAAGGGTCAGTGAGAACACAAGGGAGCACTGTCCCTGTGGCAGTATGTTAGCTATTGGGGTTTGAGCAGGGCATGGGGCAGTGCTCAGAGCTTGGGACCGCCCACTGGCCAGCTCCCTGGGTGTCCCCCACTCACCTCCACCAGGTGTGGGGCCACCAGGCTCCAACAGCGCAGCACATGCAGCAGTGGCCGGGACTTGCTCCGCACGATCCTCAGCATGGCGTCCCCCAGGCGGAACAGGTGGAGGGCACTTTTGCGGTCTTGGGTGGATTTTACCTCTCCTACAAGGGCAGGCCAGACCGTGAGAGCGAGAAGGCTCAGACTCGAAAGTGATACAGAGAGAGGATGAGAAGCAAAGATTACTGGGCTGAGCTAGTAGCCCTACTGGGTGTGGGCTCACCCAGAGAGGACCCGTCCTGGGTTCATACGCAGTGCAGGATTCACTTTTCTCTCCGGCTCCCCATGGCCCCAAGACCTTCCAGGATAAGTACAAACCATGCTTTTTTTTGTGGCTTTTTTTCATTCTGTTTTTTGCTTTTTGGGTCACACTCGGTGATGCACAGGGGTTTACTCCTGGCTCATGTACTCAGGAATTACTCCTGGCAGTGCTCCGGGGACCATATGGGATGCTGGGAATCGAACCCAGGTTGGCCACGTGCAAGGCAAATGCCCTCCACACTGTACTATTGCTCCAGGCTCAGTGTGCTTTGTTTTTTTGGGGAAGGACCTTTCAAGAAATACTCCAGAGGTCTGAGGTCTGCTGCCAGCAATATTGGGCTCACTGGTGCGGGTCTGAGGTTTAGTGAACAGAACTGGTGATGTAGAGCTGCGCTAATGGCCAGTAGTGCTGGAGACCAACAGGGCCACACTGGAAGTGCTGGGGGCTATCCCGGCTACAACCTGGCTCTGCTCTAGGGATCCAAGACTTGGACTTGGACTGCCAACCTTGTGGCCATTTCTTCAGGAAGAGCATTACCTGGCATGGCCAGAGAGTAATCCACTGTATCCGAGACAGAGTGGAAAAGCTGAGACTGCGAGGCTTTCTTCAGCTGGTAAAGGAAACCTCCCAACGCCATCAGGTTCAACTTGTCCGTAGCGTCTTCAAAGAGCCTGGGAGAAAATGATGACATGCTACTTGGAAGCAAGCGAGCAAACTCTATTTGGCAAAATGACTATGGTAATTTTGTTCAATGTGATTAATGAACATGCTGTGTAAACACTGTCATGGACATTAGTATGTCTGTTATTACTGTGTAGAAGTCTCTGTGAATTAGGAGATTTCAATCTGAAGGGCACAGAACATATTAAAAAAAAAAAAAAACTTTCTGCCCTCACGAGTTAACTAGGCCATGGAAGGCATGCATTAAACAGGTGGAAAGAATCTGAAAGATAGCAAAGGCTTCCTCTTAGAAACAGAATAACTAGAATGGAATCATTCAAATTTGCTTCCACCTCATATGCTGTTTTAGAGGAAAAACAGTAAGTTCATTGGACCTTTGTTGGGCTATAGTAGGTGAATATTCTAGTGAGGGACAAAAAAGCAAAGGAAATTCAGATATGCATGACCTTCCCTTCCTGCCCCTTACAGTCCAAGAAACTGGTTTAGTATCCTCTGGAGTTGTGAGGTTCAGTTGGAACGACCATTTTCCAATACTGCTTTGCATGCTCTCTGTCTTTCTATTGACTGGGATCAGGCACTTCTAGAAGGAGGAGTTGGGGAGGGAAGGACACTGGGTGCTGGCATGTGATAGGGGCAGCTCAAATCTGAGGTTTGCAGACTAAGGGGAGTGGGTATCACCCTGTTCTGGGGTCATGTCATCCTCCTGCATGCCCTCCAAATCTACAGCCACTCCACAGACTTCCCAGTGGGGTACCCCAGGCTGGGTAAGCGAGAGTGTCTCCAACACAACTGCAGTAGCAGGCCCTTTTTGAGAGGGAAATACATATTTTTATTGTTTGTTTGGGGGCCATGCCTGGGCTCAGTGCTTACTTCTGGCCCTGCACTTTAGCTAACTTGGGAGACCATGTGGGGTGCTGAGGATTGAACCCAGGTCAATCACATGTAAGGCAAGTGCCCTACCTACTGTACTATCGCTCCGGCCCTGAAGAGGCAATACAAAACACACTCAAGTCTTGAGATTTGAATGGAAACAATCACAAACTATCAAAATATACATATATATTTCATATATATATCCAAATAGTTTATGATTCCAATTTTGATACCATTTGGAGTCTGAGTCATTTCATCTCCCTCCTATTTAGCAAAATAATAATGATAACAGGCCCATCTTGAAACCACTTTCTAAATGAGAGAATGTCATGCAATAGCTGACATGTTAGGGAAACAGAGAGATGGGTTACTATAGTTTGAAGAAACCAGAGTCTTGGGACCTCTTCTTGTAAACAGGACTCGTCAGCCAGTTTCTAACCTGGGTCTTCTGAAGCCCAGGGAGTGCACTCTGTACCCCAGTTGGGGTACATGTTGATTTCTCCTCTAAATTTTAATATATTGGGCATCAATAAATGTCATTATGGGGTGTGGGATTTAAAAATGCTATTCTAAACATCATTGATTTTTACTATTGGCCAAATTTTGATCCAAGGTTTTGGTTTTCTAATTAATTTGCCCTTACAACTATGCCGACAGGGCTGCTTTATGACTATTTGTGGTGGGGGGAGGGGAGGCCTCTTCAGAAATGCTGGGGGCTGCCAGGACTACACCTGAAGGTACTTGGGAGGCCACATGGTGCTGAGGATCCAGGCATGAGCTCCAGTCTTGGTTATATCCCTAACCCTATGGTACTACTTAATGATGAAGAAATTGTGAGCCCAGGGAGAAGTTGGAAGTTGTCTGAGATCAGAGAGGAAGTGTCTGACCTCCATTTAGTCAACTGAAAGTGGTTCCTTGTTAGTGTGGGAGCTGGGAATAAACAGAAGAAAAATAAAATAAAAGCAATCAAGGTCAAGCTCTTAAACTGGATCAAGTGTCCCCAGAACAATTCGGAGTTGGAGTGATGGGTGGGTGTGGAGACGGGTTGCACACACCTGTCAGCCTGCGTGGAGAGCGTGAGCACGGCCTTGGCGGCGCTGCTGCCCGTCATGAGGCTACCCCCACGGAAGTCAGAGGCCCGGCCCCGGCTGCCTTCTCTGACGAGCTCTTGGATGGACAGAGGTTGGAGCACAGGCGCCATGTGCAGTGTGTTCTCCTGCTCCAGGCTCTGCTCCTGGGCTGAGTCTTCACACTCAGGGTCCCCGAGCAGCCCAGTGCCTCCCGAGGCCTTCTGGGGCTGGCTGATGGTCAGAGGGGGCTGCGAGGTGCCGTCGCTGAAGTGGGTGTGCTCCAAGGTGCCCACGTACTCACACACCCTAGGGAGAGGGACACACAAGCAGCTATGAGGCCTCCATTCTGCAGGCCAGAGCCACGTACGCCACTGTAATCCCATTGTTCATCGATTTCCTTGAGCAGGTACCAGTAAGGTCTCCATTCATCCTAGTCCTGAGATTTTAGCAAGTGCCACATTGGAGGCTCTTTCAGGGTCAGGAGAATGAGATCCATCATTGTTACTGGGTTTTAGCATATTGAATACACCACAGGAAGCTTGCCAGACTCTGCTGGGCAGGCAGGATACTCCCGGTAGCCTGTTGGGTTCTCTTGAGAGCGAGAACTAGACAATACGAGGTCATATGGCCTCAAATGCGGCCACACACTTCTGGGAGCTTTGTTTTATAGTCTCTGGACCTTAGCAATTGATAGAATTACATCTATCAAAAACCCTTTTTTAAATGAAGATGTTAGTAAACATATAATGATATTACATTGCTGATATATGACCTTTTATTATTTATTTTTATTACTGGGGGGATTTTTAAGGCCACACAGATGGTGCTCTGGGGTTACTCCTGGTTCTGTACTAAGGACTCACTCCTGACTCTCCTGGCTCTGTGCTCAGGGGACCAAATGTAGTGACAGGGATCAAACAAGGGTCAGCCACATGCAAGACAAGCATCTAACTTCTATCCTATTTCCTTGGCCCCCTATTATTTATTTTATTGGTTCCTCATTAAATTACGATACTATGGCATCTCAAGGTTTTCATTTCAGAAACTTCAGGGTTTTGTCCTCACACCACAACCACCTTTTAGATCTACACAGTTCTCTTAGATGGCCTTTTGCCAATCATGATTAAAAAAAAAAATAAACCATGTTTCTGCCTTGGCAAGATACATCTGCCTCTCGCTCTTAACCTCAGTAGATAACTCACCATTCGCTAAATCTGTCATTCTGCTCTCCAAAATACCTTCAGTTGGGTTCTGACTCCAGCTTATTTTTGGAAAATACTCATCTGGGGTTTATCCAGACTCTGACTGAACGGACTGTCAAAACTAACTGATGTTAGGAGACCCTGGCTTCCACCCTGCCTCCTACTCCCCAAGTTCTCTGGGACAGGCGGGTGCCAGGAGAGGGGGGGCATCCCGTGAGGCTACCTGAACACGTGTGGCCAGCAGTCTGGGTTGTGGCTTCCCATCTCCAGGCCCACACTGAGGATGGCGTCCATGCACAAGACGTGGGCGGTGTGCAGCCACACACCCTGCTGCTTCCCGATCTGCTCCAGTTTCTGCTCCACCTTCAGCTTCACTGTGCCAGAAAGACAGTCATGAAATCAACATGAAATTAACAGTCTGATGAGGGCAGGGGGAAGGAAGCAAGAGAGGGTGAGAAGGAAAGCCAAGGCTGCTCTACCAAGACCCAAGGGAAACAAGGAGGTGTCAAAGGCAGCACCTCAAAGGATGGCTGGCTCCTGTGGTTGATTATGATGAATGCCCAGGCCCCTGGACACTGGGACCCCAGCTCTGCAGCTTGCATCCTGAACTAGTGGTGCAGGCTAAGTCCTGGCCTGGGTCAGGCACAGAAGCACAGATGGGCTTCAGAGGCTGAGGCTAGCTAAAGTCCCTTGGTCCCCGAACTTTTGCTGGATCCGAGGTTCCCAAATTGATAATAGAGTTTCTGACATCTGCAAGTTCTGAGTTTTATTGCAAGTTAAGGGTTGATGGGCATCTAAAGCAATGTATGCATGAACACTGACATGGCGACTCTTTATAATGGAAAATGACTAAGTTATTTCCCTCCATAAGGTTATATTTATGATCTTCAAGTAGATTTTTTTTTAAATTTTTCTGTTGGGTGATCAGTGAGAAAAGATGCAAAAGGAGGCTTAAGATATCAATCAATGAGGCACACTGCAAAGGCAGGGTCAAATGGTATTTTTCCTGAATAAAGGTTTCAAGCCACAGAGAGACAGGTCTACTGGGATAACTGAGTAATGGTCTGGAACACACAAATATAGTCTATTTATGACAGAGGAGGCTGAACTGTATGCCTGTTATAAGAGAGGGATCTCGTTTGAGGCAAAGTATAATTTGTCAATCTTATTTTTCAGTTTGTTACTGTTACTGTGTCTGGCATATCGAATACTCTCGGTAGCTTGCCAGGCTCTCTGAGAGGGGCGGAGAAATCGAACTCGGGTCAGCCATGTTGGCTGTGTGCAAGGCAGACGCCCTACCCGCTGTGCTATCGCTCGATTTCTGGTTTTATAGCTTTTTCAAAGTAATGTTTTGTTTGTTTTCAGGGGGTCATACCTGGCAGAGCTTGAGGGTAGCTTTGGTACTACCTGGGGGAGGCATGTGGTGCTGGAGATTGATTCTGGGGTTCCAGCATGCACAGTACACACACAGACCTTTGAGCCTTTTCTCTGACCAATTAAAAACTTTATCTATTTATTTATTTTTTGCTTTTTGGGTCACACCTGGCGATGCACAGGGGTTACTCCTGGCTCTGCACTCAGGAGTCACTCCTGGCGGTGCTCAGGGGACCACATGGTATGCTGGGAATCGAACCCGGGTCGGCTGCGTGCAAGGCAAACGCCCTACCCACTGTGCTATCTCTCCAGTCCACGATTAAGAACTTTAGATGTAAGGATTTTCATGTCATTTATGTTGGTACGTAGTCTCTAAAATTTTGATACTCTTTCATTAACACTGGGGACCTAGGGGAGCTGTTTTGATTTCTAGTACTCTCTTTGCTGTCTGCCATTTATCTTCCATGGCTATTAGGAAGGCTGGCTTCTTTCCCTGTATCCAGATAATTATCTGCTTCACTGACTAACTAATTTGAGGAAGTTAAAAATCAAACCTTTGTCACATTCCCAAGGCTCAACATTTTGTCTAATAAGAGCAAACTCTTCCTGAGCCTCCTCTGTGGATTTCTTTCCTCTGCTTTGTGGTCATGTTCTAGAAAATTGGCTATTTTGTCTTTCTCTCCATTCCCCAAGGACCTGGTCCTCAAATATGAACTCTGAGGAGCATGTGATCAGGTTGGAGGTGTGGACGAATAAGCCAGGTGGGTCTGGGGTCCTATAGGACTCCTATTCAGCCCGATGTGTTGTCTCTAAAAGCATCTCCTGCAAGTACTTGGCAGGGTCAGCCATGGCAACCAGACCCCAGCCTATGGCCTAGAGGGATCACACGCTCGGTGACAGCTATGTGCAATGTCTCGCACAAGAGTGCAGCATGGTGTGTGTGTGTGTGTGTGTGTGTGTGTGTGTGTGTGTGTGTGTGCCCCTTTTTCACTGTTACCTTGTGCTATGGTGTCACTGGGTTCCTGGGCTTCCTTTTCCTCTTTTTCTTCCTGCACACAGGAGGCAGCTGCCATCTGGGCCAGGGCTGAGGCACAGTTAGCTGCGACGCCTTCAGAGGAAACAGTTACTCCCGTCACTGAGTTCATTCTTTAACCACTCACCTATCACTCCAAAAAGATTTCTTTCCTTGCTAATGAAATACAACGGCACGCCCTCCCCCCCCCCCCACCCCATCCCATGGCTCAAAAATATACCTCCCCGTCCACCTTATACCTAGCGCACAGCTGAGCCGTGCTGCTTTCCGCAGCCCATCAAGGCTCATGCAGATAGCATCGCGTTCTTTTTGGTTTTGCTCTTTGATGCCTTCAGCCCCCAGAATGAAGGCCAGCCCTTTGGAGCTTCCTGCCATACGGCCAGTCAGCGGGGTTGATAAAGTATCGATCAAGTTCTTCCAGCAGCCAACTAGAATGTAGCGAGCGAACGCCACACCTGGAACATGAAGGGGTGTGAGTCACTTTCTAGGGACAAAGGCAGAAAACAAAACAAAAACCCTCCTGGCAATGACTGGCCTGGGATTCTCCGGCCCTCTGATTAGAATTGTGGAGTTGTATGCAGCTCTGCTCCAAGAAATATTGTTTAATGAGTTCTACTGAGCAGTTTCTCACTCTTGCATCTAAATAATGAATGTTGCATCATCCTCTGCATGATGCTAAATTGTACGCAACATCAGACTCTCTTCCTGCCAAGACAACCTCTTAATTCATTTGTGTCACTACAGAAAGCTTCCGAGGATGATTTAATTGCAAGGAACACAGGCAACACATGCATATTCATAAACCCAAGACCCGAGGCATTACCTGCCACAGTGGACTCATCAATTCTCCTGCCTTGGGTGAAGGGAGACTCCGGGGAAGCCGAGGCCATCAGCTGGCCACCAATTGCACTGCTCTCTAAGCCATCGATGTCTGTCATAGAGAAAGAACACAGGATTCTCCTTGATCAGAGCACTCTAGTTTAAAACAAAAATGTGGCCACAACGGTATTTGCCTTCCCTTCCCATGCACCTAACAAACAGGCAAGTCTGTAGCAATTTTTGATCAGAATTCTTTTTAACTTTTTTTTTTTTTATTTTTGGGTCACACCCGACGATGCTCAGGGGTTACTCCTGGCTCGACACTCAGGAATTACCCCAGGCGGTGGTCAGGGAACCATATGGGATGCTGGAGATCGAACCCGGGTTGACCACGTGCAAGGTAAACGCCCTACCCACTGTGCTATCACTCCAGTCCCGTGATCAGAATTTTTAATATTTAGTTTTAGTCATTTTGTCTAGCATTCCCAAATTTATTTGGCATATCACCTCCTTTTCACAAAGAAATTCATTCAGTGGCCCCTTGAAAACTAACTTCTAATTTAAGCAAACAAATAGAAAGTGCCTTCCAGTTTCACTCCAGACTACTATTACCCCTATGCCCCATCATTCCAGGGACCCCAGGAGACTAGTATCACTCACTTTTGGAAACACTGATTTAGTCCAATTTTCTTTGATTGCTATAATATTTTTCAGTTATGCTATAACATCTTTTAATTAGTTATTGCATAGTACACACACACACACACACATTGTGCGTTTTGGAATCATATCTGACTATACTCAGTGCTTACTCTTCACTCTGTGCTCAGGGATTTCTCCTGGCAGGACCCAGGGGACCATATGTGGTGCCAGAGATGAAATCCAGGTGGATATATGCAAGGAAAGTGTTTTACTGACTGTACAATCTCTCTGGACCCATTATGTATATTATAATTTGAAATAAACTAACTCTACTATCTCTGTTAGAAAATCAGTTTTAGAATAAATATTTTAAATATTTAGAATATGATCTAAGTGATGCCGAAGTAATTTAGATCTTTGAACACTCCATGTTAAATTTTGACATTACTTCCACATTAGAATTATACAGGTTATTCTGACATAGATTTCTCTTTCTAACATCCTCAAAGAATCAAGAAGCAAATATCCTCTTTGGTCAGACCATCATTTAATCTGATTTAAAGTATATAAATACTTCTGTCACACTGTACAATTTTCGAAGTGTTTTTAAAAGACTTCCCCTCCCCCCCCCCATTGGGTCTTCCCAACAACCTTAAGTAAAAAAATTAGGGTAGGTATAGTTATCCCAGTTCCAATTTCTCAGAGGAAGAAACCAATATATTTTGTGGGGGTTTTTTTTGGGGGGGCCACACCTGATGATGTTTAGTTGTTACTCCTGGCTCTGCACTCAAGAATTACTCCTAGTGGTGCTTGAGGGATACCAGGAATCAAATCTCGGTCATCTATGTGCAATGCAAGTGTCCTAACCTCTTACTATTACTCCAGCTTCAAGAAACCAATATCTAAAGGTTGGAAGTTTCCTAACATCAGGAGGCAAGTAATGAAATGAACTTGATTCAGTATTCATGTCTTCTGACTCCCATTCAAGCTTTTTCCCAGGATAGCAGACCAAGGTGATTAGGCTGGGCTTAGGATGATAGAGCTAGAGGCTTAGCTCTGATTTACATAGCCTGTGGTCCTATTCTAGGCTTTCTATTCCCTGAGTCCCCAACTCCTCAGAATAAAGGAAATGAGCATTGGAGATGTGACTTTAGAGTTGAAACTAATGTACCTGAATACAATTAATGTAGCTGAACACAACCTGGAAAGGGAATGGAACAGAGGGCAGTGGAAATTTATTCCTTGACTTGAGAGATTCACCTTCAACAGCATAAGGCTTTTTTGTATGATATTTGGATATTATTTCATTGTATTCTTGGGATTACTCCAAGAAGCTTATAGTTCGAGGGCAATACACTACTTTAAAAGTTGGTAAGTGGAAAATAAAAGTTCTTATCATAAGATAGAAAGTTTATAACAATGTGAGGTGACTGATGTTAACTAAACTTACTTATTATGATGATAAATTTGCAATATACACATATGTCAAATCATCATGTTACTCTCCCTAGACTAACAAAATGCCATATGTTAAATATATCTCAGTAACATTCAGGAGAAAACCCAGAGAGAAATGCATGTGGTTACTAAACTGGGAACAGGAGATTTCAGTGAAATTATTTTGACGTATGGTCAAATAGCCTAAAGATATTTACTAGAAATTGTTATTTATCAAAGATATACTGTTGCCTATGTACTATGTAAAAGACTAATGAATTAAAGTAATGAAATATTTCTTATGCACTGGAATTCCAAAATTTTACAGAATACTTTTACATACATAGTACCAGAAATAGAAAGGCAGTATAACACTAATGACCATATGGACAAAATTGCTTCTGCTTACATATAATAAAAATATCAGATGGAAGTTTCCAAACTCTAAGTAAAATTACATTCAAATTCACTTGTTACTTCATACCTGGAAACTTCTACAAAGACTCACAAATCTTTTTCCATTGGCTGTTGTATTCCTGTGAAAAGTCTCTTTTCCTGTCTTTAACCTAAAGTTAGATAGTTTTCCTTTACACAATGCAACCGGGCTTACTGTTCACTATGAAAGTGATGGTTGATTACTTGTGAAGACTGGTGAATAGGACTACTGTGGAGTCTGTTATTTGTTCATGTTTGCTTATACCAAACACTCTTTTTAGAAATTAAATTTCAGGTAAGAGATTCACAGAGATTCATTTTGGTACAAATGTTAGTATTTGAAAATGAAAACTGAAAGTTTTGGATTCTCAATCACATTCAAGGCATTTAATTAGCTTAGGGGCTATTTTCCTTCCCTACAGGAGACAGTCTGTGCATATAGATGGAAACCAAGTTCTTGCTTTCAAGATAAATGTCTCACAATTTATAACTGCCTATTTTAGTATTGAATTTTAATTTTTGGTTTGTGAGTCACACTCACACTTGAAGACCACACCTTCTACAAGATCACTGTCGGTGATTTTAATGCTAAGATAGAACTGAAAAGATCAGCCGAAGAACTCCACATTGGGACCCATGGCCTAGAATGGAATGAACAGGGTGACATGTCTGAGTTCATCATGTCAACCAAGACCATCCATGGTAAGTCACAGTTCCAGAAGGTCGAATCTAAACATTGGACATGGGAGTCTCCTGGTGGACGATTCCATAATGAAATTGACCACATCATATTCAATTGACGGTTTTGCCTGACTGATGTTGCTGTTGTCCCAAAATTCCAAACGGGATCGAACCACCGTCTCCTTCGTGCAAAATTTTACTTCATGGAGTGGGTAGAAAGGGCTGAAAATTTTAAGAAGAGAACTCCCAGAATGACCACCAACTGGGAGCTCTTTGGCACTACTGCGGCAACATGGGAAAATGCCATCGTTGACAACATTGACGAGGAATAGGATCGACTGGTTCAGAACCTCCATGATTGTGCGAGGAATGCCAAGAGAGAAATAGCCACAAAAAATGCCTGTCTTCGAAAACTCTTTGAGCTTATTAGCCAACGTGGCTTGGCGCAAGCCTCAGGCAACCACAAGCGAATGTCTGAGCTCGCAAAGCAGTGCAGAGAAGCAATCAAGAACAACTTCAAAGAGAGAAGAGCAGTAGTGCTGGCAGATGCAGCAGAAGCTGGGAAAAGCATTCGCCATGTCCACCTGTCCTTCGCCAACTACAAGACCAAGAGGACTACCCTCCAAAGTCCTGATGGATCTATCACAACTTTCAGAAGGGCAATGGAGAAGATTATCCATGACTTCTACTCGGATCTCTTCAATAGCCATGTCCACCTGCCCACATACCAAATTTCGCAGGATGGATATGTCGTTCCCAACGTTCTCCCTTCCAAAATCCAACATGCCATTTTGTCAGTAAAGAAGCGAACAGCACCTGGCCCAGACCAGATCATACCCAAACACCTGAAAACTCTGCCGTTGGTACTCATCAATACACTGGCTCGGCTCTTCACACGCTACCTGTCTGAACGAAAGGTTCCATCCCAATGGAAAAACAGCAGGACAGTACTACTGTACAAGAAGGGAGACATCCACGACATTGGCAACTATCACCCAATCTGCCTCTTGTCTGTCATCTACAAGCTGTTCACTTGAGTCATCCTAAATAGGATTGGCAGAACACTAGATGAAGGACGACCATGCAAGCAAGCTGGGTTCCACAAAGGATTCAGCACGATAACCAAGCTCATTGAGATTTCTTGGGAGTTCAAGATGCCACTCTGTTTAACACTCATTGATTTAAAGAAGTAGTTATCGAAGCCCTAGTCAAACAGGGCCTTCAAAATACATCAGGATCCTCCGTGAGCTGTATTATGGATTCACTATCAGGATCTCACCATTCTACAGGGAAGTGATTATCAATGTCAAGAGAGTGTTCGGCAGGGTGATACCATTTCTTTTTTTTTATTAATTAATTTTTTTTAATAGTGAGACATCATGAGGTACAGTTGCAGACTTACACATTTTTGTGCTTGGGTTTCAATTATACAATGATCAAACACCCATCCCTCCACCAGTGCGCATTTCCCACCACCACGGATCCCAGTATCCCTCCCACCCCCCAGCCCCCATCCCACCCTGCCTCTGTGGCAGGGCATTTCCCTCTCTCTCCTTTTGAGTGCTGTGGTTTGCAAAAGAGGCATTGAGTAGCAATCATGTTTGGTCGATAGTCTACTTTCAGCATGCTAGGGTGATACCATTTCACCAAAACTCTTCAGTGCCACCCTGAGAATGTCATGCAATGACTGGAATGGGAAGAAATGGGAGTGAAGATAGACGGTCGGCAACTACACCACCTCCGCTTTGCTGATGACATCGTTCTAATAACACCAAACATTAGACAAGCAGCACAAATGCTGACCGACTTCAACCATGAGTGTGGAAAAGTCGGACTCCAGCTGAATCTCATGAAGACAATGTTTATGAAAAACAGTCTCATTCCTGATGTTACATTCTCTCTCAACGGAACAAACATCTCCAAATGCACCAGTTATGTGTACCTAGGTCGAGAAGTCAACATGACGAATGACCTGGCACCTGAGATGCGCAGGAGGAAGAGAGCTGCTTGGAACACCTTCAAGAATGTCAAAGAAATAGCTAAGAGGATGAAGAACCTCCAGCTTTGGGCACATCTCTTCGATTCCACTGTTCTTCCTGCATTAACATATGCCTCAGAGACCTGGCCCTATAAAAAAAGGATAAGAACACTATTCGGGTCTCCCAAAGAGGAATCGAAAGAGCTATGCTTGGAGTATCATGCTTCACTCAAATGAGAGAAAGAATCCGGAGTTCCAACCTCCTCCATTGACGGTCAAGAATCAGGGATGCTCTCTCATTTGCCAAGGCGTCGAAAATCAGATGGACTGGACACTTAATGAGATTTGGAGACGATTGCTGAATTAGAGCCGTTACTGACTGGTTTCCATGAGACGTCAAAAGATCGCGTGGCTGCCCACCTATGAGATGGTCACACATCTTCGTCAAGACACTGAATGATTAGTTTGAGGCTCTTCATGTTCCTAGAATGAACAGATGCCACTGGGCTACACTAGCATGCTACATGGACAAATGGTGACATTGCTGGCGCCCACTCGAGCAGATCGATGAGTAACAGGATGTCAAGTGATCAGGTGAGTCACACTAAGTGGTGCTCAGGACTTACTCCAGACTCTGTGGTCAAGAATCACTCCTAGAAGGGTTTGGTGGACCATATCGGATGCTGAAGATGAAACCGTGTATAAGGCAATCACTCTACCTGCTATACTATTGCTCTGGCCCCAAGTGCCATTTTTAAAAGGAATGTAATGGTTACTAAGATTAATAAAATACAAATTGATCACTTATCTAGTGAGCTCAAACCTTAACCCAGTCTTCATTTCTCCAGTTCTACCCCCAGACTGGAACTAGGGGTAGCCAATGACCAGGTTTCTCCCTGTTGTGGACAGACTTCACTCTGGATCTTGACTCCCTACCTGGTCACTAAGGCGCCTTATCCCAATTCCCTAAGTTCCTCACTGTTAGGCTACACCTGCAGAAAGACCATCCTTCACCTTGCAACAGTTCCCAGCACCAACCCTGGACAACATAACATATCCTTTGCACAACAGTGTCCACCTCCCAGCCTGACCGTCTTGCTCCAGTGTATGAGACATTCCAGCAGATCTTTTCAAACCCAACACAGATGGGGAAGTAGCAACTCTGTACCAATCATCTTTCAGGATCTGCTTCAATGTAATACCCATGTCATACCCATGTCAATGAGGCAACCAAGTGGGAGAAGCAGAGGGGCAGAACTTCGTATGGACCCTGGCAGGCAAGACCATCACCCTTGAGGTGGAGCCCAGTGACACTATTGAGAATGTTGAATCCCAAATTCAAGACAAGGAGAGTATCCTGCCAAACCCGTAACATCTGATTTTTTCAGATAGACAGTCAGAGGATGGCTGTACTCTCTTGGACACTGCATTTGATGCTGCATCTTATGGGAACATCAAGAGTCATCGTCGCACTAGCTGACCCAGAAGTACAACTGAAAAGGGATCTGCCGGAAGTGTTATATCTGCCTGCAACTCCACACTGTCAAATGTCATGAGATGAAGTGTGGGCACAACAACAACCTGTGCCCCCAAGAAGGTGAAATAATGCCCCATACATACCACATCTGTGGGTGGCCACCTCTCAGGGTCTTGCAGACTCAATAAAGTTCCCTTTTGATTGACTGGGGGGGAAAAGGTAATACCCACGTATGTGGGGTCATACTTGAATCACTCCACCTCCTACTTGGTGTCACAGGCATTTTCAGAAAATAATAGTATCACACCACAGGTTGCCTCCCAGAAGTGGAATGTTGGCTCTATTAGAGCAGACGAGCTCTCCTAACAGAAACCTCCCAGTATCTACAAAGAGCAGCTTGCTAAACCACAACTCCTGGAGGCATGTGATCACAATCCCCAGTTGCTGCCCACGCTGACATGACTGTGACACGAAATCAGATGCTAGAATCTGTGACTTAGTGATCCCACGTTGGCTAGACCTCAGAGCCATGACAACTGCATAATCCCTGTGACCACAAAACCACTGCGGTCAGCTACTCCCCTATAAACCCAGAGTCACAGAGACCAGCTGTTTTGATGTGTGGGAGTCCTGGATTGCAGCTCACGTCAGCTTGTATTTGGGGTTGCATGCCAGTAATAGTGAAGAAATAAAGGAATTCAGCATGGGGACAAAATAGACAGATGGGGATAAAAACCTAGGAATGTCTACTCTATATTGGAACTTTGAAGACTCAAAAAACAGCAATACTTGTGATAACTATTGATATGAATAAATCAGAAGATGGAGGCATCATTAAGCTTTGAAAAAAGTAGATAGAAAAAAATATAGAATTGAAGTTACCGAGCAGGTTACCAAATACTGAACTGAAGTCACCAATTTCCATTAAGCTTTGGAAAAGGTAGATGAAAAAAATATTGAATTAAGATTAGGGAGACCAGAGGAGAGGAAGACACAAACTAGAAGTGACACTAGGACAGAGTGATGGGTCTTAGACATGCTGGTGGTGTGAAAGGGTTGGAATTGTGTCCACCATAAATATGAACAACACAACTGTAACCAAATTACATCAACTACAATCAAAAAATAAATAAAAATAGAAAAACCAGGAGAGTAAAGTCAAGTTTCAAATCAATCATTTTATATTACTAATAAATCCCCAGCAGCACTGAATGAGTAATTCTGTTAGTGCTTTTCCTATTCATTTCCAAGAATAATTCTAGACTTTGAGATTATAAAGTGCTTTATGTAATTCCAGAAGAGGTCTTTTATTTTGTTCTAGCAGACATAGGAATGAGGTAAGTTCTCATCTGCAGGATGCATGGAGGCTCCCAAGTCCCACATGGGAAAAGGACAGACAGCTCTCTGGGAGCTGAACTTGTATCATTTCCCCGGAATTGTCACCAGCTGCCCGGGGAGGTTTGTGTTTGGTGTTTCAAGGTCAGCCTGACACCCACCACTTCTAGGCCAAGGGCTTGGGAAGGGGAAGTGCTTCTACCCCACCTGGGGCACAGAGCAGAGTCACAGGCGACTGACCGGTCAGCATAGTGATGAGGGGAAGGCTGTTGTCCTCAGGGCTGCCCCAGTAGCCAGCTTCTCCCAGCATGTTCCGTTCCAGTACCTGATGGTACAGCTCCTCGATCCAGGCCTGGGAGAAGACCATCAGCACCCCGCTGGTCTGCACCTGCTTCATGAACTCTTTCTGTAGGGACAGACAGCACAGGAATGTGACAATCTTCTCCACCCCTCTAAACCAATAGCCTCCTCCATGACCTCAATGATGATGTTAGACTTAGGGGAAACAATCCTTGGTGACAGATCAGGGAAGGGGAGGTCAAGAAATCCCAAACTTCATGAAGTTCCTTTCATTCATTATATATATTATATACAGCATATGGGCTGGAGCGATAGCACAGTGGGTAGGGCATTTGCCTTGCATGCAGCCAACATGGCCGACCTGAGTTCAATTCCTCTGCCCCTCGCAGAGAGCCTGGCAAGCTACCGAGAGTATCTCGCCCGCATGGTAAAGCCTGGCAAGCTACCTGTGAGGTATTCAATATGCCAAAAACAGTAACAAGTCTCACAATTTGTTGTGAGATGCTACTGGTGCCCGTTCGAGCAAACTGATGAACAATGGGAGGACAGTGCAGTGTTACAGCATATACATATATTATATATATATATATTAATATTTTTAGAGGCCACACCCAGCAGCTCTTGAGGGTCTGGGGGCCACTCCCAACAGTACATCCTATGGTTTGGTGCTCAGGCTACTTGGTGCTTGGGGAGTCCCCAGGGATACCCTAATGGTGGTGGAGAGGAGGCAGTGCAGTGCTGGGGAATCAAACCCAGGACCCCCTATTAATTAGGCTCTTCCACTTGAGCTGTCACAAGTGGTCCCCAGTTGTAAGACACCTGGCAGAGTATTAGGGACACTATGCTCACCTTTTTTTATTTTTTTTTAAACTCTTTGATGTGTGTGAGACTTAGAAAGTGCTCAGAAATCTTGGACTTTGTGCCTGAGTAGCAGGGAGAGAATGCAGTCCCAGAAAGAACTTATGGGTTTCAAGAGCTATTTTGTTTGTTTATGGGTCACACACAGTGGCTCTTAGAAGTTAATCCTGGCTCTGTGCTCAGGAGTCACTCCTGAAGGACTCAGGGGAGCATATGGACTGCAGGGGATTGAATCCCCACAAGTTGCCTGCAAGGCAAATACCTTACTAGCCTTATTAAATCTCTAGCCTCTCAAGAGCCATCTGACTTACATTCTGGAAGCTCCCACTTACCTTTGATAATTTATGATTTACCAATCAAACAAGAGCTTATTGAGTTTCATTTCATTCTCATGCTACATGGTATGGGGTGGGGGGTGGGGTGGGCTAGTGGCTGGGGTGGGGGTGCTTTATTACTGAACCATGTGTTAAAGGTAGGTCTGGATACATTTTAGAATATAATGAAAAGCTTTTTATTGGAAATATTTTGTTCTGGATGTTTTCTGGTCACCCCTAGAGGTGTTCAGGGTCTCTGTGTGCCCTGCAGTGCTTGGGGAATCTCTCAGTACCAGGCATCAAACTCATACCTACTGCATTTGAGGCGCGCACTCAGCCCATTGCATTACCTTCGACCCCAACCAGCAAAGGGTTTGGGAACCATCTGCCTTCACTATCTGCAGAATGGATGATTTTCTACCTTCTTTCTGGTATCACCTGGGTTGGAAGTGCACTTGGGTTGGTAGGGGGTCATTCCAAGTAGTTATTTCCAGGTAATGGATATAGTGAGTGGTCCCTGTATTCAAGATTCACAACTAACTGCTCCTCTGTATGACCTCTCTCTCTCTCTCTCTCTCTCTCTCTCTCAATTTTTGTTTTGGGGCCACACCTGGTGATGCTCAGGACTCTTCACAGAGGTATCACTCCTGGTGTGCTCAGGAAACCATATGGGATACTGGGTATCAAACCCAGGTCTGCAGCATGCAAGGTAAACGCCCTTCCCATTGTACAATACTGCTCCAGGCCCTGATCCAGATTTGCCAGCAAGGGGGGACAGTCTGCATGGGGCCCGTACTTTCAGGATGCTTTCAGGACACTACTGCATGGTTCCCCTGCACCCACTAATCCTCTTTGCCCCTCAGAGGTGGGCTCAGCTCTACCCCCACCCCATACGCACACTCACCATCATGCCCGGTGCCAGAGGGGGCCGTTTCCGGTAGTAATCGGCATGCGAGAGCTTCAGGTTGAGCAGCAGAGCGCAGTGTGCGGCCGTGTACAGGCTGTCTGCGTTCATCAGCATCTGCAGGCTCAGGCTGCTGCCACCCTCAAACCCAGGAGAGCGCATCATGCCTGAGTGGAGAAAAGCCTGAGACTTGGTGGGACTGCGGGGGACAATCCCACAGAGGGATCCTGCACCTCTAAGGACCTTTCTGGGAAGCCAGAGCAGTCAGGGACCACCCCAGGGCCAGAAGCGCAGTGAGGGCAAGTCCTCTACCTGAATCTCCAGAGCAAACTCTTCATCATAAGCTCACCAGCGCCTCCAGTACAACTGTGTTATTTAAAAAAAAAATTCCCCCTAAATTTTATTTTATAAGTTACAAAATTACTCAAAGTTATGAGTTACAAAGTTATTCATAGTTGGCATTTTGACATACAATGGTTCTATCACCCATCCTGCCACCAGTGTTCCCAGGCTCCTGCCTGCCATCCTGACAGACCCCTTTTAAGTTTGGTTATTAAAGTCTGAGTCTCACGATTTTAGTGTTGTTGGCTTGTGGTTTGGATATTTAGCTCTACCATTCCTTACACAACCAATGTACCTGAATCCCCTTGTCCTCCACCCCCGTTGTTTCTTACTGATCTCCTCTTTCTTTCCCCTTCACTCTATTTCTTTCCTTCTCCTCCTTATACTCCGGGGCAGTGGGTGATCTAGGCATCCCCCATTTACACCATTGCACTTCTGCATCCAGTTATGGAACTGGACGATATCATGTTAAATAAAGTAAGGCAGCAGAAGAAGGATCAACACAGAGTGATCCCACTTATATGTGGTATTTAGAGTAACTAGACGAGGAAATGCCATATCAGTCTTGTATGTGTAAGTCTCTTTCTCTAGAAACCGACAGAATGATCAATAGTAAGTATTCTGAGTCTTCTCACCATAGCTTCCCCTCACAATAAAATAAGACCGCACTTGACTCTCCCCTATCCTCATAGTCTCCCTGGCCTGGTGCTGCCCCCTGACCCCACCACACCTGGACCCATGTACAATGCTCTCCAGAAGGGTTTACCCAGATACCTGGAGGGTTTGCTCCCTCGATTCTTTCAGGTCGTGGCTCCAGTACCAGCTTTCCAGAGACTTTCCCCTTCAATCCTGTCTCTAAGCGCATCACCCCTGCCCATTTAATCATATGTCTAAAAATGGATAAATGGCAATTTTTACATTATAGATGTACATGTCCATAATGACTGTAAACACCAAATGCACAGAATTGTGTACCTTAAATAGGTGAATGATACGGCATTGAATTATATATCAATAAAGCTGTTGAAAATAAACGAGGTGGGGTCAGGAGATATACAGCCAATAGGGTGTAGGCTAAGCCTGTGGATTTGATCCCTAGTATGTATGACATAGTACTCCAATCGCCACTGGATATGGCAGTGGATTGGGTAATTCCTGGCACCAGAGGGCCTGAGTGACACCCCATCCTTAGACCAAGACCAGTACCTTGCATTTAATGGTCCAGGGGGCCAAGAATCCCTTGTCGGGTTTCCCAGATCTCCTGAGAACCACTTGGGAGGCAAAAGAAGAAAAAAGAAAGAAAGAAAGAAAAAAAGAAAGAAAGAAAGAAAGAAAGAAAGAAAGAGCTACCCGCTCCAGCCTAGCTTCCTCCAAGCATCATTTTATCTTCACTATGTTTCCATTTTGAAGGGCTCAGCACAACTTAACTGAAACTCTAACTCATGCTGCAGAGATGGTTCACTAAAACACCCAGAGCGGGGCCTTATTTACAGAGAAATGGGACATACTATGAGCAAGTCAGTCTCTCCTGCTCTGGAATGTGTCAGTCCAGTGGCCCCATTTGTTCTTGCAAACAAAGCAGCTGTTTGAGGAGTTGCTTGAAACAGTGCAGCTTAAATAGAGGCAAGTTACGCATGCTGCAAACATCCTCAAACTTCAAATTTAGAAGTTAACAATGCTAAAATTTTCCGGTGTGTGTGGGAGGGGGGGACACAGGAAGGAAGGAAACTGGGGACACTGGTAGTGGGAAATGTATACTGGTGAAGGAGTGAATGGACTGGTGTTGGAACATTTGTATGACTAAAACCCAATCATGAACAGCTTTGTAATTGTGTATCTTACTGTGATTTAATTTTTAAAAATTAAAAAAAATTTCCTTGCATCAAAAATGTACCTCTTGGGGCTGGAGAGATAGTATAGTGGGTAGAGAAAATCCTGGTATGGTCCTCAAACAAACAAACAAAAGTCTCTCTTATATGAAATAAAAAGTTTTTTTAAAGGAGTTACCAAGCATCTTTAGAACATTTTCTTCTATCTCTAAATTTTTTAATTATTTTTAAAAGGAAGGGCATGGGGCTGGAGTGATAGTACAGCAGGTAGGGCGTTTGCCTTGCACGTGGCTGACCCAGATTTAATTCCCAACATCCCATATGGTCCCCTGAGCCCTTTCAGGAGTCATTCCTGAGTGCAAAGCCAAGAGTAACCCCTGAACATCACCAGGTGTGACCCAAAAAGCAAAATAAATAAATAAATAAATAATAAAAGGAGGGGCATATCTGGCAATGCTCACATCACACTCCTGGTGGGGCTTGGGGAACCATTTGTGATGCTGGTGACTGAACCAGAATTGGCCAAATACAAGGAAAGTGCATTAACCCCTGTACTATCTCTCTGGCCCAGTATTCCTGTAATTTCTTAAATGAATATACTAATAAGAGAATAAGGACCAAAATAAATTTTAAATTGAAAATATTTCAGGACCTTTGCTATATTTGAGGATGGCCTAAACATTGTGTGTGTTTGTGTGTGTGTGGTGTAAGTGCACATACCATTCCAATAAAACTACTTTCATCGGTCTAAAGTTAGACCTTACTTCTAGTGTTCTGTAAGAATTCTGCAGTGCCTAAAGATACTTTTGTACTAAGCATACATTTCCCTCTCTCACCCCCCAACCCCCCTTCCAGTCAATCTATACTTCTGGTCACACTGAGACCACTCCCTCTGAAGCTCAGTTTTGGGGTATGGGTCCTTCCTGGTTCTGTATTCACCAAGCTGGTCCCTTCCAGGAAGTGCAGTGAGGATGGAGAACACACAGTCAGGAAGGGAGACCCCTGCTGGGCAGATATGGAAGGTCCCTAGTCTACAAGTACCTGGAGCATTATTGGCAGGACTGCAGAAGAGAACACAGAATGTTGAAGGGGTGGGGTGCTCCAGTCTTGCCAGAGAACCCCAGTTTGCCCTGCAAAATGATAGAACTCCTGGGGAGCCTCTGAGGTGGGATGGGGCTTGCTGTCCATGTGAAAGTTGAGGAACTTCCCTGTCTGAATCCCAAGTCAGCTTCTGTCTGACCCTGGGAAAGAGACTGGTGGGCCAGACAGCTGAGAGCAAATTCTGGCCAGTAAGCCAGACTGCAGACCTAGAGTCAGATTTGTTTTAATGTAAAGAAACAGTTCTTTCATGATGCATCATACTGTTGTCTATGAAGTCTAGTACTTTACAAATATCCACCTGCTTCACATAATAAACCCCACATATGACCAAGGCATGTCCCCAAATCCTAACTGAACACTTTTACTATCAAGCAATACAAGTATCCAGTTCACTGCCTATGGCTGTGGGAGGTTGGCTCTGGCTTTTTGTCCCCAGGGGCTACCTTACACAAATGCCACTTTCTTCTCTGTAGGAACTGAGAGATGTTTTAGCAGCTTTCATGGCTCATTCCCAGCCAGGCCTTCAGAACAACATTCGTCTGCATGCTTTGAACCCTGCCACCAGTCAACAAAAGCAACATGAACTGCCTTCAGAGGTAAGCCTTCCCTTTGTTGTGGGTCATACCTGAGGCTGATCTCCATGCTCAATGAGCTTTCAGAGGACAAGGCTGAGGTTTCAGCCAGGAGGGCAAACCCTAAGGCAGGAACAACTGCTCAGTAGGAGGCTTTGGCTAAACACGATCTTTAGCTTTGAATGTGGATGCGAACAATGAGAAAAAAGTTGGGGTGTTATTCAGGAGCTCCCATTCTCTTCTCTCCTTCTGGATTAATTTTTATAACTTTCTCTTAAGGGAACAACAACCACAAATCTGCCAGTTCCCTTTCTCTTAGAGGGGCATAGATGTTTCTCTCTCCCACTCTCTTATTTTGCAGGCAACCTTGCCCTTCTTCCAAGCAGGGGGAGCTTTGGCTAAGTCCAGACAGGACAGTGCTGGCCTGTGTTTGTGACTCTGGCTGACCCCCAGTGACCATCAATGTGATGTGCTAAACTACAGCAGTAACTGAGCAGATCAGCCTTACTGGTAGCAGATCATCGAATGATGGGACTGTCTCTAGGAAACAGGGGCCAAGTTCTGACTGTCCCTGGGAAACAGAGGCCAAGTCCTACTGGGCAAAAACTCTGTGGTGGTCACAGAATTAGAGACAAATGGCTAATAAAATTGTAGCCAATCACTATGAATTTTATTTGGAAACAGTCAAAAGATTTTTAGTTTCATTTCAAGGTTTGGATATCTACATGTAAAAATTATTATCACACAACATGTTGGATCTGCAGGGACAGTTTATAGACTCATAAATTTAAGCATTTTTAGCACTCAAGGGAACACATTATAGCCCCACAAAAATCATCCCCTCAAGTCTTGTTTTGTATGTAATATAAATATTGATTTGGATGGCACAAAAACACCATAGTGAGGATTTGCTTTAGAATTAATTTAAAATCTCCTCAAATTTTAGAAAAGGCCTTGCTAGCATTCTACTTCCTAATTTTCATAGAAAATTAGTCAAGGTCTTTGAAAGTTCATCTTTACCATGGCGACAAGTCATTTGTCTGGATTACTGAGTTGAGGCTATATCCATATTTGAAGCTATCAACTAGCAGCAGCTTACCACCTACTCCACCAGAGTTATTTTCTATGGAAAATTAAAGGTAGAAGGCTCAAAAATATAATTGGACTATTTCTCGATGACTTGGGGCAATCATTTCTGCACCAGTGAGCCATTATTGAAACAGGCAGTACAGTATTCAGCTACACAACTGCCCCTGGGAACTTACCAGTATTTGCTGGACTTTCTACTGTGGCTCCTGGGGTTCCCAGTTGGTCAGGTTGGGCTTCCCAGATCTGTCCCTGTGACTATTAGCTCAGAGTCACCAACAAACAACTTCCTAAGGCAACAGCATTCCTTCCAATACAGACTATACCTAAAAAATCCTTCCCTGGAGCTCTCTCCTCTCTATTTCCAAAAAGCAACTACATCAATCTACAATTAATTAACTGATGAGAGGAAGCTGTGTATGTCCTAGCATCCTTAGCACACAGCCACAAGCAGTCTTTTTCTACATTGACTGGTCAATGGTTGGAAACTTGCCACAAGTTATGGAGAGGGACAGGTAGGAAAGAGAAGGGATCACTATGACAATGGTAGTTGGAAATGATGACTCTGGACAAGAAACGAGTGCTGAAAGTAGGTCAAGGGATGTACATAATAACTACTCAGCATCTGTATTATAAACCATAATGCCCAAAAGGAAAGAGGGGAAGGGGAAGGGGTAGGGGTGGGAGTGGCGGGAGGAAACATTGATGTACACTGGGGAATCATGGGTGTTAGAACATTGTATGACTTAAACCCAATCATGAACAACTTTGTAACTGTGCATCTCATGGTGATTCCGTTAAAAAATGAAAAAAAGAAGAATACACCTAAGGTTCATAAGGATGCCATGAGCACAAGCCATAATGGGCATTTCTGGGCGAAGGGTGGCCCAATGAGGCGACAACTGCACAGTCTCAATGACCAGATAGCCAAAGGAAAGGTGAACCCTCTCTACAAACCTGAGCAGAAGGTTGAGGCGAAGCTCTGGAGGGCCGCGTCCACCTCTTGCACGCTGGGAAGGGCCAGCAGGCGAGGAAGGAGGCCTTCCAGTGCCTGCACGAAGAGCCGGGCACTGTGCTGGTCCGCCTCCTGGTTCTTCAGTAGCTTGAGAGACAGGGCGGCTGTCCGCAGGGAGCGGTGGCCCAGGCAGTCCCGTGGGGTCTGCTCCTCGTCGGCCAGGGAACAGTTGTCGGAGCCGATGTCCGACACGTCGGACCTCCCGGAGTCCTTCTCTGCGGCCATGGAGTACTGGTCGCAGGAATCAAACTCGGTCCGCGAGAGGTCTTGGTCGTCCACGCTGAAATTGCTCTCGCTGTAGCGGGACCCATAGGACCTCATTCTGCAGTCCACCGATAGGAAGTTGGTGATGTCGGGATAGGCCACCACGTGGCTCCGCTGCACCACGTCGGGTTGATCGACGGTGGCGTCGGGCTCCGAGCCTTTGCTCAGTGCCTCCTTGCCCTCCTGCAGGGCCGGAGACTTGAGGCTGTTTTTGGGGTGGTCCTCGGGGGTCGTCTGACCCAGCTCGCCCTCCAGCGTGGTCTGGCCCGTGTCCGTGGTCACACTGATGCTGATGTCGGGGCTCCGCTCGTGCCCCGCGGCCCAGGGCGTGTGTTCCGACGACAGCACGCGCCGCTGCCAGCGGAAGTCGGCCTCGTTGATCTCCACCGAGTCGCGGCTGGACTCGGCCCCGTCCTTGAGCTCCTCGAGGCGCAGAAGCAGCAGCTGCACCTGCCCGTCGCTCATGCCCTTGCCCTGGCTCAGCTCGTCCAAGGCCCCGAGCAAGGTGCAGACGCAGGACACAGCGGCGTAGCACGCTTCGATGCCGCCCTTGACGCACGCTTCCGTCATGCCATCCATGATGCTGAAAGGGTGCAAGGGAGAAAGGGCAACCACGGCAGGTTAAGAATGGGGGATGACTACTCCTGGGGGTTGAGATAAGGACCAGGTGGATGACTCCGGCCTCACATGCTGGGGGAAAAGGCAGCTGAGATAGAGAAGGGAGCACCTGGTGAAGGGTGCTTGGAGGGCCCACTTGGGATGGGAGATGCGTGCTGAAAGTAGACTATAGACAGAATATGATGGCCACTTAATACCTGCACTGCAGACCACACCACCTTAAAGGAGAGAGACAGAGAATAAAAAGGAATGCGCCTTTGGGGGAGAGGGGCAGGGGATGGAGGGAGGTATACTGGGAACATTGGTGGTGGAGAAAGGGCACTGGATGGGTAATTGATCATTATATGACTGAAAGATAAGCATGAAAATTTGTAAGTCTGTAATTGTACCTCACAGTAATTCATTAAAAAAATAAATTAAAAAAAATGAGGGGTTGGAGCAATAGCACAGTGGGTAGGGTGTTTGCCTTGCACACGGTTGACCAAGGTTCAATTCCTAGCATCCCATATGGTCCCCTGAGCACCTCCAGGAGTAATTCCTCAGTGCAGAGCCAGGAGAAACCCCTCTGCATAGCTAGGTGTGACCCAAAAATAAATAAATAAATAAATAAGAATGAATGGGGGGGGGGGAACGTGCCAGTGCATGCAAGAACGCTCAGACTGGTGAGTGGCTATCCAGCGAGACCCTCTCTTTACTTTGTACAAAATTAAATGAATTGGCAGAATCGGAAAATGAACAATAAGTGACTGAAACACACCCAGGCTCACAGTGCTTTGCAAACCAGGGCAACTTTTGATTTTGCTTCGAATCACTCGCTTTCTGGCTGGTTTTAATCTAAGCACAGTCAGAAAAAAAAAAAATCTAGATGGGAATCCGTAATCTTCGCATGCACACCCACTGGATTATCTCACTTTTCTACTGCTGAGTTTTCAAAACAGAAAATATAGCCATCATGAAAATATATAATAAGCATATTTATGAACAGATGCATGTGAATACAAATATTAGGCATCAGATAATCTTCAGTTTTGGTGGGGGTGGGGTGGGGTGGGGAGGAGGGCATAGTCACAATATGCTAATTCAAAAAGCCCTAAAAAAGGGGGTAAGTGAGATAATACAGGGGGTAAAGCACTTGTCTTGCATGTGGCTAAACTGAGTTGGATCCTCAGTACCCCATTTGATACTCCAAGCATTGCCAGGAGATCACTGAGCACAATGTCAGGAGTAAGCCCTGAGCATTGCAGGTCCTGGGTGGTCTCAAAGCAAAACAAAACAAAACAAAAAACCAACTCTCTCCTCCAAAACCCTAAAATAACTCCACTGAACAATTTTTAGACATTTTGTACATTCCACTTTAGTCTAAAATTACGCAGACAGTTCAAGGCCCATTAGCCATTTAAGCCCGTCACCCCATTCCTTCCAATCCAGCACCATTGGGTGGCCCATGGCCCCCAGCACTTCAACATATGGCCCTGGTGGCTCCTGAGTACCATCAACCATACTGGGGCTGGGTTCTGTTGCAAATGGACCAAATGAAAACTGGAAATTTCTATGAGCATTATACATTAAGATAGGAGTTTTCCTATGACGTAGGAGACACTATTTAAACAATCACCTTCTGGATAACACAGACACGTAAATACTTCAGACATGTTTAGAAACAAGGTCAGGAGCATTCAGAGAAAGAGACAGTCAAACAGAAAATGTATCCTACAGTTTGAGGAGATCCAGATGAGACTTCCTTTTTGAAACGGATCTTTTTCGGGACTCTGGTTCAGTGGAACTGGGTCCTGCCAAGTCACAGAGACGCTGAGGGCTCCCAAGCAGCTTTATGAAAAGAAAAACAAAAACAAAAACAATATATATATATATATAATAGTAAAGTATCTCAGGAAAACACAAGGTCTTAAAATAATGAGATCAAATAGACATGTACTTCTTTTATTGAGTGAGAGACAGTCTAAGGAGAAATACAACCATTTGAACAACAAATCTTAGCAAAACTGATTCAGTTATTTTTTTTTAATTTGTAATATTTTTAGACACCGCACAGCGGGTAGGGCGTTCGCCTTACAAGCGGCCAACATGGCCGACCTGAGTTCGATTCCTCCGCCCCTCTCGGAGAGCCCGGCAAGCTACCGAGAGTATTCGATATGCCAGACACAGTAACAACAAAGTCTCCAATGGAGACGTTACTGGGCCCGCTCAAGCAAATCGACGATCAACGGGAGGGCCTTTACCTTTACCTTTACCGTGAATTTACAAAGTTGTCTTTTTGACATTGATAATACATTGGATTCCCAGCTACCCACTTGAGGGCTGACTTAGACCAAGAAAATAGTCTGATGGATTATTTTTAAAAATTGCATTGGGTTTGGGGAGATGGCTCAAAGAGCTGGAGGCCCAGGCTCAATCTGGGGCACTATATGGTCCCCTAAGCACTACTGTATGTGGTCCCCAAGTAAAAAATTAGAAAATAAGTTGCATAGCAACAGTTACTAGGAGACAGATGCACCTGTGAGCACAACTGGTCTGCAATGTCCTTTCTATAACCCCCTCTGCCTTCCTCCGCTACCAAGATGACTTAACTTCAAAATCTGGTCCATGTGATATTGAGGATCAAACTTGGGGTCCCTGACCTGGAAGGTATGCCTTTCGCGCCACCAGACACTCTCTCTGATCTGCCTGCTACTATTGTTCATATGAAAAGATTTAAACTTTTACAAATTAAATTTCCTTCAAGACTATAGGATTATTGAGGCTCTTAATTTTTTCTTGAGGCGAGTCTTGAAGATTGTTACTTACCAGGGATTTGTTTATGTTTTTTAATTTACTGGTATAAACTGTCTTGGGGCTGGAGCAATAGCACAGCAAGTATGGCGTTTGCCTTGCATGCAGCCAACATGGTTGACCTGAGTTGGATACCTCCGCCCCTCTCGGAGAGCCCGGCAAGCTAGCGAGAGTATCTCGCCCGCACGGCAGAGCCTGGCAAGCTACCCATGACAGATTCAATATGCCAAACACAGTAACAACAAGTCTCATGAAGGAGATGTTACTGGGCCCGCTCGAGCAAATCGATGAACAACGGGAGGACTGTGACCATGACTGGTATAAACTGTCTTAATACCTTTAATTAAGTTCATGTCTGTAACCTCCTTAGTGATATGCACTTTTCTTTATCTTCCTCCAAATCTTGGTATTTTTCACTTCACTGAGTCACAAGATTACACACTGCTAATTTTATATATTGTTACTTTTTAATATATATTTTATATTTTGTTTATATATTATTTGTATATTTATATATTTTATATATTTATATATTTTATATATTGTTACTTTTATATTTTATACGGGCTGGAGCAATAGCAGAGCAGGTAGAGTGTTTGCCTTGCATGCAGCCAACATGGCCGACCCAAGTTCGGTTCCTCAGAGCCCAGCAAGCTACCGAGAGTATCTTGCCTGCACGGCAAAGCCTGGCAAGCTCCCCGTAATGTATTCAATATGCCAAAACACAGTAACAACCAAGTCTCACAATGGAGATGTTACTGGGCCACTCGAGAAAATCGATGAACAATGGGAGGACAGTGATATATATTATATATATATATATATATTACACATCCAACATCCATCCATATTTTATATATTGTTAATTTTTTGCTTCTTTGGTCACACCTGGCAATGCACAAGGGTTACTCCTGGCTCTTCACTCAGGAATTACTCCTGACGGTGCTCCGGGGACCATATGGGATGCTGGGAATCGAACCCGGATTGGCTGCGTGCAAAGCAAATGCCCTTTGGGCAAATGCCCTACCCGCTGTGCTATCTCTCCAGCCCCTATATTATTACTTTTAATAACCTCACTTTCTGCTTTTCTCTTTATGTTTTCTCCTTTCTATGTTCTCTAATCTGCTCTTCTTTCCCCATCTACCTAAGTTGGCAAGTTAGAATTAGCTGTAGGGGCTAGGTAGAGAGCTGGAAGAACTGGAGCTTATGCTTTGCATGTGGGAGCCCCACTTTTAATCTCTGACACCACAAGGTCCTTGACCAGCTCCCCAGCACTGTGTTAGAAGTGGCTCCTGAGCACTATTGGGTGTGGTTCCCAATTCAACCTCTACCAAATTCCCAAATTAGATTTAGCTTACCTATTTTGTTAAATCATTAAACAATTAAAAGGAGTAATAGCCATCTCTGTATGGCTTTGGCTGCATTCCATAAATTTTCACAACTATTCAAGATTTACTCATTTTGAATTCTTAAATTTATTTTAATTTTTAATTCTATAAGGACTTTTTTAGAAGTTTTTACAGAAAATGTTAGCAGGCAATTACATTAAGTTTACATTAGTTAATTAATGGCTTTGATACTGGAATAGACATCCTATCACCATGTTCATTATTACAAAGTAGTTTATACTCAAAGTTTATTAATAGGAGAGGTTATGTATGAAAGGGAATACATTATTTTCTTTCCTTCTCTTTCTTTCTTTCTTTCTTTCTTTCTTTCTTTCTTTCTTTCTCTTTTTCTTTCTTTTCTTGTCTATTTTCTTTCTTTCCTTTCCTTTTTTCTTTTTTTTTCTCTCTCATATTCTCTTCATTCTTTCTTTCCCTCAAAGCTGGAACTTCAGAGAAAAAGAAAGGAGGAGAATTTTATTTCTCTCTCTGTCTTTCCACTGCATTCAAATGCACAGGTTAGGTCCATGGGCATCTACTCTATCTCTTTTGAAATGGGCATGGGCACTGCAGGAGGCCAGGAGGGAGATACCACGTGCTTTGGGGATTCTTTCACGTACTCCAACAGTAATAAACTAGATGACATATTATGATTCCCACAGGAATCTTACTCCTTAATTGCTTCTGAATCTGGAGGGAAGAGAGATTATACTATTGAACTTCTAAGGAACCCACAACAGGGTGAGAGAGAGAGTAGAATGACACTTGCTTTGCATGAACCTGACCCTGCTTTGATCTCTGCCACTGCTTATGATCATCCCCTGAGAACTTTTAAGAGTGGTCCCTGAGAAGTTAAATTCTGAGCACTTCTGAATGTGATCCCCAAAATCAAATTCACAAAAGAATACCCAACAGTTTTTTGTTTGCCCTCATAATTTCATTCTTCCGTTTAAAAAGAATTCAAGCTTTTTTGAATTTAATTTTCCGTGCCCCCAGGAACATTTATTCAAAAGGACATATATACACCATTATTCATTGCAGTACTCAGTACAATGACTAAGATTTGGAATCAACCTATATTTCCAATGACAGATCAGTGGATCATGAAAATGTGGAATATACACACAATGGGATATTATGAAGCTATAAGGAATAATAAAATGTAATTTGCTGCAACATGGATGCAACTAGAAGATATTATGTTAAATGAAGTAAGCCAGAAGAAGGACGGATAGCAGGATGATATCACTTAGAGTGATAGCACAGCCGTAGGGCGTTTGCCTTGCACGCAGCCAACATGGCCAACCCGAGTTCGATTCCTCCGCCCCTCTCGGAGAGCCCGGCAAGCTACCGAGAGTATCTCGCCCACACGGCAGAGCCTGGCAAGCTCCCCATGACGTATTCGATATGCCAAACACAGTAACAACAAAGTCTCCAATGGAGAAGTTACTGGGCCCGCTCGAGCAAATCGACGAACAACGGGAGGGCCTTTATTTACTTTACTTTGGTATTCAGAGTAACTGGAAGAGGAAACGGGTTAGAGTGGGGGGTGTCTCGATCACCCTTGGTCCCAGAGCACAGGGAGAAGGAAAGAAATTGAGTGGTAGAGAGGAGAAGAGATAGATAAAACTGCCAAATGGGGCTGGAGTGGTAGTGTGGCAGGTAGGACGCTTGACTTGCACAAGGTTGACACAGATTTGATTCCTGGCACCCCATATGATCCCAGAATTCCATTAGAATCATCCCACCAGGAATGATTCATGACTGCAGAGGCAGGAGTAACCCCTAAGCACTTCTGTGTGTGACCTGATCATCCCTCTGCAAAATCCCTGTACCCCCCCCCCCCGCCGCGCCCCCCCCCCCCCACACACACATAAACACAAAAGAACCCTCAACAAATTCTTAAAGAAATACAAGGCATGGTGAATTCCAGTTTCTCCAGGTGTGAACAAGGAATGTGGTGTCAGGGATTGGGGTTAGAGGGAGTGGGTCACAGACCTCACTACTACTAGGCCAAGTCTACCAAAGCCAAACAGCAGGAGAGAGAAAAGGAAGCCACATAGATGTCTGGATTACAGTTCCTTTTGGAGGAAGGCAGCAACATAAGAGAAAGCACACTCTGGAAACAAAACAAAATGTCCTGTGCACCTCTGACGAACAGAACAGACACACAGCCCATGTGGCAGGGAGACAGACTGGAAAGAGCACAGGGAAAGAGCCCAGGAGGCTTTCCAACTCCAAAAGGCTAAGCAAACATCCTGGGGGGGCCAGTGGCTTTCTTCCTGCACATTAGTCCTGCGCATCTGTTTCCTAGGTTACTGATTTCCCCAAATGACGAGCATTGTGGGATGAACAGGAGCTATTGCTTTTCAGAACAATGTGGCCCACTGTGAAGTGAATCTACTGTGCTTGGTGGAGGAGGGGCACTGCTCAGGTGAGGCTGCCATTGCAAAACTGCCTGGGAAACCAGCACAGCTGGACAAGCACAGAAGCAGGGCTAAGTTTATTTGCTCTCACAAGGTTGTTACTGAAAAATATGGCTTTTTTTTTATTTTAGGGGCCATACCTGGTGGTGTGCTTGGCTTTCTCCTGGCTCAAGGCTCAAGGTTACTCCCAACAGCACTTAGGGGACCGTATACAGTGCTGAGGGCTGGACCTAGCTGAGCTGTGTGCAAGACAAGTGCCTTCCTGCTGCACTGTCCTCTGAAGATATAGTTGAATCTCCCAATGTCCCACATGCAGAGCATTAACTTAACATGTGGGCAACAGGAGGGCTCTATGGAGGTAGCAATAATTCAAGTGTCTGATTCTGGATAGAAAAATCAGGCTGTTGCCTGTTATAAAATATTCCTTTGCTGCCCTGCCACAGAGGCAGGGTGGGATAGGGGGTATGGAGGGTGGAAGGGATACTGGGACCTGTGGTGGTGGAAAATGGGCACTGGTGGAGGGATGGGTATTTGATCATTGTATAACTGAAAACTAAGCACAAAAATTTGTAAGTCTACAACTGTACCTCATGGTGTTTCACTAATAAAAATTAAAAAAAACAAAACAAAACAAAACAAATATTCCCTTTGCAGGTATCCTGTCGAGGATTTTGGTAGGTATAATTAGAACACCTGGGTTTATGTTTCAGATGTACTACTGATAGGGACTTCAGGCAGGTAATGGCTTAGCTTTGAGCTTTACTTTCTCTTTCTCCTTCAGGAAGCCTGTAAATAATCCAATGTCAGGCACCACCTATATCTGATCCATTGTAATCAACTGCTCAACTTTGTCAAGTGGAGATAGCCAACGGGAAGAGAGACAGCGGCATCTGGATAGAGCAGAAGGTGGGAAATGAACAGAACAGGGCCAGTCAGGGGGCAGGAGATTTGTTTTTATTTCCTTGAGGATAGTAAAGTATACACTAAATTATTGTTTAGCACTTTGTACTTACAAAGCACTGGCACAAACTGTGTTTCATTTTGAACTCAACACTTTTTGCAAATTTATAAGAAATAAGAGATATCTGAGAAATAAGGGGGGAGGAGAATGATAGAAGGTTCTGGAAATGGGAAGAGTACTTCAGACTTCGCTGAACCTGGAAAATTTGTTAATATTGGTCATTTACAAAACAAGCTTCAGAAAGACAAAAATAAGCCAGCTGGTGGACAGGAGACAAGAAGACTGGCAGAAATGAGCGGGTTGTTCTAGGCAAGAGCTAGTAAGGGCCTGCTCATTCCTGCTTCCATGTATTTTATTTTTATTTCCTTGAGGATAGTAAAGTATACACTAAATTATTGTTTAGCACTTTGTACTTACAAAGCACTGGCACAAACTGTGCTGCATTTTGAACTCAACACTTTTTGTAAATTTATAATAATTTATAGGTGAGAAAATTCAAAGTTGGGAGTTAAATGATCAACCACTAAAATCTAGCAGTAAGTATCAGAGAAAGAATTCAAACCATGACTGTTAAAATTCTGACTTATATAAGAAATATTTAAACAAGTGATGGCCAAGGGGCAGTGAGAATCACTACTGCAATCTGAAAATCAAATTCAGGATTCAGTGTGGTACAGGAAATGACCCTGGGTGGAAGGCAACCTTTACCTTCACAGTAACCTTGGAGAAATCACTTGATTCCCCCAAAGCATCAGCTTCTTTGTTGGAAGGAAAAATAAACAACCCTTTCCCCTGCAGCAGGAATCTATGGGATAAAGTTCTGAGCTTGTCTCCTCCCTTTCTCTGACTTCCTGTTGAAAGTAGAGGGTCCCTGGTCAGACTGGTAGATGGAGGAGAGGGGCTGAGCTGCACTGGCTCCTTTTCCTGGACTCTGCTATTCAGAGAAAGCCTGCAGTGCTCCTGCAGGCTCTACGCTGAGCAGAGGCAGGCTGGGGCCCCAGGGAAGCTACAGCCATGGAGTGGACCAGTAGTCTATAGTCTCCTTCTTCCCCAGTGCTGGACCATTCCTCAACTGGACCATCAGTCATTAAAGCTGCTCCTTTCATCTCAGATTCCTGGAGTTTGACTGAAGGCAAAAGGTCACTTTCTTGGGTAGTGGGGGAGGTCACATGTAGCAATGCTCAAGGGGTTACTTCTGGCTCTGCACTCAGGAATTACTCCTGGTGGTGCTCAGGGGACTATATGGGATGCCAGGAATCGAATCTGGGGTTGGCTGCATGCAAGGCAAATGGCCTACCCACTGTACTATTGCTCCAGCCCTAAAAAAAACTTTTTTTATTACCCAACTTTTTGGGTAATAAAAAATGTTGCAAAATTATAATGAATATTAATGATAATGAGGAACAGTGCCTATGCCTGGTCAATAATAAGTGAGAAAGGATAGTATTTCCACTCCCCCACCACCCCAAAATGAGGACATAGAAAATAATTCCTAAATATATCACACCAAATGTGTTATATTGGTTGGTCACACCCACCAACTGGCCCCCTGGCGCCGTGTAATACCATCAACAGCCAAGACTCAGAGACTATAAAAACCAGCTCCCGGAAGAGAACAGTGCAGTCTCCTGCCCCCGCGCCTGGCTGTGCTCGCTGGGGCCCCTTGGAGGGGAGCAGGTTGAGCTTTCCTCCCCGCCCTGAACAGGGCTCCGGCAGCCGAAGACCTCCAGGACCAGCCACCACCATGCTGAGACCACTCTTCACATACCTGAAGGTACCGGCAGAGGAACAAAGGCAAGCGGGTGCTGGGGCTGGATCTCCAAGCCTACTCGGATCGGGGCTGAGCATCCTCCACCTAGATCCTCCGAATTCCAGTAGGCGGGGGGTCACACCCACCAATTGGCCCCCTGGCGCCGTGTAATCCCATCAACGTCCAAGACTCAGAGACTATAAACCAGCTCCCGGAACCACGCAGCTGTGTTCGCGGCCGCGCAACATCTTATTATGACATCTTATCATCTCATTCCTACTTTGGACAAACTGGCAGACTACCGAATGTAACCTGCCCACACGGCAGAGTCTGGCAAACTCCCCGTGGCGTACCCAATATGCCAAATACCAGTAACAATGATGGGTCTCATTCTCCTAAAGAGCCTTGAATATAGCACTTTCTTAAAAATGTCAGGGCTAGGATGAAGGAGACGTTACTGGGGCCTGCTCGAGGCAATCGACGAATAAGAGGATGGTTGTGATTCGTGAAATATATCACTAGTAAAAGAGTTTTGTTATTTTGATTCTTCTTGTTTTTAGGTAACAGAAGCATATTTAATCTTGATGAAAAAGTTCCCAAATACAAATTTGACAGTGTCTTCTCTCATTGGTTGTGAGAGAAATCCCTGGACAAAGGGCCTTCAAAGCTGCCTAAACCTGTCCTTAAAACCATCAGCTAGCACTGGGACCTGCGTCCCAAGCCAGACAATATCCACTCCGGGGTTGGGAAAAATGTGGGAGAAATGAATCATAAGAAAGAACAGAACTAAGGGGTTTCTATTAGTCACAGAAATCAGCAGTGTTGGGTTTTTTTTGTTTGTTTGTTTATTTGTTTGTTTTGGGGGGAGGAGGTGGGGAGGGATAATGTACAAAGTAGACATTTTGAAATCCAATTTTGATGAAGATGAATGAACACCAATATCCACACTCATCAGACACTTGGAAGCCCAAGCCATCCAGATACAGTGGAAATGATCAGACCGGGTACATTGCTGCAGTTGTTGTTTTGTTCTGGGGCCACACCCGGTGGTGCTAAGGGTTTACTCCTGGATCTGTGCTTGGGGATCACTCCTGGTGGGGTTCGAGAGATCATATGCAGTGCCAGGGATTGAATCCGGGTTGGCTATATGCAAGGCAAGTGTCTGCCCACTGGACAACACGGTGAAGCAAGTTTGTACTGGTGAGCACCTACTAACCCTGGGAGTCTCCACATACCCCACATGCCCACCCACCATGATATCTGCAAACCACACGGATTCTGCGCACTTCTTGTGCAAGCCGTTGCACTCAGCACCCACGCAGTGCCCACCCAGACCAACGCACGTGGGCCATCTCCCGGGCTCCTCACCTCCTTCATGATTTTGATGGCCTCCACCCGGTGCTGGGGAGGGGGGTACAGCAGCATGCGGTGATAGAGCGACTGGAGCACGGGCTTCATGGAGTCCACCGACCCCACCAGCCGGACCAGCTCTGCTGCGATGTAATAGATGGTCCGCGCCACGGGCCCGCTCAGGGCTGGCGCGGTGGAGGAGCAGCCCGAGCCGCGGCCGTGGTCAGACACCCCCGGAGAGGTCGAGTCTGACTCCAGGCTGCTGCTGGTGCTGCTGCTGTGGGCAGAGGTGATGGTTTTGTCGTGGACCGGATTCCCCAGGATGACAATGAGAGCAGGACAAAGATTTTTCCTAGGGAGAGATGGGAGCAGAAGTTGGTGTCCTGCAGGCCAAATGAGAGATGAGGATGACTACTACCCAGGTGTCGGAAGTGCACTGCGGAGACCCAACAAAACTGGTGATGCTGAGCTCGCTTATGGCTCCTCCTGGCTCTGATCTGTCCATTTCCTCAGCTATTGCCCTCACCCCTGGGGATACCCACAAGGCTTTTCCACAAATCTCAAGCTGGTTAAACCATATCAATGTCACGAGAAATAAAAAAAAGAAACCATCATCCCTGAAAAAACAAAACAGTAAAAATACAAGATTGCTTGGTCACACAGTTTCATTTCACTATAAATAACAAAAGCATCGTCTGCTTCTCACTTGCTAGGATAATTCAAAATTCTGAACTGCATCTCCAGAATGAACAGTATGTCCTACTCACATACAACTTCCTCCTTCCCCAATAGGTCAGGAACCGCCCTGTCCCCTGTGTATGGCTCATGTCTCATGTTCATGCGGTGGCAGATATTCAGCTGGAGGAGGCACTAGGCCCAGGCTCAGAAGGTTTACGAGTTCTTGGTTTGTTTTTGTTTTTGTTTTTCATTTTGGATCACACCCAGCATTGCTCAGCAGTTACTCTTGGCTCTGTACTCAGGAACAACTTCTGGCGGTGCATGGGGGACCATTAGGGATGCCGGGGATTGAACCTGGGTTGGCCACATGTAAGGCAAATGCCCTACCTGCTGTTCTATCACTCTGGCCCCAGGTTCACTAGTTCCTGATACCTACCCTCTACCTACCTGCCGAGTCAACATTCTGGTGCCTTTCAATGTTCTGACAACCAACAAATAGTCTAGAAAGCAAATTCCTGGTTCCCAAGGCTCAGAACCTGATGGTATAAACAAAATGAAACTTTGGGAGCTATGTTCTGCTAAAATTGTCCTTAGTTCTTGGTGTATTTCAGTCTGGGGCCTGTAAGCAAAGCAGGTTCCCTCCCAGACATTTACACAGCAGGCCCTGGAGACAGTGGGGAGGAACCACAGCTGCAGTCAGAAGGAGCAGGGGTGGGGGTGAGGTGGGGGTCACTCACCAGATCAGGTCCGTGAAGCCTCGGTGCAGGTGCATGCAGGAGGACGAGCTGCTGAGGATGGAGAGGATGCATTCCAGGTACAGGAGCTGAAGCTGCTGGCTATTGCTGTGGGACACCAACAAAGCCAAGTTGGATTAGATGGGAACAGTGCAGGACATGGCAGAAGCACTGATGGAAGAGGGTGGTGTGTAGGGTCCTGGGCTGATCTGCATCCTCCCCTCAGACTGCTGTGCTGAAATTCTAATCCACAGTACCTCAGCATGGGACCCTCTTTGGATATGGGGTCTGTACCCAGGTAAACAGATTACAGAGAAGCCTTGACCAAGGGAGGTTTCAGTCCAAAAGGATAGCATTCTTTATTTTATAGAGGGTGCTCCCAAGAAATGTATCTGAGGTCCTGGTTGGTTCAATGCAGTGATGCAATCCTACTGGGACCCAGTGGTGCTGGAGAGCCTCCAGGACTATACCTGGAAGTGCTGGGGACCTGTGGTACTGTGAGGCCCCAAAAGCACGCTCCTCAGCAGCCATGACAGCCTTTTGCTAACATTAAGTCTCAACCAGGCCTTAGTTTCTGTTTTCCCAAAGTAGGACTTGCAGTTTCTGGTAGACTCCCAGTTGAGTAATTTGCCTAGATAGGGAATTGGGCAGTTGGGTCTGGCTGGTCATGAAGGGTCACTCTACCCTCCTTAGAAACTGTTGCTAACCATTGCCTAGTTGCTGACCACCAATGTAAGAGGGCTAATGCTAAAAGGTATATAAAATGCCTCTTAACTTTGAACCCTATATAAGCTGCTTGTGATTTGGAGTTGGGGTCCTTGTCAAGACTTCACTGTGTTGGATGAGACTTGGACCCTAGCTCAAGCTAGTGCTGGCTTGGGCTATTAATAAAGTTCCTTTGCTTTTGCATTATCGTGTGTGGACTTGGTCTCTCCACAGTTGGGGATCTGAAACTTGGACATAACATCAATCCATGCAAACATGTGCTCCAGTCCTTTGAGTATCTCCCTAGTTTCACAAAAGTATTTTTATAAAATAGGACACTTGGAGTGCAAAGATCCGTACAAACAAGGGAAGGAAGTATGAAGGAAGATGCTGCACTCGGCAAGCTCAGGAGAGATTGCATTTATTTATCTTTATTATTTTTTTTTATTAGTGAAACACCATGAGGTACCATTGTAGACTTACAAATCTTTGTGCTTGGGTTTCAGTTATACAATGATCAAATACCCATCCCTCCACCAGTGCCCATTTTCCACCACCACTGATCCCAGTCTCCCTCCCACCCCCCCATCCCCCCATCTCACCCTGCCTCTGTGGCAGGGCATTCCCTTTTGTTCTCTCTCTCTTATTGGGTGTTGTGGTTTGCAAAAGAGGCAATGGGTGACAATCATGTTTGGTCTATAGTCTACTTTTAGCATGCTTCTCCAATCCTGGGAGGATCCTCCCAACACCCTTTATTTGGTACTCCCTTCTCTATCTGAGCTGCCTTTTCACCTAGCATGTGAGGCTGGCCTCCAAGCCATGGAGTAAACCTCCTGGTACTTATCTCGGCTGTTCTTGGGTGTTAGTCTCCTATTTTGTTTCTTTATGTTTCCCAGATGAGTGTAATCTTTCTATATCTGTCCCTCTCTTTCTGACTCCTTTCACTTAGTATGATACTTTCCATGTAGTACCACTTGTATGTAAATTTCATGACTTCATCTTTTCTAACAGCTACATAGTACTCCATTGTGTAGATGTACCAAAGTTTCTTTAACCAGTCATTTGTTCTCAGACACTCAGGTTTTTTCCAGATTCTGGCTATTGTAAAGAATGCTGCAATGATGCACGATCACATCCTCTGAAGGGAAAAGAAAGAAAAGGGGGAAAAAAGAAGACTGAGTTCCCATAAATGATTACAATTTGCCAAGAGCAAGGTGGTAGCTGGATGAAGAGGAAGGAGAAATAACTAGACTTTCTTTGACCAGGTAAGGATTTTGTTTCGCCCACAAGTTTCTCTTCAATTTTGAACAAGACGTAGTAGTTCCTTACCAGAAAAAGCACATCCTTCATTCTAGATAGGTCTAGAGAGGTGGCAAGTGGATATAGCACTGGCTGGAAGCGTTAGAAATATATTGTTTAACAAGGATATATGAGAGCAGAGGAGTAGCATCGGAGCCTTAGAAAGATCTAGAAAGAATTTCCAAAGGAAAGGATTTTATTTATTTATTTATTTATCACCCCTGGTGGTGCTCTGGTGACTTTGTGTGGTGCTGGGGATTAAGCTGGAGTAAATCACATTCAAAGCAAGTGCCCTACCTGATCTATAATCTCTCTGGCCTGGGATTGATATTTTAGCTGCTACATGGTGTACGGAGGCCTTGCAGAAAGGGAGTGTGGGGGAGATTGTGGGAGAGACCAATCTGTGGTTGAAATGAGTGTCAGGGTGTCATTAGCAAGAGGGGAAGTCAGATTAGGGTCTGGCCAGGAGCCAGGACAGGAAGGGACTTGTGTGCCAGGCAAGGACAGCTAACAGAAGAGTGACATAAATCAATTTGTGGATTTTCAAGAGTCATCATTCTAGATGATGCAAAAATGACTGGAGAGGGAAAAAGGGGACCATAATATCACTTATAAGCCAGATTTTTTTAAAAAAAATGATTAGTTCTGAAATGGCTGTTTTTTGTCCATTTTTAAAAAATCAATCCCTTGACCATTACTATAAAAAGTAGCTATTAAATGTCTGAAAATGACATTCCCCGTGTCTAGCACCACACACCGAAATAACTATCGGCACACAGAATTCTCTTTTTCTAGAGAATTGCACAGAAAGGTCACCAGCAGCCTGGTATCCCGTGATTATCTGGGCAGTGTTCCCTGCGCCAATGCTGCGACCTTCATGGCATCAGACAGGACAGGAGGGCAGTGAAGAGGCGTGGCCAAGCCAACTGGCCTGGCTGTCTCCTTGGAGACCAACTGCAGCAGCTTTTCTGTGGGCTGCTAGGAAAACGGGTGCTTGAGTCACGCCATTGATGGAGCTTATTGAACTGCAAGTGCCTTCTATCATCCATGGCCCTCACTCAGCACACACATGCAGGCGCAGTGTGTGTGCATATCCTGTCTGTCTGCTGTACTGCCTGCTACGTGGCATGCACAGGGCAGGAAGGAACAGAAACCAGTCCACTCTCAAAATGCAAAGGGGGAATATTTGCCTGTTAGGAGGGTGGTGGGTCCCTGTGTCTGGCCTTTAGTTTGGGCATCTCACTGCTAGTCTAATCTCTGCATTTCTTTCCAGTTGCACAATCCATGGTGAACGAGTTCTGTGAGTGGACTTGTTGAATAACACTGCTTTGTCCTTGTGCCTCCTGCAGGGAGCGTAGGTTTACAGAGTTACTCCCACCACAGTGCTCCGGAGGCACACCCGGTTCCATCAGGCACCCCTTTCTCTGTGTTTGGCTTTAAGTTATCCTTTGTGCTCTTCTGACCCTATCTGTGAATTACTTATATCCCCAAATCAGACTCTGTAACTTATGAAATCAAATCCTTCTGGGGACTTTGGATTTTGTACATGTAAGTGAAATAATGCTTTTCTCTTTCCTTTGTGGCCGTTGCATAGTTTATTTTAGAGCAAAAAGAGGCAACTTTAAATAAGAACCCTGCTGGGGTTTAGGAAAGACTAACCTGGCCTGAAGACTGTAGTCTGAGATGTATAGTGAGATGTCCTCAAGAAAAGTCAATCTTTAAGCTTGATATATCTCTTACTGTGTTCATACAAAATAACTAGAAATATTAGCAAGAAGGAAATTTAATATGATTGTTTAAATGGTTTACTAGCTAAGATATTAGTAGCACTGTAGCACTGTCCTCCCGTTTTTCATCGATTTGCTCGAGCGGGTTGTTGGGACAACTGAATCCTAATGTTAGGTCTGCCATTAGACATTGAGAGGATTTGTACAAGATATCCAATCACTGGGCTTGTTTCTTATTTAGATGCTGTGTCAGGAAGCCACAGACAACCTCACTCTCAAATTCCATTTTATTTTACTGTTGCTCAAAATTATGAGCAGAGATAGCACTGTAGCACTGTTCTCCTGTTGTTCATCAATTTGCTTGAGCAGGCCCAGTAATGTCTCCATTGTGAGACTTGTTGTTATTGTGTTTGGCATATCGAATACATCACGGGTAGCTTGCCAGGCTTTACCGTATGGGCGAGATACTCTCAGTAGCTTGCCGGGCTCTCTGAGAGGGGCGGGGAATCGATCCCGGGTGACCCGGGTTGGCCTCGTGCAAGGTACATGCCCTACCCATTGTGCTTTCACTCCAGCCCAAGATATTAGTAAGAAGTAAATTTAATATGATTGTTTAAATAGATTAGTAGCTAAGGAAAGGAGTAAACAATATGCCCTTAGATGAATCCCTCCCTTGAGTGGATCTCCTAGTAATCTAGAGTGCTGAACCCCTAGAGGAGATTTTGTCCCAGAGTTAATCTCCTAGAAGAACTTCCTCTGAAGGAGGGGCTTTACATCTGCTTATTGTTACATAATGTTCAGTCATAATACTGACTCCTACTTTGGACAAACTGGCAGGCTACCGAATGTAACCTGCCCACATGGCAGAGTCTGGCAAACTCCCCGTGGCGTACCCAATATGCCAAATACCAGTAATGATGGGTCTCACTCCCCTAACTCTGAAAGAGCCTTGAATATGGCACTTTTTAAAAAATCTCAGGGCTAGGACGAAGGAGACGTTACTGGGGCCTGCTCGAGGCAATTGACGAATAACAGGATGGTCGCGATCGTGATTGTGAATGTTCAGTCACACCTATCCACAACCTTCACAATTTCTATATAACTAGCACTGTGAGACTTGAAAAAAAAAAAACGGGTCACTGATAACCAACCAGCTTTTGGACCTGTTTCTTCATTCATCCATCACTGCTGGCCAGCCAGGGGGACAGTTCTGAGCCACTGACACACCTACACTTAAACTCACATGAACCAGGGGTCGTAAAGGCCAAGCACCCCTTTGCCTAGGCAAGACCTCTGCAAGGACAATGTGATTACCTGTTCAGAATTCCTAGAGCTTCTCGAAGTTTGTTTCATTTGGAACTGTTTCGACTTTGCCTCACTTCAGAACAAATTTGAATTTAGTTAAAAAGGATCACTGTGTCACTGTTATCCCGTTGTTCATCGATTTGCTCAAGCTGGCACCAGTAACGTCTCCATTCGTCCCAGCCCTGAGATTTTAGCAGCTTCTCCTTACTCATCTTTCCCAACGTATTGGAGGCTCTTTCAGGGTCAGGGGAATGAGACCCGTTATTGTTACTGTTTTTGGCATATTGAATATGCCACAGGTAGTTTGCCAGGCTCTGCCATGCAGGTGGGATAGTCTTGGTAGCTTGCCGGGCTCTCCGAGATATATTCTCTCTATGATTTGTTGCCTACTATCTGAACCCCATCAAATATGGTGTGGTAATTATGGAAAATGGATAGAAAGTGTCTTATGATGTGTCCAAGAATATGTTCACTCCTATGTGAGGCTTGGCCGGAGCGTGTGGAAAGTGGCCTGGAGCATGGTGGTGGTTGGGTAGTGGAGGTCGGCTGCTGGGGCTGGGTCCCTTGGGGCAAATGAGAGCCCTCCCCGCCCCAAGGGTCCCAGAGTTAAAAGAATAGAGGGCATTAATTGTGTGGAATGGTATTAGCGGAGATAAACACTAGCCTTGCCTTGTTGAATTCATGAAGGCTTTATTCTGGGTTCTTCCTGGCTATTCTGCCATGGGGAGGTGAGCAGAGAGGGGAGAGGCTGGTGGAAGTCAGACAGGCAAAGACTAAGTATCTTTCTCAGTCAATTACCCTTCCAAAAGTTCTTGGATTTAAACAGCATCGTGCAGCTCAGCTTACCTAATATAGAGTTCTATTAATACCCTATCTCCAAGACATGGGAGTGATTCTGCCTACGGGAGTGCCTTTTGTCTGTAGGAGAGTGAACATATGAATGAATCCAGAGCCCTACTGAGTGAAAAGCTTAATGAGGTCAATGGGGGATGCTTTTGGAAATGATGGTGAAGGGCAAATACTGACCATAGTGTAATTTCAGAGGAGGAAACAAATAGAAGGAGAGAAGGTAGTCAAATGAGAAGAAACTGACCCAGTGTGAAAACTTAGAGTGATGACAGTCAAGGGCAGGGGGTGTCTGCTCAGTCAGACTTCAAGGACCCCGTCAATGTTGCAGTGAGCGTGCAGCGGGCCCGCTTCCGGAGTCACAGATCCTTCCTGCCAACTTGGGAGAGGGAATCAGGGTAGGAAAGACTGTCATGAACAGTCTCTGGGGGGCAGAACTATGGCAGGGGGGTTTCATCAGAAAGCCAAGCAAAATGAGAAGCACTGGTGACAGAAACTAAGATGCCTGATGCGAGAGGGGCTTCTCCTTGCTGCCAGTGCCCAGTGCTAGGAATATTCTCTTCTCTTTCAACTCTCGATCAGCCAAGTCATGCTGAGACCCTCGAGCAAGTCTCTGAGCCCCCTTTGGTTGGGTGTCCCTGAGGGTACAGGTGACTCACTCCAACACATTAATAAACCTGCACTTGATTTGTTCACCTCATACATTCCTGGTGATCACTGTCGCCTGGACATCATCAGTGGATTAACTAAATCCTGGCATTGGACTCGGAGATGGCTCAGGAAAGGGGTGATAGGGATCAAACTAGGGTAGGCCATGTGCATGAAGGCAAATGCTTTAACCCCCTACATTCTCTCTCTCCAGCCCTATAATAATAATCACTGTATCACTGTCCTCCCATTGTTCATCGATTTGCTCGAGTGGGCCTAGTAGCATCTCCATTGTAAGACTTGTTGTTACTGTGCCTGGCATATTGAAAATGTCACGGGTAGCTTGCCAGGTTTTGCCGTGTGGGTGAGATACTCTCGGTAGCTTGCCGGGATCTCCGAGAGGGGCAGAGGAACCGAACTCAGGTCGGCCGTTCCGGCCCCCTGCAAGGCAAAAGCCCTACCGCTGTGCTATGGCTCCAGCCCATAATAATAATAATAATAATAATAATAATAATAATAATAATAAAGTAAGTAAAGTAAAGGCCCTCCCGTTGATCGTCGATTTGCTCGAGCGGGCCCAGTAACGTCTCCATTGGAGACTTTGTTGTTACTGTGTCTGGCATATCGAATACTCTCAGTAGCTTGCCGGGCTCTCCGAATAATAATTTTTAGGATATACAAGTTTTGTGTGATCTTTGCCTAAAGTTGAAATTTAGAAAGTAGAAGAATAGGGGTTTATATAAGGACTGTAAGAAAAGTAAGGTTTTCTGATGTGCACAACAGACTGTGAGATTCAGCTCACATAAAACTCAGTTTACCAAGAGGGTAGGATGGGAGGCAACCTGGGGATGCTGGTGGAAGGACACTGACACTCTGGTGGAGAGTGTGCTGTTGGAATACCGTGTGTCTGAAAGTTTATTGTGAGAAGTATTGTAAATCACAGTGTCTCAATAAAGATAGAAGGGGGAGGAGACAATTTGATGCAAGAGCTGACTCTTCTAGGGCAGAAAGGAGTTGTGCCAAGGCGAGGACAAGTGAGCTCTAGAAGGGAGTGAAATCCTGGTCACAGAAGCGAGCCGTAAAAGTATGACACAGGCCACCCAGGACACCTGAGAATAGAAGGTCATTCTAATCAAACACAGCAGGCATAGGCCTGACTGAACCGTGGACATCAGTGTGAATGGAGCACTGGGATGGGAGCACTGAGTTGGCGTTAAAGCTCTCAGTTTTAGTTAACAATCACAGTGGGCCCTGTGCAGAACCATCATCTTGTCTGCTATAAAACACTCCTTTCTAGGGAAAATAATGCCCAGGCATGTGGTCAGCCCAAGATGGAAGAAACATGAGACTGTGGAAGAAAGTACTATTTCTTGTCTTTCTTTTAAAATTACTGTGGTGCCAGGAATTGAACCCAGGTCTCCTGCATGCCAGGCTGTATTTTGACACTGAGTCCTTTCTCCAATCCAAGTGCTACTTCTTTTTGCCTAGTGTGTGCAATGCCCTCAGTCTCATCCCTGATATCTCATGGCCTCCTAAGCACTGGGTATAGCTCTAGTGTACCCTGAGCACCACTGGGTATGGCTCTGGTGGCCTTCAGCGCAGTCAACCCAAGCTCCACTGATTGATGTCAGGCAAAATTCTGCTAGAAGTGGCCCAGGGACTCCTGAGTGCTGCTGGGTGTGATCCCAAGGATTTTTATTTTTTAAATTCTACAATAATTTCTGAATTCTCAAATGCTCTAGTTATCAGTAAACTATAATCTTTTTTAGTAAACAATAATTTACGCATCTTTCATAATACAATGGGCACTTCAGACTCATACTGTGTTGTAAAAATTTTCAATTAAATATCTACATAGCTGTTAGAGACTTAAAAATTCTTCTTTTACACGATTTGTCTTTACTATAGAGACAGAAGTAGTCTTATTAACTTCCTGCACAAAGAATTGGAGCCAAAGACCTCACCTAAATGAACTAATGTGCCAAAAAAAAAGTAAAAGGACATAAAGGTCATAGTAACGTGTGCTTTTTAGAGCTAGGTTCTGTTGGCAGGAATATTGTCTGATTCAGCTTCTGTGGAAAATAGTATGGAGACATCTCAAGAAATTAAAAAGGAAGCTACTGTTTGACTATTAGTGATTTCCTTCTTGGCATTGATCCCAAGAATAAGAAAACATAAGTTTTAAAAGTATATATATATATATATATATATATATATATATAATATGCCCATTTACATCTATTGCAATGCAGTTTACAGTAGCAAAGATCTGGAAACAATCCAAATGCCCAATGGCAGATGAGTGGATAAAGTAGTTAGTTATGCATATACACAATGTAATGCTACTGAATTATTTATAAGAGAAATCTTCCCTTTTGCTACACCTTGAATGGAACTAAAGGGTATCACACTCAGTGACATAAGTGAGAGGAAGCAGGACAAATGTTGGATGACCTCACGCATGTGTGATACACAGAAAAAAGAAGGGAATGCACAGTATCCAAAAAACACCAACTCTTGGACACTGACACGTTGGAGTGGAGAGAAGAATTAGAAGATATGCATCCGAGCAAGGGGTTGAGGTGTGGGGTGGTGAACCAGATGTGGCACAAGGTCTGTGGTGGGAGATCTTTGGCATTTTGGTAGTAGTAGAGGCGTAGTCACTTTGTACGCCAAAAGCATGAACATTATTATAATATGCTACCACAATAACAGTATTTTAAAAAAGATGAGGCGTGTGAGCATGTGGGATCAGAAAAAGTTAGAAAAAATAGGGACACAGGGTTTGCAGTGACCAACCCTGTCACTGAACAGAGGAGGAAGGTGCGACAGTTTGAGGAAAAAGATTCATTTAGAGTCACTTGGCTAGGTCTTGCCTAGGTGCAGACTAACCCTGACCCCCTCAACAAGTTTTGGGCCCACAGTATATCCTCTTGGGGAACGAGTGATTCTTTGCAAGGTCTGGGTTTCCATTTTTCTCATCTAAAACTGATATCCTTCTGGAAACGGCATCTGGCAATGGGACCTGCCTGAAGTCACTCAGGAACGACAGGAAATGCTAATGAGGAAAGGGCAAAGTCTCTGTCCCCAGACTGAATAACCAGTGATGCTTTGGACATCAATTCCTTCAGAGCCAGACCCAGGGGAAAGCAGAGCACAAACCTGAGAGCACTTACTTGATGGCAGCTTGGAGCTTCTCACACAGAACTGTTAGCACAGAGACAAGATCATCGGAGAGAGCCTCCACGGTCAGCCCTTCAAACAAAGGAGGCCACAGGCATTAGACACTCAAATCTCCGGACTTCTGCGTCTTCTGGGAAGATTGGCCTTGCATCCCCGAGAGATAAAAGAAGGCAGTATGGCGGAAAGATGGGCAGTTTGAACTAGGAGGTGAGGTAAACAGGGTCAAATGATGCAGCCTCCACTGACTTAATGCTCAAGGTATGCATGGGTTTCGTTAATGGAGCAAAAGCCAAAGTCAGAACAAAATCATTTCTCCTCTAGGCACATTTGTGTCCAGAAATAAGCGACGAAACTCCCACAAAAGCATGGGAAAAGACTGAAATACAGTGCCCCAACTTACTGATTTCTTGTGCTTGGTTAAGCTTTGTCTTTTTTTTTTTTCAAAATGGGATAAATGTCAACTACTTGTCCACAGACCTATGCTGATCTACAGGTGTCAAAAGGTTGATAAATGGGGGATAAATAAAAGCAATCTCACACAGTTGTTGATTCAAGTTAACTAACCAGTGGAAGCACTTTTTAGTTTTTTGTTGGTTTGTTTGCTTGTTTATTCTGGAGCCACACCTGGCAGTGCTCAGAGCTTACTCCTAGCACTGTGCTCAGAGATCACTCTTGGTTGTATTTAGGGAAACAGATGTGGTTCAAGTGATCTAACTGAGGTCAGCACATGCAAGGCAAGTGCCTTAAGCCCTGTATTATTTCTTTGGCTTCAGCAATTTTTAAATAACAAAAAATATAAAAAAATAACAAAAAAATTTGTAAGCATGCATAAAATTGTGGCTAGGTATTTTGTAAGATATAAGGGACTGATGACAAACACAAGGAGATGGTAAAAAAAATCGTGAGAGAAAATTAAAATAAATATCAGAGGAGGGAAGGGGAAAGAGGAATAAATGTCTTGTTTCCAAAATGTAGATCTTAAACTTGGAAAGAAAATAGAAGTGGTAAGAACAACAATGAACTATTTAAGTTAAATAACCCCTTACATAGTCCTTAAACTTGTATAGCTAGATTTCAAATGAGTTCAGCAATTTTCTACAAACATAAATTCTTAAAGATGTATCCCTGACCAAACTACTTTGGTCTCCTTTTTAGTTTATAAAATCATATTTCATGACCTGAACAAAGCTTAGTGGTAGAGCATTTGCCCGAGTGTGAGTTCCTGGGTTCAATCTAACCCCACACTCACATATATGTCCTACGATAAAGTCAAAATTTGGGGAAAGTGAAGGAGAGAGCGAGAATGAGAGTGAGTAAGAGCAAGAGAGAAAGAGAGAGGGAGAGATAGAGAGGGAGGGAGGGAGAGAGAGAAAGAGAGAAAGGAGAGAGAAGGAGGGAGGAAGGGAGAGACAGGGAGAGAGAGAGAGAAGGGGAGAGAGGGAGAAATGTCAAAAACATTACTGATTACTGAGCACCCAGGGACCAGGGATACTACATGATACATCTCTAACACCATCTCCAGCAATGCCTTAAAATTAAGTTCTCAAGCATTTCTTTTTCCATTTCCTTCACTTACTCTTTTCCTCCTAATTGTGACTGATGAGCTGCTTCTGTCTATCTCTTTTCTTTCCCCTTTTTTATTAGCTCTTTACCTCACCTCTTTCTGCCTTTTATTAACTAGCAAAAATGATTGAGAAGATTTTCCAAGTATTTTAATCTTAATTAAATGCTTAATAAAAATTTAGTCAAATATTTTATTTTTGATTTCTAAATGCAATCTAAAAGTACACTTCTATTTTTATTAATCAGATGAATAGAATTATTTGTATCTTTCTCAGATAAGACTATCAAGTCTTTTTTAAAATTTTTTTTAATTTTGGGGTCTCACCTGGCAGGGCTTAGAAGGCTACTCCCAGCATTGTGCTCAGGGAGTTTCTCCTAGCAGTGATTGAGGCACCATCAAGTACTGTGATCAGACCCAAGGCTCCGCATGCAAAGCATTCTTTTCAGACCTCTGAGCAATCTTCCTGGCCCCAGTTTCTTTCTTTTTTTTTTTTTTTAACTTAAATAACTGTTTGTTAGTTAATGTGAACTTCTACTTGATTTGTGGATCAGAAGCAGTTCCTTACCTGGATTTCAGTTACTATCTGAATTGAAACATCTGTCCTTTGACAAGATCCCTGTCTTATGACTCACTTTTTATATTAAAAAATAGTATTTTATAGGGGCTGAAGAGATAGGGCAGGGTTAAAGCTGAACCCGGTTCAATTCCAGCACCCATATGGTGCTCTCCTGAACATCTCCAGGATTGACCCCTGAGCACAGAGATAGGAGCATTTCAAGGTGTGTTCCAAACCCCCAACCCTCCCCTCTCCCCTGAAAGATAGATATTTTATTAACATAATTCTGGTGCTAGAGTACTTCATGCCAATCTGATTTCTATACCCTGCAATCCATTTCTCATAGGATTAACGAATAAAACCTGACTTGATGAGGAATAAGTTAACCAAAAAATCAGTTTTCAATGAGGAAGCTATGGGAAGAGAGATTTTCCTCACACAGCGGGGACAGGAACAGGTACGATCCACACGAAGCAGATGACAGAGCTAAGGGAAGCATCAAGGAGACCTGTCAGTAACCCGGGGCCCCACCCATCAAGCACCGAATAGGCATTCTTACAACCACACTTTCAACTGAGCCAGCAAAAAATCAGATCCAGTACCTTGATTCCTGAGATCCTGAGGGACATCCGGGTTTTCGATTATCTAGTAACGAAGATACACACAGGACAGTTAGGAGACTTGGGCATGAAAAAAATCCTCAGTCTAAGACAGTGGTAAATTCTAGGAAACAAATTGTGATTCTGAGTGCTTTGGGCTCAACTGACTTACCTAAGTGCATCATCAAGTGCTTGATAGCATTTCATTATTCAGAGCATTGATGAAAACACTGACCCTGGAACTGGCCTTCTCTATTCCCAAAGCTGTTCATTCCCGGGACCACAAACTTCCGGGAAGTGAACTATCCATCCTTCCAGGTGCTGACTATAACCCAAGGCAACACTAACTTGCCCAAACAGGTGAGTTCCACAGACAAAAAGACATCTCAAGGTCCCAGATGATACTGTGCTGGGCACTGAGTGAAGAGACTCCTTAGTCCTGACGAGGGATCAGGTTTCTAGACTCCCCAGTTGATTAGAGGTCAGAGGCTCCTATTTGATTAGGGGAGCAGGCTAACTGCGACTGTCTGGCTAGCGCCACCATTCTAGGTTAATTAGATCTAAACCTGTCAGGACAGGATTCTGGGACAGACAGACCTTGTGAGAAGAGAGATTAGGAAGGGAAGGACATTTGCTAATAGTCAGGTCTACTTCCCACAGCATGGAGACGTTAGAGACAGACTCCCTGAGCTGAGTGGGAAGGAGGTTCTTAGGTCTCCCAATTCCCAAGTCGAAGAAGAGGCTATTTTCATGCTCATTAACTATCAAACCTGTAAATCACCCCAGGGCCCCCTTGTCCTGGCCCCTCCTACCCCACCCCCCTCTATATTATTATAGCACGTATTCTGACCTTTCTCTTTCCATTAATTTGCAAGCTCCACGCCACCACAGTTGCAGCACCGAGAGCTGCATCAGCCTTGAGAGCTCAGCCCAAGCTGTTACAGAGCAGTTATTTTCTGGAGGAAATTCCTCGGAATCAATTTTCAGGATGAAAGACCCCCAAAGATTTACCTGTGGCATTTCAGCTTTTACAATTTACAACTGAACAATAGCTTCGGCCAGCTAAATCATTTCATTAAAGGGCTGGATAATAATCCTCATGTAAGGGTTTTTGCTGCCACAAAATTAAATTGCATCATCTGTCTGGAAGTAGTGTGAGCTAGGGGAGAGATAGTAGCTTGAAGACATATTTCACACTAATGCTTTTGACATTCTAGATTTATTGTCGTGCTGTTCTATTTAAGTCTGCCTAATTTTGAGATGTCTGCCGTGATGGGTCACGCCACACACAACACTCATCATCCCCTAGTAATGCTATGTGTGCCAGGGAATACACAAAGTCCCCTTAGTGCGAAGCTCATCACCTCCCCTTTAGTAGCTGAAAAATAACCTTTATTAGGTGGCAAAATATATGACTCCCTGTAGCAGATAACACATGTGCTTCCAATCCTGGCAGACTGAGAACTGTGTTTGTGGAACACGGAAACCTCTCCAGGGGCTGCATGAGGAACAGAAAGCAAATAGCAGGGAACACAAATGTTCTGCTACCTCACTGGGGATCTTGCCTCCCATATGGGTGAGTCCAGGTGGTCGGTGAAGAGCAGAGCCAGAAGACTGATTAGACTCAGATTACAGGGCTCAGAGGCAACAACCTTCAGTTTTATCTACATCTCTTCAACTATTCCTGTCATCATCTCGCAGAAGAACACTGGGAGCTTAAAGGCTGAGTCATTTTCTCGGAAACCCAATATATTCTTAATTTTTTTTTAAAGATAAAATGAAGGAATATCATTGAAATGCCTTTGAAACTGCCATGTTTCATGTGAATGGTACATCTATGAAGGCACCAATAACTCTACCTGTATTTTATCATTCTGCTCTTTTGAAAGGCTGGACGCTGATGTAGTACATTAGTAAGGCTTCCCAATACCTTGTGTTATTCCTTTTAGAATTATGTTGTTTGTGTTAATGTGTTTTTTATTTACCAATCTGAATTTCTCAAATTTAAAACTAATATCTCAACCCTGGCTTATTAAACAGCCTTGTTTGTAGTGAAGGGTAAGTGAAAATAATACAAATATAACATGATAAAAAAATTTCAATAGATATTTGGGCTCTGGGCAGAACAAACATATAATGAATCACTATTTCTGTTTTCAGATTAATGCTGTTTTCTCCACACTGGCTAACCAGTGGATGTGATTAAGAGAGTCAGTTGAGCAACCTGGGATTTGGTTCTGGCCCTTTCACAAATAAGCTCATTCATTTTAGAATCCAATTTCATGTCTCAGGGTTGCATTTTCCTCCTTTTTAAAAATGAGTAATAAATAATTTGACCGGATAATCCCTACTCAACACCATGGTTTTCTCGAAAATAATGCCTGGTGAGAAATAGGGGAGGATTGCAATGAAAACCTTGAAATCTTCATTTCTGTTAAATTAATTTCTGGGATTACTGTGGACTACCGCTGAGACTTTCTATCCCAAAATGGGACAAAGTATGCATTTCAGAACACGTCTTGCAGATTTTAGAAGAATTTTCAGCTGAATTATCATAGAGGCAGATTTAAAAAAAAACACAACCCACTAATTTTGAAAAGAAATCATTACTCCCTTAACATTCCCAGAAGATAATATATGCAAGAAGCCAATTACATTTACATTTTTTTTCCAGGAATGCTCATTTGAGACAATCTGTTCACATTTGAAAGCATAAAGCTCTAGTGGGCTTTGAAGGGAGAGAGCAAATCCTGGAGACATTCTGCCCCAATCTTTTGTTAATAAAGGGAAGCGTACCCAAAAGCTCAAAGCTCGTAAGAAACTTCATTTTTCCCCCTCTTATTTTGAATTTATTTCTGGTCTGTGGCATGATACACCACAATATTTTATTTACTTATTTATTTATATGCTTTTCTGGGGTCACACCCAGTGGTGCTCAGGGGTTACTCCCAGCTCTGCACTCAGGAATTCTGGTGGTGCATGGGGGACCCAATAGGATGCCAGGGATCGAACACTGGTCGACTGCATGCAAGGCAACTGCCCTACCTGCTATTCTATCACTCTGGCCTCTACCACAATATTTTTAAATAAAAGTTTTCAATATGAGAAGTTTTCTTCAAACAAATAAAAAATCAAAAGAGTGGCTTTGAAACTATCAACGGAAAATTTGACAGAAACCAATCTAAAAAAAAACCTCAAAGTTTTAGAGTAAAACAGGCAAAAATAATTTCTACAGAGATACGTTCTTCTAAACCCAAGCAAGTCCTTCCTCCTGTTTCCATAGGAAGCAGCCCTGAGAGGACCGTGTTGGATTAGGGACAAAACAGGCATGCAGGGACCCCAGCAAGGCTGTGAGGAACGGGTGGAATCTGCAAGGCTCACCGTATTCTCCTGCCTTTGTCGTAACTGTAAAGTCAAGTCACTCAGCATTTGACTGAGAGTTGCCCGCACAGCAGTGTTTATGCTGCGCTGGTGACAGCTACATATGTAAGTTTCAATGCACACCTGGTAAAGAAATAAGATAGCAACACACATACTCTGTAGTATCAGTCCGGTTATTAACATGCTTCAGAATGAACCAGAGAGGACATCAAATCCCTTTTCAAAAGAAAGTCAGCCTGATTTAGGACTAGTTGAGTCTCCAAAATATTTTAATTCCCTGGGAATTTTTTTTTTAAGCACAGAGAATAAGGACTGTCCCCCTACACACTTCCACTCTTAGAAGTTTATTTTTCTGAGCATCATAGGAGAATGTGAATGAGTGGTTTTATAGATATGCCTAACAATCTTATCTAGGTCACGCTCAGGTGGCTGGGAATTAATCAGGTAAATCTCTCTCCATGGCAAAATAAGAACAGAAATTTGTCAATTGCTGAACAAAGAGCTCTGGGAAAAGGATTAGTGAAACCCTTACTTCTGTTCTGTAAACAAGTTTGACAATGGATTAACTCCATAGCAGTGTTCTTCCAGAAACACAATAAAGAAGGCTAAAGGTCAGTTATGTTGCTAGGCAGCTGGGCTGAGGATAAAGACCTTCCCTGATTGCTAAACTGCATCTGAACTGGAAAGATGTGAAGGAACCATCTGGTAGGAATGAAAGTTTGCCTTTCCCTGGGTGCTGTGACTCCTGTCATTGATCCTGTCTTCTGAGGGAACTCTGCAAGTTGTTTTCTTGAACTTATTATAGAAAAGTTGGTCCTTAAAGACCAACTAGGCATCTACCCAAGGTCTCTGCACCCACTGAGTTGGATCTAACTTGCTCCTAGGCTGGCATGTGAGAGCCAGATACCAGCATGCCTGGCTCCAAGACTCCTTTGACAGACAAATGCCTGTCACTGTCGCACTTCTGCTCAGTGTCTGGGAGTCTGCTAAGTGAAAATAACATCAGTTGTGGCCTCTGTGGGTCTTGGGAATCTGAATGTCAGTTAGCAACCTATGCCAAATGTAGGGAGCAGTCCCAATTAAAAAAGAAACCCTCATTTGATGAAGGTGTTAAAATGTCATGATGGTGCAGATTTTATTCCATCTGATTCTTTGGGAAGTTTGAAGGATGGGTTGACAATGAACACTTTAAGCCATTATTTTTTCATGCCGTAAAGTTAAATAACCCTTTCAATTTCACAAGTATATTTAGTCCTATGGAAAGAAAAAGAAGACATTTAATATGCTTGGTTTTTTCCCTAGGAATTGCTCCAAGATTATTTACAATAAAATTACTGTTTTTTTTTCATCTCTGTAGCAAACTTAATGATTGATAACTGAAATGAAAGAGAGATAAAATGGCAACCTTTGTTACTGATATTACTTAAGCCAGAGTTTTTCTACTAGGAATTACTGTAGTAACCTTTTTGGTAAGATTAAATAAATGTAAATATTTTCCAAAAGTTCAACTTGTTTCTTATAGAATCATGACTATTACAGATGACCATTTAAAACTCAAAATTGTATTTGGAAGTTGGCTTAACTCATTTTAAGTTAAAAATATAAAAGTTAGATCCAAAATGTTTATTTTTCAAGGCTGCCATTTTAGGGCATATCAATTTTAAATTCCTTTTTTTTTCTTTTTTGCAAATGATCAAGAATTACATGTACTTAATGGTACCATTTATACATATTTAGGGGGAAAAGTGCTTTAATACTGAGAGACATATACTTTTACATGAAATGATTTTAAAAGCTTGGAAATACATCTAAATGAGTGTGGTGTTTCACTCTGATGAAAATCAAATTCTCTACAGTGTAATTAGGCATATGAGTATACTATTTATATATCAGAATTTAGCAGTTTTTCCTAAATCTTATATTCTCCCAAGAAACCTTTTTAATGGTAGATACTTAAGATATCTGTGCTCTGACATTATAAATCTAAGGGGCAATTTTAAGCCTTAGCAGCATTAAGGATAAGAGTGGCTATTTTGAGAGCTGAACTATATACTATACAATCTCTCTTAAAAATGATATCAATCACTTTAGACCCATGAAAGAAAGCATATATGAGGAAAAGTCTTTTATGTAACACAGTGCTGTAAGTACCTAGGAATTGCTCAAATACCAAATGCATGGTTTTTAGTTTTAATGTCACCAATATTTTTAGTATTTTTTATTACTATAGAGTATAACACTGTCAATAATTTATTGAAGAAGATATTTAATTAAAAATAAGGTAGGCATCTATTCTGTAAAAGTGAAAGGATTAATCTAAAAAGCTCTTTCTATTAAAGTTGGGACTATAATTACTATGACAAAGGTTGTACTTTAAAATAGAAAAATGACAATGTATCTAATAATATTACTCTCTTTAGATACCCAGGAAAAACGGTTTATCAGCTACCTTGACATTTTCTAAAGAGAAGTTTCTTCCTTGTTTTTATGTTCAATTTTTTAAAAATTGGACCACACCTAGACGTGGCCAGGGCTTATTCTTGACTCTGTGCTCAGGGGTCACTCTTTGTGGTTGCTTGGGGGACGATCATTGGAGCCTGATATCTAACTCTAGTTCGCTGCCTGCGAGGTAAGTATCTTCATCCCTGTACTGTCTATTTTTGCCCTTAAAGTGAAGCTTCTCAAACTTACTATAATAATAATAACTTGGTAAACCAGTAAGGTTCATAGCTTATGGTTTCCATTATAGTGCTGACTGCCTACTCTCTGTATAAATGCTTTTCTGTTTCCTGGGGCAGTGCTCAAAGGAGCACATTGAATCTGAGGGGCTATGAGAATACCAAGTCCAAAGGCAGGCTGAGTTTCTGAAAGGGACTCATCAATTTCTTTTAATATCTCCAATATCTACCTCACCATGCCCTCTGCTTTCACAGTGCAGAACTGAAACTTAAAAAGCTTCAGTCCCGCTTCTTTGCCAGAGGCTCCAAAAGCCATGTCAAATACCTTGTGAAAAGCCCCAGGCTCCTTGTGGCCTGGGAACGCGCGATCACACAGGGCAGTGAGGAGTTTCACAATAGACATTTTGATCATTTCATGCATGTGTGGACTTCCAGCTTTATGGCATGCTAGACACAGCTGAGAGTAAAAACACAAATTGTTAATGAAGCAAAACAAACCAGAAGCAGAGGGAAAAAAACAAGAAAATGCCATGTGCCTCTGAGCCTCACAGAAGCAGAAAGTTTCCATCACCGTGTCAATAGGCTGATAAATAACAGTACTTGGTTAGACCCTGGAATCATCATTGTCAAATAGGAAGTAGCATAGCTGAGTGTAGCATACATCTAATAATATTGATTCATGTGGAAACAAATTTTAAAGAAGCCGCTCCAATAGAAGTTTGTTTAGCATTGCAAAATACATGTAGCCTTTACTTCATTAAACCGTGCCTTTACCTTCTCTTTTCTAATTGATTTAGGGTTAGTGAAACAACTTTGCTAAAACAGTATAAGATATTGTGTGTTAAGTTTCAGAAAGGGAAAAGCCAGTATGTCTGCAGTTGTAAAATGCTTATGAAGATAAAAAAAAATGTATGGTGATGAAAAGTAGAAATGTTTATAGAGATGAAGCTCTAAGAAATATGAATAACTGTGTTTTTATGGAGACAATGAATGCTTTTTGATCACAGTAGGAGCAAAGACAATTTTGGTCATCCCTAGAAGACCAAATTCTATGTTGAATCTCTTTGATATCTCAGTTAACACTCTTTGATAACTCAGTTAACAAGCTGTTTTCTAATTCTCTCCACAAAAGCTTACTTTATAGACAGGTGGACATCTGTAAAATCTGGGTATAAAACACAGCTGAACAGAATTTTGCACACAACTGAACATATCCATACAAACTTTCAGCTTAAAAGAAATTTCTTTAAATGATGCTCAAAATTGGGACTGCATATCAAAACAATAATGAGATATCACCACATACCTGCTAGAAGGGTCATCATCAAAAAGCCAAGAAATAACAAGTGTTTGTAAGGATCGAAAGAAAAGGCAAACTGATGAGAATCGAAATTAGATAAGACACTCTGAATTTCATGATGGAGACTTCTCAAAAGGTTGAAAATAGAACTACCATATTGGTCACTAATCTATATTCGTATTTTTTTTAAAAACCCACAGACAGTAACCTGAAAAGATATGTACATTCCCATGTTCATCACATCATTGTTTATAATAGCTAAGATGTGAAAACAAACAATTTTTATTGATGAACAAATGGGCAAAGAAAATATGGTATATATTATTCAAGCAATATTAACTAATAAACTCTTATAATTTGTGACAATAGACCACAAGGACTTTATGCTAGATGGGAAAAAAGGATTAGATAGGACTCTGACTTCAAACTATTTTACAAAGCAACAGTAAATTAAACCCTATAGATGGCAACAAACACAGTCATATAGACCAACAGAACTGAACAGAACTCCAAAATAAATTTGTACAAATACGAACATTTAATCAACAACAAAAGAGCTAAGAGCATACAAATGAATAAAGTAAATTCTCTTCAATAACTGATGTTGGAAAAACTGGGCAGGTACATTAAAGATATCAAACTGGATCACTATTTGGTATCACTCACAAAAATTAACCCAAACTGGATTAAGGATTCAAGACCAAAAAACAAAAGAAATGGAACACAGATGTTATATCCTAGGACCTCATATCTCGGATAATTGGGTATGCAAACTGAGTATCAGCAAGAAAAACAAAAACAAGAATAAATAAATGGCACTATAGCAAAAGGCTGATAGACAAAAAAGATTAAAGAAGCTTCAACACAGAAAAAAGGAAACTACTACAAAAACAAAAGACCCTGTTAACAGAGAAAAGCTGTTCTCACTCTGTGTTTGGCAAAAAGTTGTCTAATATATGTCTAATTAAAGCAAGCAACCATATTTTTTAAAATGGGCAAAAACTTGAATAGACTCTTCTCCCAAGAAAACACACAAGGTGGGCCCATAAATACATAGAAAAAATGCTCAGTATTGCAATTCTTAGGGAACTGCAAATTAAAATCACAGTGAGGTAGCACATCAAACTCATAGAAAGGCCTATTAA